TTATGTCCGAGTACTTCGAAAACCATGCAAACATGTGTGCCATTAACACCAGCGACTTTGAAATCATCGAGCAATTGCACACATTTGAGACGATAAGGATCTGATGGATCACTTTCACGAACATGTGTTAATAATTTGATTTCATCGAGTGCTGTTTCAGTGTAATGTTTAGCACTTTTAACAACTTTCATAGCAACAAATCGTGCTGCCTTACGATCCCAACATAACCATACGGTGGAGAAATGACCTAGATAGTCATATGAACATATATATATATATACATATAAGATAAACATAGATCGAATTGACTGATACGTACCCCAACCGAGTTTGCGAATAACATGATAACGTTGATTAAAAATTGAACCGATCGTTATCGGATGATAACCACCTTTGCAATAATCTTTTGGATCTTCTTGTTCGTCATCATCGGAACCGCGAATGTCATGAACTTCTTCTTCTTCCACTTCGATATCACTTTCGATGGTACATGGAACGATTGTCGAACCATTTCCACTTGTCTTGTCTGTCATCGATTCACCATTATTGCGTGGAGGTCTATTAAGAAAAGAAGAAAAAAAAAGCAATTCGTTTTTAAAAGATAATCGTTTCCTCTCGGTAATAAATTACGTTGTATGTAATGGAATATTCGTCATTGTATTGATATTGTTACTGTTATTACTTAGGTTAAATGCCGATTGCGACTGTGGTAATGGTTCATATTCTGACGAATTGATTGATGTTGAAAGAGCTACTGCTGATGGTGATGTTGGAAAATTGTTTGCATTAACGGTAGGCCTAAAACGAGAATAGAGAGAGGGAGGTAAGAGAATTGAATGATCATATGTGAAGAAAAACAATTGTCGATTTGTTCTTTTTTCGTTTTCTAGATAAAAGATCATCTCACCTCTTACTTATCGATATTGGAGGTCGAAAGGGAGGAATTTCTTTTATCATATATTTATTTTCTTGTATCGGTGCTAGACCGCAGAAATGCTTAGCGTCAAGTTTAGATTTTTGCATCATTTGATTATTTAAGAAATATGTATTTGGCATTTGTAGCGATTCTGATCGTGCTAATTTGTTTTTCGATGCAAAGAAAAATGGATTCTGGAATGTTTTCTTTTGATTGATCAACGGACGCGTTTTGAAATCAATAATATTAATTGGTGAATCCCAACGAAGATTTGTTGGACGAAGAACTCGTGTCGGGAGAACATGAGGGTTTGGTGCACGATGTAAGATCGATCCTGTCGAAGATCGTAGCACATTGGAGTGGATTGGGTACGATTGAGGCATGTATGACGACGGCGATGTATGACTTGACGGAGATACAATAGGATAACAAAATGATGATTTTTTAGTTTTAGTAATTAAATTTTGACGGTCATCATCTGTTGAATTGATTAGACCATCGACAGCTGAATGATACAAACGAGTTGAATATGTTCCTGTAGCCATGTCAATCCTTCATATTAACACGTCCACGGTCACTGTTTGAACAAATGTCCTTCACTGTATATTCTCCCTCACTTATATGATTTTTCTTCTTTCTTTTACTTGCGCATCATCATCATCCTCAATCATGCATGTCAAGACATGTCTATAAAACGCATATATATCTATCTGCCTATTTGACAATGATGATCATGACACATATGCATGTTTTTTTTTTCATTATATATCTAATCAATAAAAAGAAAATGTTCATCAATTGATGAACACCTTTTTTTCCTTGCTTGCCTAATTGCTACTTACAATTTTTTTTGAAGTAGATCTCGCGGTGGTCGAGGTTTTCCGGCATTTTTCGGCCGACGTTTTCTCACTTGAATTATACGTGCAAGTACTGAAAATTGATTTGGAGAAAAAGAGAACATATTTGTTTCAAAGTTCAAGCTTTCAAAGTCAAAATGTTTTCTTACATGGTGCAGCATTTGAATTAGCACTTGCTTTGGGCATATTTGAATGTATTTGTAAATTTGTGAAAGAGAAGAATGTGAAGGATACTTCAAGATAATATTAATGATTGAGTAGAAAAAATCATTGAGTAAATGTTAATCTAACGTTCATAGAAGGTTTTTTGATGTATATCTGCATCGTTTGAATAAATGTGACAAACGAAAACAGTAGGAGAGAGTTTATCTAGAAATAGAATAAGAAAAAAAAGAGAAATTTAAACTTATGCCGTAGGGGCCAACCATCCACAACGACCAATACACAAACATTTGCGAANAGATAATATTAATGATTGAGTAGAAAAAATCATTGAGTAAATGTTAATCTAACGTTCATAGAAGGTTTTTTGATGTATATCTGCATCGTTTGAATAAATGTGACAAACGAAAACAGTAGGATAGAGTTTATCTAGAAATAGGAAGAGAGAAAAAAGAGAAATTCAAACTTATGCCGTGGGGGCCAACCATCCACAACGACCAATACACAAACATTTATGAAGTTGTAGTTGCACTAGCATCAGTAGTTGATTACTTTACTGTTTTTTCTTGTGATCAACCATCCAGCTATTCGTTTATTTATGATTTAGCATGTCTATGCAGAGCAAACCTATTCTATCATTTGACACATGGAAGGAAAATGATAGGAGGCTCATAGACGTGCGTAAAGACGACTTTTCAACCAATCAGAATTGAAAAAGAAGTTTTATTATTCCGAATGACTCATACATTCAGCTGGACGTCCGCTTGAATTCCTTTTCTTAACTATTTTTATCAGAAACGAATTTAATAATGATTGATAATCCCGAAGAACAACTTCAACGTGTTATTAATCGTCTACGCAAAGTTGTAGAAGATTATTCTGCACAGGTAATTCAATGAGGGTTGAGAATAGCATTGTTACCTCGATGGATCACATCAACAAAATTGGTCTTCCTGTGCGATAGAACCTCATTGAGGAACGGATGGAACATTTCTCTAAAATAGAACTAATATATCAACGACTTTCGCTTTCTTTAGCGTCAATTCGAATCGGCTGCCTTTTGGGGCGATAAATTACTTTCATTGAACCGAAGTAAATAGGCACATGTTCATCGATTGGAATGAAAAACATTCTTTTTATTTCCAGGTTCGCCGGATGATCTTCTTTTCGTTGCCAAATGTTTTATGTCCAATGGTGATTACAATCGGACACGAATTCTTCTGGAAAATTCTCCAATGTATCATGTAAGAATATCACTTCATCTTTGTAAAGGATATTCTTATTTTTGTCATTGTTTTCCTGTCTGCTCTAGACCGATCCTCAATTCAAATATCTTGTCGCACTTTGTCATGTAAATCACATTGATTCATTTCTAAATTGAAGGCAACACCGATGTATTTGTTTTTAGTTTCATTTGAAAGATTATCAAACAGCTGCAAATGTTCTCGAAATCTTAGAAGAATTACTTGAAGTCGACCAACAACAACAACCAGGAACATCGTTTAAAACGCCGTTCACACCTAAAACAACGAATATGGAATATTCGAATCCTGTAAGTCATCCTTTCGCAGAAATCCGTACTTTATCTATATATCGTTCGTCTTGTCCTACAGCTGCGCGCGTCCATATGTTTGTTGCGCGGTAAAGTTGCTGAAGTTCTTGGTTCGTTACAGCAAGCAATGAAATTTTATGAAGAAGCATTGCGTTTCGATGTCTTCTGTGCGGAAGCATATGAAAAACTAATAAAAAAACATATGTTTACACCTGAAGAAGGTATCTGTAGTTATGTAATCATGTTTCAATCTATGACGGTCTTTGTTTTGATAGAACAACGATTAGTAGAACGCATGATTATTGAGAAACAATGTGATACGGATACAGCAGCTGTCGTCAGATGTTTATATGAACAGGAAGTGCATCAAGTAAGTCGCCGTTTTTTCAATTAGGTGAAAAAAGCTTTCAGTATAATTCATCTTCGTGCTTAGTATATGAAACCGATCATTGTTAATCTTCTACCATTTACCATTGGTTTGTTAAATGATAATGCTGATTATTGTATAAATGTATGTCCTACGACATCAAAGAGATCGCGCTATGATATTAAATTGATTTTATTTAGATTGCAGAAAAGTTTTATTACAACTATAAATTTCGTGAATCATTCGATTTATGTAAAAAGTAAATGCTCGTTCACTCTCTTCTTAGCCGGGCATTTGGGGTCTATTTTTTCTAGAGTTCTTACCCACAATCCATTTCATCAACATGGCCTATTCATATATATAGCTCTACTCTATGAAATGAAGGACAAGACAGGTAAATAATCTTTTACTACAGTTGATGAGCATTATTTTTGATCTTTTCTCACAGAATTATTCAGTTTGGGACATCGATTAGCTCGACAATGCCCAAACAATCCTGTATGTAATTTTCCGTTTGATGATGCGTCTGATATGATCGATTGACTAAGAAGAATATTTCGAAAATTTAGATTAGTTGGTTGGCTGTTGGTTGTTATTATCTAGTGACGAAAAAGCCTGAACCAACACGTCGTTACTTAGCGTATGATGAGAGATATTTGTTCTCATACAATGGATCTAGACTTTCTCTTCGATTATTTTAGAAAAGCTACGTCAATATGTCGAAGTTTTGGTCCTGCATGGTTAGCATTGGGCCATTCCTATGGTCTGGAATCTGAGCATGATCATGCTATTTCCGCATACTTCACCGCTGCAGATGTTATGCGTGGGTTAGTCATTTCGTTTGTATCGCCCATTCACCATGCATATTCATTTTTCAGTTGTCATCTACCTATCCTATACGTTGGTTTGGAATATAGTTTAACAAACAATCTTCGCTTAGCGGAACGTTTATATTCGGAATCCTTAAAGTTTTATCCTGACGATCCAGCTGTACTACATGAATTGGGTGTGATCAACTATCTAAATCGAGAGTATGTTTCCACATCTCGCATTTGAAACATAATACGGCAAATTTTGGTGTTTCAGATATCATCATGCCTTACTATTCTTTCAACGAGCTTTGATTAAAGTCGAAGCCATCGATCAAGTTGATCTCTTGCCCTATTGGGAACCATTGTTTAATAACATGGGACATGCATGTCGAAAATTGAAGTAAGATCAATAGTTAACCAGCAATACTTTCATTGATTTATCTACATAGGAAATATGATGAAGCAATCATTCATTTCAAGAAATGCTTAGGATTAACACCACGAAATCCGCAAACATTGATTGCGATCGGATTTGTGCATGCTTTACAAGGAAATTATGGTCAAGCGATTGAATATCTTCATCAAGTAAGCGTTTCTTCTGTGACATTCAAATGCTAATCTTTCTTCTTATGTTCGATTAGGGCCTTTGGTTAAGTCCCGCCAGTTCGTTTGCTCAAACTCTGTTAAATAAATGTTTTAATATGACACAAACGAAAACTTATGTCGAACAATTCCCAGGTACGATCATCTTATCGATCTGAAGTTGCTAACCACGCGTATAATTCTAGAACCACCGAGTGATCTAAATGAATATCTGTCAACTCGGCAGAATAGTACTATTACTGAAACAGATATTAACGCGGCTGCAATGCCTACCTCTGCTTTAGAAGAATCTGATCAAGGCGGTTCATCGATGATTACAACATAGACATTGATATTTTTCCAAAATAAATTTGTCAGATAATTTTTTTTTCTTTGTCTATTTTTATTACATACACTTATGTTCAGAGCACTAAGACATCAAGGCTTTAACTGATTTCATTCTTGTCATTCTTCTTCGGATAGATGTAAACACGTGATAGATTTAATTTTTTATCGCTGAGACCAATTAAATTTAAATCGTTTCCATTTCCATTACTTGCCGCTGCTGCCTCTTCAGTTCGGTCGCTCGTGCTGGCATTGTCATCGATGTTCGACGACGTCGTACTGAAGAATAAATTTGTTCCAAGAATGTAATTGTATTGTCCCTGGAATGTATAGGGACCGATTTGAATAAATGGATTCGTACCGTCAATGTCAATGGCATGAATTTCTGACTTGGTCGCATGTTCAAGAACAGTTTGCTGGTCGATATCGTGTCCTATGTCAGCCATGATAAGGAATTCTTCGTCTTCCTGTTCGTCGTCCGGTTTTGATTGTTCATTCGTATTCGGTGAGTTTGTAGGTGGATCAGTCGTGTCTGGAGGCGGATCAACTTCCATAGCATCGATTTCTTTGAATAAGAATTTTCAAAAGATATTGTCGCTCGATCACTGATTGATAATGATTCATCCAGTGATAAAATTGGGTGAACTTTTCGTCACTGACATCTCACTCCCTCTTTCGTAAAAACTGGAAGGAAGCTACCGATCACTTTTTCCTATACTAAATTCAATTTTACTACATATTTCTAATACATCGATCATCCCTTTCCGAACAGTAGTGTTGAAAAAGATTGATGAGTGCACATTCGCATAGCTATTCTATGAACAAGGGTTTATTACGTGCTTTAGGATTATTTATCCAATTGAGGGCGATACATGACGCAAAATATTGCTTGCTGAAGCAATTCAATGCGTGCCTTTAACAAGTTCCATATAAAAAGGAACATTCAACCGACACTTCCGTAGTAGTTCATAAATAGATTTTACAGGAGTGATTTTGAACCGGCAGTTATTTCGATAAAAGAATGACATCATTTATTCATGCATGCATTTTTATCTTATGTGTTAACTTCTGTCTTGGTCTTCAGTGTACGTATCCAGTTCATATACAACTGTCAGCATACGAACTTACCTTGCCGAATATCGAAGCAAGATTAAATAACTTGAGACGTACTGGTGGAGCGATTTGCGAAGTACACATGGAATTCGATTGTACTACTCGAATTTTATCGATTGAATTCAAGCAATCCACGGAAGCTGTACACCTTCGTTCGATTGAAAATGTGTACATACATACTATGAAATCCTTCATATCAGACAAATCAACAAATCAAACAACAACAAAAACAATCATAGATCTACTGTGCTACAGCAATGATCGATGTGATCAGAAGTTTATCCTTGAATATTTTAGTCAAATAATCCGGATACATCATTCCTATTGGACATCCATTATTCGACCATTGCTAACTACGGGAAATAGTAAAAAAGGTATGGTCAATACAAGAATTATGTTGAGGAAAACACGATGAACTTCTCTTTCAGATGAATGTATGATCGGTATTGAAAATCAGACGAAACTTTGCCCTAACAAAGCATGCTCATGGTACTATTCAACTGATACGAAATTTAATGAAGGTAAATGTGAGAATATCGACGATCGGATGCTGCCTATGCTTAAATTCAATATTATCGTAAAGTTATATGAAAGACAAGCAAATTCGAATGATAATATGAAACCGGCAGCAATTCGAGCTATTTTCGATCACTCTTCATCTATACAGTTCTCGTGTAAATTCAGTAACTGCAACAGTCAGTATAACGGCAAACTAATTCAACAAGTTCTACAACAGCACGATGATTTTTGGAAAATGTACAAAGTTTGTAGTGGCTAATACGTGCAAATGATTTACTAATCAGAATATGTGTCGTTTCTGTGCTATCTGACTATGTTTTATGATTTTTTTTGTTTACTGCTCAAAGAATGAAACGCTGAGAACGGGTAAACGAGAGATTTTCAGGTTTATCTAGTATCGAACCTGTACGTTACAATCATCTATCATGCCAACACTTTTAATAAGAAAAGCAAGATTACGTATATTGACTCTTCGCACCGTGATAATGAATTTTTCCTGGCGCGTGAGCACCGAGAGATAATATTATGAGTTTTTTAAATATTTACACTGTAAAGGTCTATATTTAGAAGACGGACGCGAAAGTGGCGAACAACTATCCTTAAACATTTGCGTGATATAGAAGAAAAATCACAACTGAAAGTTCGATACAACCATCGGTGAACCGTGTGTCATGAATGAATTTTAAAAGTATAAGCATCTTACGAGCTAATCGGTCGTATATATATGCGCCCATTCGCTTATGTTAATCAGAACAAAAACGTTTATGATAAAGTATTGAAAGAAGCCAAGTACACATACTACTATGGTGGTTGAGCGTCCGGACTCTTGTCGTTGAAAGAAACCAACTGTATTAGTCATATTTTGTTTTCGCATTCGGTCGCAGGTCTAACACTCGATGGTGTACTAAAAGAAACTTGCACTGTATTTTATCGACGTCATTATGAGTTTGCTCAAATAAAAGAAACTACAAACGATTCTTTCGTATAACTTTTGTCTGGTCTTATTGCACTTTGCACTTCAACAGTTGCACGTTCAGTATATCTCGACATCATGGCCTGTATTAGTCGGACCTAGTCTAAAACTATTAGGACTATGCCAGAGACTTCAGCATCAGTTTAACACAATGTATAGTTGGTATCATACTTATGCAATGTTCCAATCAGCTATCGTGTCGTCTCAACAGTATAATATCACTGTAGATGGACAGCCAGCACTCTCTATTGCAATTTCACATTGACCGGCGCTTGTTCTTACGAGAGCTCTACTACTACAGTCACTCCGAAAAGATGGATCTATACACGAGCTTTGGACATCAACTTATTATCTATGAAAAAAGCGGGAACGTTCGATCAGCTAAGAACGAAATGGTTTCAATCGTCGTTGTACTCCGCTAACATTACATCTACCGGCTGCTATGAGTGTTACTTCAATGGCTGAATTGCTTTTGAGATTTGGAATATACAGTCTAGTCGCATTGCTTGTATATGCATGGAAGAAACGATTCGTCGTGAGAAAACTATTCGTGTTCATAGATCAGAAGTAGCTTTCGACTCAGAACTTCAAAACAAATCTTTTCCGATAGTCATAATCTTGAAAGAGATGCTCTCAATGGTTCATGACGGTTGTTTACAACCGAACTTATCTTCAAAGTAGTTTCTCTATTATTAATTGAAATTCCATTGTTTACTGTCTAATGACAACATTTCTTTCATGATTATACTCGTATAGAAATGATCCGTAACGGACCGTCAATCGGAATAATCAATCAATTCGTTAAGAATTTCGAAAGAGAAAAAGTTGTCTTCTTAATTTATTGTCAATGAACAAATATTCTTGACTGTACAGTAGAAAATGATTAACTAGTATTTGTGTCTTTTTTCGTGACGAAAACGAAAGTTAAACAAGAAAGAGAAAGAACATAAAGAAAAAAAAGAAAATGAGAAAACAAAACATCAATATGATCTAGATATCATTTTTTTTCATTTCGTCATTTTCCCTGCACATATTTCCTTCGAAATTCTTTTCATCACCATCCAGCTGCAGCGCGTTGATGATGATCACGATCGACTGCTCCACTGTGATCGTCGATCATATATTTCGCTGCATGCGTTGCATAAACATCATTGAGGCTCGTCGGACCTGTTGGTTGTTGACTCGTACCCGTTGGTAATTGTGCATAAGAAAATGTTTGACCAGGAGCAGTAGCGTAGATATACGATGGTTGCTCAATCGATGCTGACGTTAGCGGAGCCGTAGCATACGTTAATTCATAATACGATGGCGCGCCATTATTCTGATTTTGTGAAGTATGAGCACCATTTAATGCTGCTGTTGTTGTTGTTTGATTTGGTATTAATGTACTTAGTGTTTGAGGTGTTGCAGCTGTTGCTAATAAAGTTGTCGTTGGTGGCTGTTGATAATAGATTGGTTGAATACTACGAAGACATATGTTAAATAGATTATCTCAAAGAAGGAAAAAATCTTTTTTTCATTTCCTCTTTTGTTTATCTAAACTATCTGATTTCGAGGAAAGAAATCTATTTGAACGCGTAAGAGAACAATCACGTCATCGACATCATCTAGCCATATGGATGTATATACGTGTGCGTCAATGCGCAGAGGGTGGCCTTTCATCAAATTCGCTTGATTAGTGGAATGTTCTGTTTTTCAAATAAACATTCTTTCTTTCTCTCTTTTCTTTAAGTTCAAGATTGATTTGATTTCTCTGCAGGGAGTGTACGCATTTAGACGTCAAAATTGAAGCGAACAAGAAAAAAAAATCAAAATCAACTCACCCATAAGTTGTTGGTAATGCCGCTGAATAAGCACCGGCGAGATGAAGTGGGATAAGGCCTATAATAATAACAATAGAAGAGTAAATATGCAACGTTTGAAAGGAAAATTCGTCTTAGAAAACATTTTCAATAAATCAAAAATAGACATGTAAGTAAATTGAAAGACAACAAGAACAACAACAACAAAATCAATCAGTCAAATCGATTATTGCAATCAAGAAACACCAACAACAACAATCGAGGTGAAACTCTAAAGGCATACAAATCACACATACACGCTGTTAGAATTTTGTTATCGGCGATTTATTTATAAAGAATCAAATTTCAATTGTCTCACGACGGAAAAAAAACTAAATTTATACCATTAGATAGAGCTATTTGTTCCTGTTTGTCTCATTCGTTCTTTTTCTTCTTCTTCTGCTTCTTCTACAGCTACCACTATTATTATTGAGTGATCAAATAACTAAGAGATGAAAAATGAAAGCACTGAGAAAAGACACACACGCACACGAAAGCGAACACACGGGCGCAGACATAAAAGTAATAGAGATGGAAAAAGAGGCAGAGAGAAAGAGAGAGAGAGCATCACCACCACAACAACATCAACGTCAAACACTCGAAAGTCAGCAGCAAAAGAAGAAGAAGACACAGCCCCCATGCCACAATAGTATGGGCACTATTATTATCGTTTAAATATCAAACTGAACAAGGAGTTAGTTAAATTAAATGTCTCAATATTAGGTTAAGAGAAAAATAAAAAGAATATAATGATAATAATGAAAACATCAAGGAACTGGCACAAATCCGTGCTCAGTCAAACAAACGGCAGCGTCATCCAGAGCATCCACTTACTGTCTAGTTTAATTCTTTTTCTTTTCTTATGCTGCTCGTACTACAATTAATGAGGAGAGAGTAAGAGAGAGAGTTAAGGAATGTTCATTGAATGATGATCTTTTGTTGTACAGAAAGATATGTTTTCGTTCAAAGCAGAAGATAACCAAATGAGAATAATTTCGCCTTTTTAAAACTTACCAGCTGGTGATGGGATTACACGTGGCTTAGCACCAAGATAAGCTAAATTGACGTTTGCTTTTCGACCATCAATTACAGGATTGGCTTCTTTCGTTGCTAAACTCGCAGCTTCTTGGGTGTTCATTGTTACCTGATAATGAAAAATAAATGACACTAACAAGATGAGACATTGTTAGGATTTCTCTTTTGCTAATTAACAAACTACTAATCATGTCGATATTTCAGTCTTTAATGTTTGTTCAAAGTTGAAAAAACATGAGAACAATCATATTGGAAGCAGACATGCATTGATTTCTCTACTGATTGATGGCACGCAAATGATAAGAGAAGAAAGCGATTATCTTTTAAGACAGAAAACTGGCATATCTGAAGACGCGTGTTAACAATCAATCTTTCTCCGTCTTCCGTTTTTTTTTTACTTACAAATCCATATCCACGTGATTTGCCTGTTTGCCGATCGGTGATAACCTGTGTTCGATAAGATGAGAACGAATTAATCATATGAGATTTGCAATCATATTGACACTTACGACTGCTTCTTCGATTTCTCCGAATCGTTCGAAGAATTTCCGTAAAGTATCATCTGTTGTATGATATGGCAGACCGCCGACGAATATTTCTAAGCGAGACACAAATACATTTGAGCACAACATGGAGACTTTCGGATCTTCTTACTTGTAAATGTTGTATCTTTATGTAATGACATGAATGATGATGATGATGACGATGATGATGTAAATACTACAAGAAAGTGAAATAAAATAGAAAATTTTCTTCCTTCTTCTTCATTTTTACTTTGAATATGTCAACAAAACTATAGCGCTCTCTTACTTTGTTCTGTATTGCAAAAGAAAAAGTCACATAGAACGATAGAAAAATGAAAGAACAGAACAAGGTAGATGCAATGACACTACTGCTGCCACTACAACCGAACAAATTATTTCAATCTTCCGTTAGTCACTTTTACTAAAAAAAAGAGAGAGAAAAAAATTCAATTACACAAAAAGCTTCTTCTCGTTTTCTGAGTATAACGCCTTATACTTCTAACAGGATGAATGATATATGTATATACAAACGGATGGAAAACGAGGAAATAAGAGATCGACTAATTCATCACTAGAGAGACAGACAGACAGAGAGAGAATACTACATATACAAGTATGTGCGCGATATGAGATGCTGTAGTATAAGAAGACGAAAAGAAGAAGAAGAAGAAGAAAAAGGGTGAAAGACAAGAACCAATCATCGGTATACATATACAATTGTTTTAGAAAGAAGACATCATGCAGTTAGCTATCTTTTCTTTCTTTTTCTCTATTCCGAGATGATGATTCCCGTTCGTTCATGTAGAGAATCAATTCTAATGATAAAATAGCAATACACATAGATAGAGAAGCATAACAAATGCATAAACAATATTTTCTTGCTCTTCGACGCGTATGGGATTGCTCTCGCGAATCAACAAGACGAAGACGATGACAGAACGGCTTTTTTCCATTAGAAAAAATTTCTGCATATACTCTCTCGTACAAGTATTGTCTAGCTTTATTTTTGTTGCTTTCGGTAGCAGAATCAACAACACAGCAGGAACGAAGAAAATGATGATACCAAACAAAACGACCTTTTGCTATTCGACGAGCTATAATTGTCTGTTCCATACGAATGGAATATGTACATAGAATGGGAAAAGTCGGCACCTACGATTATCATGACATGAGTAACAGCGTATTCATCTATGGTACTAAACAATTATTCGTAGTACACATAATGTTTGGAAAAAAAGTCAATCAATCATATCGATTCTGTGTTCGACAAAAACGTTCTTCTGAAATATTTCATGTTTATGCTACGGAGGATGGATTAGTAGTCATGTGGAGGTAACTTAATGAAGAATTCAGTTCTTTTTTTGGTTATTTGCATGTATGTATTCGTAAATATGTCGAACTTATTACCATGCATTAGACGTAGAAACGAGAGATATCTATCTTCTATTACTTCGATTTCCGTACCTATATACAGATATCTAAAGATGGACAAGGCATCATGTAATGTATCCGAGATAGATATTTCCGAGAATTGGACATGTTTACTGCTCGGATAGGATTGAAGCTAAACATGAATGTTGGATATTTATTAATACTGGTTGACATAAAGTGAAAGTCATTGTGTATTAAAGACAAGCATTAGAATCGGGGATTTTGGCGAGTATTATCTTGGAAACGCACTGGTGTATTTCCGTACGGATACCATGATGATTGAGTTGTTATTTCTCTATGTTTATATTCCGATTCTTGAAACGGATTTCTAAAAACAATAGAAGTGGAATAATCAGTCTATTTACCTATTCACTTAACATACGTCATTGGTTCCATACGTAGAGGTACTCCTGCGGCAAGATAATGTGGTTCTCGATCGGTTTGATACTAAAGAGACACGCATGCAATTCGAATCGTTTCGTTATCAAGAAAAAAAGAACATATGGTACATACAGGATAACGTTCAGGTCGATGAGTAACACTGGAATCGTACTGAACAAGATTGTTTTTGAAGCACAAACCATTGACATCGTCGGGTGAAGCATAGGCTATTTTGAAACGACCGGGATATTCATCGAAGGATTTAGACCAGTCATCGTTTGATTGTCTAATGAAAAAGAAAGAAAACAGACGAGAAGTTCGAGAAGTCTTCTGGAATTATTTCTAGTTTTACGATCTCTGATTGGCAACAGTACGTGGCCGATTGTCCTAAATGTTAATTAACAAGTTGCTCGAATGAAACTGTAGATAGAAAACATACAAACGAATGCTGTCCAGCTGGTTGAATCGGTTCTTTATATTTCGCGTAGTCTTTTGGTGGAGCTTTGAACCATTCTGGTCCCAGATATGAATATGATGCACAATGATAATCTCGAGTTCTCTCAGCGTAATTGTCTGTTGATTTTTGCCAATAACTTTGAAAGACTGGATTGAACGTACGTGTTGTCAGATCGGGACTAGCTTTTGGATAAATAGGATGACTGAAAATGCACAAACAGGCCATAGATTAGATTAAAGAGAGTATTCCTATAACGAACCGCGTAAGATACGATGGTGTATGTGGAATGGGCAGAATGTGATTGAGATGAGTCGCCGAATCTGTCGTTCCAAACTGTGTCATGATCGAGAGAAAATTACTTTTTATTTTCGATAAAACCCTTCGTTTAGAAATGAAAAAAAGAAATGTTTAGTGTGCATTGTTGTTATTGACGTTGCTAAGTTCGACAGTTTTCTTTACTCGCATTTCAAAAGCAAACACACTACTTCATTTTCTTTTCTTTTTTACTTCTTCATCAAATAGAACATTTTAAACACAGTCATCGCTTGTTTCTGTGATAGCATGTGCGTATTTATTGAACGGCTTTCAGACGTTTTGAGAGAGAGCATGTTCGATCACGCTGCATGAGTTTTTTATTTTGAAGAAAAAGAAAATTAAATGTTAGACATTGAAGAGATACTGAACTAGACCGCTGATGTTCTGTGGTTAATATCAAGTTAAAACATACAACAAGAATCTTTTAGCATCTAGACGCACAAAATCAAGCACAGTAGTTTTCATAGAATCATAAGAAGACAGAAAGACTATCTAACGAAAGAGAAAGAAAGAAAATAAGTTGTATACTTTTCTTGACATGGTACAGAAACAGATACACAAGAGAAGAGAAAGAGTCCTGTTTCCTTATATATACAAACAGAGTGAAAATCATCAACTACTTTGCTTCCAGGAAGAAATCACTGCTTATTGAACTAGTTAAGATGATCCTGTTGAGCCATAATTCATTAGTTCAGTGAAAGCACGGTCGAATGCTTGATGTAATTCGGAATAACTAACAATAATGACATTTTGGCCATCTCGTGATGTTAAACAGATTTTATCATGTGAACCAGCATCGAACTACATTGAATGAAAAGAAAACGGTCATTCCGACAACATCATCTATGAAATCTTACTTTATTGAGACATTGAACGATATGAGCAGTATCAACAATAGGTTCGCCTTCGAAACCAACTGAGTGAAAGATAAAATCACGAAATAATTTGAGTATATATCGATCGCCTGTTTCCGACCAGGCTTGATTCATTGAATGTCTTAATAAAAAATAAATTCTTCTTTTCATAGATCCATATACTCTTTCTTACTCTGGTCGTTCGAGTAATGTATCAAGTTTACATACTAAACGAAATAGTCGACCACAATCGAGTTCCTACAATTGAAATGAAGACATATTTCTTTTGAGTAACGGTTTGTTTATCATACTTTAGCTAATTCATTTTCAAGAATGTCACCGCGAACATGTAAGTTGTCGATTTGTGCATAAAATCGTGCACCAATCATTGGCATACATTCGTTGATATTTTTCGGTTTCATTGTATTCGATGGTAACATGAAATGTCTAGATGAAAAGAGTGAAATCGACGAAAATTTCATGGGAAGAAACTTACAGGATGAGATTTTTCAGATCACTGGTATAATTTCGTTGAACGATTTCCAGAGATGTTTGTAAATGCTCTTTTTGTGCGCCAACAATCGAGTTACACGCTAACATTAATATTAAACGACCGAAATCTTGTAAGTCATTTTGCTAGAAGACAAATAGTCAAAAAATTCTAGTCATAGCCAAGCAGAAAACAAACGTGTATTTACTATATGTTGATGAACAGCTCCGTTTATAGTTCCATCGAGAATATCGGCAATACCAACACCACTGAGCCATATTCTAGCAGACAAAAGGGGCACGGAAACATCTATACTATAAGACCGAACTTTTTCAATGCGTTCATACCTAGCTTTTCCACGTCCTCCTTTCGAGTCGCCATCTACAAGAATTCTTGATGATTGTAAGCATCGACTGGTCAATGATAATCCATGTAACGTTCGAATCAATGAAGATATTTGTACCACATATTCCCAGATCAGTGCTTCCGACAGTAAAGTTGTTTGACTAGTTCCTAAAGACGAAGAATAGCACTCTCGTAATGTGGTATACAGCTGGTGTCTTTTCGTACCTTTACCAGCACTAAACGGTCGATCTTCACCCGATATGTTATAAGGATTTGCCCAACCTTTTAGTAGACTACTATTCATATTGAAGTGTCGTTTTTGTAAAGTTTCACAATTGGGAATATAGTCGTAGACGAAGACGATTGCTACAAATATTCAAATGGTTTCTTTGTAATGGATAAAGTGTAACTCATACAAGGTTGTTCGTCATCGAAATCTCTCGTTAGGAAAACATCCCGTAATTGGACAATACTGGCATGAGAAACCTTCTTCCACGCTTCGACAACTTCGCAAAGGCGCTGGGTTTGTAATTGACATCCTATGTAATAAATACCAAGCTGCTTTCAACTCTTTCTCGCATGGATCTCCTACCCATCATTCTTTTTAAATAACATATGGCATTCGTTCGAATATGGTTCGCTTTGTAGCTTATTGTCTGATAATGGAATGTACGAGATTTATGTGGAACATTTGCCTGGTTACTATCAAGTGGTACCAAATTGTAATACTCACCAACACGCTCAGGCATAACTAAAAGACACATGATCGAAGTTCAATACTTCTATTGTCTGATACCATCTCACCTCCGGCAACATCTAGATTTGCGCATACAGTCAACATCTGATTGCGTCTGAGCAGTTCATTTCTAAAGAATCGAGCAAAAATTTCAAGATCTCAAATAGAATTGTATTCTTCAAGCAAGACACTCACCTCAAGTCATCATCCATAAAATACGCTGCATTAGATCGCGCCTGCCGAGCAGATGGTATATCAGTTGGAATTGTACGTTCTTTATCATCACGATTTGTACCACCAATTAGTAGATCATCATCTGTCAATTGTTGCATCTATATATTGACACACGAAGAGAATGTATTAATTCAGGCATAACGGTGAAACATTACGCTGTATGGTCCGGCTTGTGAGAAAGGGTAAAATTCAAGATTATGGTCAGGTGATATACGGGTAGTATTGTCCGCCGCGGCTGCATCGACTGTGTGAATAAAAAATATTAATCAGAGTATGAAAAATTGATTGCGATCATGCAAAAGACAAAGGGTAGCGTGCAAATCTTTTTTTTTTGTTCTAATTCAGATCTGTTCATACTTGTCATTTGTAAGCTTTTCCGTGCTGAAAGATGCAGAGACGCAACGTAGCACATTCGTAAGGCTATTATTGAATATTCGGTGAACTTACCATGGCTGGAAACAGGACCGAGACCACTGAATGGGCCAGTGACACCGAAATGAGGTAACCGTGATGCACCGATCATATTGTTCGCCTGAAATAAGTCAACGACGCATTCAACATGTGGATGAAGCCAGACTACTCACATGTGGAAATTTATTTTGTACGGAATGTCCATGTAAATCAGATAAATAGGTATTGTTATTATTCAACGTTCCATCACGTGTCATTAGAGATGGTTGAGAGTAACTTGGGTTATTATAGAATACTGATGGATTACGTGGTGGCGTCATGAATGTCCTTCCCTAGAACGAAAATCGATCGTTTTCAATGTACACAGCCAATCTGTATTCTTCAGATCCGCGTTTACTTGCTGGAAAGATGAGGCTCCATACATGTCTCCATCTAATGCACCATTTGAAAGCATGTTTTGCTAGATAACCAAATAGAGAGAGTATTTCGCCATCGTTTCATATCAACTCGACACTTACATATCTAGAAATCGAATCTCTCGTTTGTACACTCGTCACCGGCAATAAGAAAAAGGACGCACTGCTCTATGCTTCTCTCTTAACGTCGTTGAACGATCATATCTAAAGTAGCGAGAAAGAATCAGATATTTCAATCCTACATTGAAGATTTATTTTATTTCCCTGCTTGTTAAATGATTTAAATGCACGCGTAAATAAATGAAAAAAAAGAGCAACTGCACTCATTGAATTATCGTATAAGAGAAGAAAATGAATTATTTTTCTTGGCTACACATTCATTCTCTACTACAGACAAACGAACAATTAAGTTTCGAATAACAAACACACGCTAAGAGACAATGAAAAAGAAAGAAAAACGAACGAAAGAACACCGTAAACTGATATATCTGAAGCATGCTGAGAGATGACGTAATAGAGAATGAGAGAGATAGATCAGAAAAACCCGTATGATCATATAAATTATAACATGATATGAATAATGACATAGATGAATAGAAAGAGGAGAAAACCAAACAATCGTTTGATGCACAACACAACATTGAATTATTTTTGGTTTTATTCGTTGATTTTGTTGATAAATACGTGTCGATGACGATATTTACCAAAGTGGACCATTGGATCGACCACCAGGCGGATGGAATACACGAACACTTGTATGCGTATTCTACAAAGCAGAAAATCAGATAGTTGCAACCGTGGAATCAGCTGGTATCGAAATAGGAGGCAAACTATAAATTTTATTCGTCTTACTTTTGCATTGCTATGTCCATTAGTGTCATTTGAGTGACCATTTGTAGACTTATCAGCTGCTGCCTGTTCTTGACCATTTCCATTAGTAGTCGAATTATCATCTGATTTCTCTTCTTGTTCCTGTTCCGGTGTTTTCACTGTGTCATCTGACTGTTTGCCATTATCTTTAATATCCATTTGTTCGAGTTTCGAATTTAAACCATCTTTAGTTGAATACGATTCGCCACTAATTGGATTGTAACCCACTAGAAGAAAGTGAAATCAGAGATAATTCCATTCGGCTAAATGGAATCGAATATCAAATCATATAGAGAGCACATTGCGAAGCAAAATGAAATGAATTGAAGCAGTAGACTTGTCTCTGTCTGAACATTCCAAATTGAATTTTAAGGGTGAAATTTTCTAACTCAAATATCAATTAAGATAATTAGATTCTTGTCGAACAAACGACAGCAAGCGACAGATGGACAACAATACAATAAAGCAATAGGCATTTACACGAGTATGACTGAAGCTGGACGAATGATAAACATCTAAATAAAGTCAGCATGCATTAGATTCGGATGATCAGGAGTTATTGTTGTTGTTTATGCACAGAAAATTAGCCAAAAAAAGTCATTTAGTAAGTGATACACACTGGTCTATGTGTTCAATATTTGGAAATACTATCACACAAAAGAAAAGCGGATATTGATATACACATCGCGATGTTTATTTCTCTTTTGTTATTAATAGACACACGATATGAGACAGACGGAGAAGGAGAAAATTGGTTTGGGGTGTGTTTTTTTGTTGAATATGGCACAAAAAAGGAAAACACTATCAGACTCACTGCGTGATGCATTTGGATCTAAACAAAATGTGTGAATTGAACAAAAGGAAATCAAACGCAGCATACGAACTCAATGCATATGTTTCAAACAGTTATCTATATATGCTACCTTTTAATCTCAATGGTGAATAAAGACTTATGGCAATAGATGGCCGATAGTTCTCTTGTTTATTTGTGTATTGAAACCTACCTCGTAAACCTTGACGAGTGCCTGGTTGCCGTTTTGTTTGATTATCATCATCATCTGCGCTACCAAATATACTTGATTTGAATTTTTCGGATACAGCACGTGCTGGTGCTGCTTGAGTGGGTTCATTTGTACCGAAGATATCCGATCGTTGTCGGTCCGGTTTGTTCGATGGTTGTGAAGGCAATGGTTCGTCGAATATAGTCGATTTGTTTTTACCTGAATAGACACTCGGTTTTTGAACTGTTGGTTCAGGATCACTTCCAAAAATATTATTGGTGATATTTCGTGTTTGTCTAAATGAAAGAAGCAAAATGGGAGAATTCAACGAGCTACTGTTGACTTACTTCACAGTTACAGAATCAGTGTTATTTTGTTTGCAACCGAAGATATCTGACTCCATATGATTTTTCTTTGCTGCTAGCACGGGCGGTTCAGGTTCAGGGACACCGAAAATATTTGTGCTATGGCCACCTGGTGGAGCATAAACACTAGAAAGAAAGCAGATGTTCAAAAGTAATTAGAGAGGAGTTAACCTACCGAATTGATGGTTGATCTTTGGAAAAATTCGACATTTCGTAGAAGGATGCGTACAGAAATGGTCTGAAAAAGAAGAAGGCCTCCACTTTCCTCTGTTCAATTCTCACGAGAGATCATTTAATTATTTATTTGCATCGCATAGCTAATCAAGATCGAAAACAATGTATTTCATTAGGAATTGCTGAGAAGTTCAAAAGAAAAGAGATAACGAACTGATCATTCGCTCAACCACATGAAGAAAACAATAACACAACATGTGAATAGAATTACTTTCTAGCCATAGGAGAAATGATTGAACCTTCTTAATTAGTACAACTAACTAACGACAGGATAAGCACGTGAAAGAAAAGAAAATGAACGTCGAAGACAGGCAAATCTGCTCTCACTGACTATTTTTTGTTTTCTCGAGAATGTGATTTACTTTCTTATGTGTGAAACAATGGAGACACGATAATTGCGAGAAATAGATGTCGCACCTAATAGGATGCATTGAACGTGCGTTCGATCATTAAGTACGCGTGTAACAGATGTTCTATACAATTCATCGGTCAAATAGAATGTCTCAATGGAGAGAGTAGGTCATGTCGATCGAATGAATGAGTAAATGAGAAAAAAAATTCTCTCATTCTGTCTGATCCGATCTAGACAATTGACGGTTAACCTGCATCTACGTGAAAAACATTTATTTATTGACCAACACTCTTTGATTGTTCAGTCGATAATTGACCTTTTCCGATAGTGTAGTAGTGTTTTACGATGGTTTATAATAAGGAACAGTCGAATACTTTGATCCACGGCAATCGTCCTACCTGATGAGAGCATTTCTATGGTCACTATTTAGATAGAGACAAGAAGAGAAGTCTATACAATTAAATGGGTGTGAAAGTTTTCTTCTCTTTTATGTAGTGGATGTAATTTTATTAGTATAAAGGTCAGCATGAGGTTTAATTAAGTTGAAAATTAACAAAAAAAACTTCTCGTGTTCATACTCTCAAATTGACAAGTAGCGTGAAATATCTTCAAATTGAAGAGAAAGTGAAAGACTTCCTCTTCGGGTCATTGCATTTTCAATAGATGCGAATTAATCGAACTTTTGTTCGAGTTACGATAAGAGCGAACGAGACATATGTCGCGAATATCTCTAAGCTCTTCAATTCACATCGTAGAGCATACATCAAATGTGATATTTTCGGCGTTCAATGTTCTTCAATGAAAGGTTAAGCTGTCAATATTTTTATTCATTTGAGAGGGAAAAAATGCAATCAAATGTATAATATGAGAATCACTCGAGATTATGGTTGATGCTTTTTGATACAAGACATAAAAGAAAGATCAGTGAGATTACAACATTTAAATAAGAATAAGATTGATTAATAGGATATACGAACAACATAGAGATCGTCTTCATTCTGCTCGTCTAGGGTTTGCGCTTCTTTGTATCGATAAGCCCACCTTTGCCATCTTCTTCTAATGGATTGTAACCGCCTGGACGAAGCATAAATGTATCATTACGTTTCGTGTCCATATAGATCTAAGTGAAATATAGAAAGTTTTGAAGATGATTTAGATAGATTTCTCTTACCTTATTCAAAGCAACCAGTAATTCATCCATTTTATTCGGAAACAATGTGACTGGATCATGATATTGAACGCGACTACCATCATATGGATTCAAATGTAAACGATCCATTTCTTGCGTTCGACCCAAACCTAAACAAATGAGAGTGATATCAATGAGCCGATTTGTGTCACTTATTACCTGTCCATTTCTTCATTTGATTAACAATAAAGCCCACGATTTCATGTTCATTACTTTGTAACGCAAAGTTGTTCCGGACAACCCGAAATGCGTCTGCGATGATTGAAATAAACTGAAAATAAACGAACACGTATAGATTGAATATTCTCCTTTCGATTTTGATGCGTATGAATACATACCATACTCATACAGATGAAAACGACAAAGAAGACGAATAGGGTAAAGCAGAATGGCCCGAGAAAGATATCTGCTGCATAAAGATCTGATACATCGAATTTTAATAACATCATTTCAAATAACATCTGTGCTGTTTTAAGTGGATCTGAACAAGCCCAAATCTTCGAACTGAATAGCAGATAGAACAATGCCAAGTAACTCAGATAAAGAATGGAGAACATAGCCGAGAATGAGAGTAGATCTTTGAAAGCATACGCTAACGTTGATGATAACATTGACATACGTTGATTAAATCGGAGTAAACGAAGGAATTTGATTGTACCGAAGAAACAACAGAAACCCAACAAGAAGGTTAAAGTATCGTTTGCATAAACGGCCAATTGTAGATTAACGTACGCATAACCATTCGTCTGCTGAAATAGTTCACCGACCCGATTAGCTTCACGAGCACGCCATATATAGACGCCTAAGCCGGCCCAGGAACATGCAATGATACCGATTTCCATGTATGACCAGAAATCACGGAAGTACGCCATACGACGGGTGAATAACGAACGAATCTCACGTTGCATGTAATAGACAATGAAGAGCATATAGACGATCGAACAGATCAATTTGAATAAACCAAAACCTAGAAACACAAAGACGTTAATGTCGACTTACTTTTTTTCATTAGTCACATCCCTACCTTGATAGTCGTTTGAGAGTGTGAATGGTTCAACACGTGCTGTTGGATAAATGCCGCCGGTTGGCAAAAATTCAGCCAGGATAGTAACAAGTATAAATAGATTCACATTCGGATTGTACAAGCTCATTTGGATCATCACTGCGCGTGTGTGCATGTCGATCCATGATAGATCTTGTAATAATGATATATTCGATTGAATATCACTCATCTTTCCACGCAAAGTATAGACATAACCACCAGATGCATACGTTGCCTGTTCACCAATATAAGTATATGTATCCAAAGCGTCGCTATCATTGTACATAAATGCATCGTTAATCGAAGTTGAGTAGTTGCTCCATGGACCAGCGGTTTGATTGTAGACTGTTGACCAGCTTGGATAATAGGATTGTTTGTCTTCGTTGAGCATACTGTAGCCCGCTTCACAGTATGGAATAATATTTCTGAACGCTGTTAAGATATTGCACGAATCTAGAAAGAAATAGATTTGAGTGAGACTAATGCAAACGAAGGTGAAATACCAGGTTTAACGCGTAGTTGCCGCATTGTCGTCCAGCCTAACATACGATTCGTTTTATCTCCGATGAAGCCTAAACAAGATGAAAGAGTCTAAGGAGATTCTATGCTATTAATATGCCACTCACCAGATAAATTCGTAGGTCGATCACCATTGTACCAGTTCGATGCTCGAAGTCGCGGTAAGAAGGCAGTGTTGACCCAGGTCCAATATTGGTCCAAACGATAAATCTGTTAAACGTCAAGTAAGAAAGAATGAATGAGAGATATTCAACATTCAGTCATGATATTTACTTGAGTGAAACTGGTAGTTTGACTGTTCAAATCAAGTAGATCCTCGCGTAAATGTTGCATAAGAAAGAATGCATTTGGGTCTCGATTTGAGTAACTGACCAGATAGAGTATCCATAAGAATGATGCGTAGGCAATTAATTCTCGAACAATTTCCCACATGCGAATTTCTTTCATTCGTTTATCGCGTGCATACGCTAATTCACCTTCGGTCAATGGTATGTGTCCAGATTTCGAACGGAATGTCAATAGGGATCCATCGTCGAACGCATGCAAATATTCTTCATCACCATCGAGAAATAGATCATCATCATCAGTGTCAATGTTGATATCTTCGTCGCGTCGAATAATCAATGCAAAAAATATTGCCGTAAAGACAACCTATGGGAACAAAGTACATTATTTCGCGTATCAAAAGAGACACTTTTAAAATTACTTTAACTGGCTGAGTGACAAGAATAGATGAGAAGAATCCAGTTATGGATGATGTTAACCATTTACGTGTTTTTACATCGCCGAATTCGACTCCTCGTGCCCAGATGAAAAATCCCGAAATGCAAACGACAAGAGCTGAAAGGCCGTAGGCGACGAAAATGAACCACCATGGTAAAGTGAATGGTTTCTTCTTCTTTGATATATGTTCATCTGGATACACTCGGCCGACAGTTTGTCTATTCGTCAGCGGTGTTACTAATGTTTTCCGCATGTTGTCAAGTTCGTTTCTCGAAAGAACTGGATCCGAATTGACAACAAAGCTAGAAACAACGGAATCAATGAGAGTTATAATTGTTCAAGACAGATGAAATTTGGTACTTAGTCAATTGAGGATGAATGTCATTGACTGCAGCTTGTTCCTTTTTCTGTTGTTGCTGTTCTTGCATTTGACGAAGTGCTTCACGTACTGGTGGCACAGGACGACGACGAGGCCGTAAACGACGGAACATTTCCACCAAGATAGTACTTGGTAAGAAGCAGATCAATTCGACAATAATACCAATGGCAATCTGAATTTATTCGAAAGAGAGATCAAGATTCTGTTCATCGACTACGAATGCAATAAAATGCATACTTGTTCGGGTGTGATGTAAAACGGTCCCATAGCAATTCCGCCAGTTGTTTTCACATCTGCACTGGCCTTTTGGTCATAGTACATAATATTCATCAACCTAAATTGGTCAACGAAGGTAAATATTTCAGTGGGTACATCATTCACTCACATAGACATGAGAAGTAGTACAAAGCAGCATGTGCAACGTTGAGTACGAGTAAAGCGAATCGCTGGCGGTCGTGAAAAGACGGAAAACCAAAGATGACCATCAGACATCGAATGATATGTCTTTTTCGATAACAAATAGGCAAATTCAGTCTTTTGTTCTTCACCAGCAACAGGCACGAGTCGATCAACCTAGACATATGTGGAAGTTGTTTAATCTATTCGTCTGTTCTTTTACTAGTCAATCTTACCAATCCATCGTCTCTTTCAACAGCAAACCATTGTTGGCAGATAAAATGATTTTTTTCCATTGTTTGTAAATTTCTGACGACGATGTATTTCAAGAACCACGATGCTCTATTTCCCGCACCGGAATTATCATGCCAAACACGCATGTAATTGAGTCGACCAAGTGATCTAATAGAGAGAAACGGGAAATACTAGTAAAACTTTCATATTTCATCGAGAGTGTCAGATCTACTTTGGCACTGCCATGATAAATGAATCAATACCACCGCGTTGTAGAATTTTACGTTGTGGATCTTCGAATGTTCGTACGCCTGTTTCTTCATTATCGCCGGATATGATAAAATGAACCTTAACAAAAAGCGATTTAGACGGCAAATGAACATGTTTCAAAGATTTACTTTCGAGTCTGTTCCTGAATCTTTCCGTAGACCAGTAAAAACGATGATTTGATAATAATATTTATCGTTGAGAATATTATCTGGTAGAGGGGTAACACCGAGCTATATACGTACAAAAAATCATTAGAAATGATAAATTCTTTGAAGTTTGATTACTTTTTCCACATCTTTCTTATCTTTGTGTCGAGCATAGATCATAAATGTCGTATAGAGAACAGCTAGAAGTATTAGTGTTAAATAGATAGTAATATTTTTCGAAAAATCGGCGTTGGCAAATACATAATTCCAGTTGATAGGTGCAGGTAAAACTACCCAACCACCGGCAAACGTTGTTAAATGGTCTGAAAAGCATTGCGTTTGTGTATGCGAAGTCTTGCTACCAACCTAGAGTACGAATCAAAACAAGCATTTTGATTCTATTCTCGTTGAAACGAATGGTGGTGTATCAGCTTACCAGCAGACCATCTGTTCTCCAGTTGTAACTATTGTCAAGGTAATAACAGCCTGAAGTATAAACTCGGATGTAATAATTGGCTGAAAAATTTGCTGGACTATCGGTGACTGGAACGGTTGAATTATCAAAACTTGCATTGTTCGGACAATACCGGACGAATTCTGTTTGATTCAATTCACGAATGCCAAACATGGCCGACGTATGATTAGCCGTTTGACTATTGTCAAGTAGATATTGATATATATAGTCATCGCTATCTGTATAGATTTTGTCTAAAGAAAAAAATACGACAATATAGAGAAAATGAAAACAGCAATGATGGTTTACCTGCAGGACAAAATACTCGGTGTCCATTTGTTTTGTTGATTGAGGTGTTTAGTAATGGAATATCATCGAAACGATATATAACGACATAACCGACTGTTGGATCGATTGATTTGAATTCGAATGTTGCTGATAATGTGATGGTTGCTGATGGACCGGTGACATTCACATAGAACAAGGAAAACTGTCGGTTATTGTTTGCAGTCGATGACGATGTTTGTCCAGTAGCATTTTGGAAAGTCATTTGCGGTATGACGATACTGGTATCGCGTGGAATAAGCAGTTCAATCGGTGCAGAAAGTCCTTGGACTGATTTACTCGTTCCTTGACTGTCGAACAGACTTAGTGTAACACTTCGAGATGCACTGACGCTTGCTTGTGTACGTCCATTGTTTCCTGCAGCAGCTAAAGGTGTGATGACAGACTAAAACATAAGATCCAAATAAGTGCATGCGCGTATGAGCTTCTAAAGGCCATATCAAATTAGAAGACTCTCCTCAATGAGAAAACCGTTTTCGCCAAAAAGTTCAACAGATGCATTAGAAGGCCTCCTTTTATACGAGCATTTCAATGAATCGATGAAATCTTGAGCTATTTAAAACTTTTGTAGAAAATCTGGCATTATAAGGCCCCTTTGCCTACATCACTTGTGAAGACATTTTAGTGTGCCCCGAGTCTTTTGGCCTGAGGACGAATTTACTTACATTCACTACGATCGGATCCGAGTCAGAGCAAGTCTGATTGGCGTATAATAAAGCGCAGAACGATATTGATGGCAAAGTCATTTGAGCTCCACCAGCTTGTGATATTATACTGGCGCTTAAATTGCTAATTGTTTGTTTCGAAGTAGTCATTGACATAGCGTCTGTATTGATTACGTTTGTTTGCCCAACGTTCATATGGTAATTGAGAACTTGAACCATTGATGTAATACTATTGTCGACCATTGTAAGAATTTGATTGGCATTTTGTTGTTGATAGTAAAGATTTCGATTCTTTTGTATCGTTTCAGCTGAAAAATCATCTCCGTCAGCGAATAGATTGGGATTGGACCAAACTGAGTCAAGATCCGTTTCATAGTCAGCTGGTAATGTGTTGGCGCGCTCATAATCCAAATTAAGGACAGCTCCACGATCTAACGTAGCTGTGTTCGCAGCAACACCTATCTTACTTAGAGTGTCAGCAATTCCAGACACTGCCATTTGTACATCTTCGTATGAAACACTATCCGCCATACCGCTCAATGCGCTAAGTAAATTGGTGCATTTTGTGGCAGCTAAGCTCTATCGTCGGAAGACAACGCAAAAAAAAGTGTAGATTGTGCTGAGACACGACTTTGACAATGAACTTACACTTGTTTGACGTGTTAACTCCGATGTTCCGTCTGCCAAGACGCTCAGTGTCGACGCTTGCAATTTAATACTATCTATATTGGTTACTGATAGATTGCTGATGAATTGCATTGCATATTCTCGAATAATCGACTGAGAATTAGCGGCTGCTGTATATGCTGCTAAAGCTTCTGTATTATTGGCAGATGAATTAGCTGTGCTCTGAAATGAAAGAATGGCAACGATCGATATCCGTCAATTAATATAGTTGTTGCAAAACTGACCGCTGTTGAAGTCACTGATGTAGAATATAATCCGGAAACGGTAAGAGTTGCTATTGGTATAGTTCCTGAAAGAAGAGAAAGCAATGTAGTAATTGATGAGGAAAACGTTCTTTCTAACCTGATGTCGCATTCTGTTGTAATGATGCACTAGCTGCATTCAAGGTTGTTGATATAGATTGAATCAGTTGACTGGCTGAGTTCTGATCACCTGCATAGAGAGCTTGTTGAATCGGATCGTTCGAACCACCTTGTGTTGACGCTTGTTGAGATAGTGTCATGAAACTGGTGAGAGCTGTCTGATCAACCATGACCTAGTAAGAAAATATATTGTGATTTACAAAAGCTATAGCCATATTAGAAAAGATCGTACCATCACAGTTGAAATATTGCAGGAGGAAACAGCGCCGTAGGTATCCCGAATTTCAGCTACTAATCGAACGGCATAGTTTGAACTTTCATCACCAGGTGGCAAATAAACACTCATCGTATTCAATGTAGAGATAGCAATTGTAGTTCGAGTACCATTCGTCGGCGGATAGACTACAAAGTGAAGAATCTCTCATTTTTCTGTCAATTTTATCGAAGAGAAATATACGTACCATACAATGTATAGCCTTCGATGCCATCAGAATCCGCCCAATTGGAACATGTAATTCGAAAACGCGTCAGCGTTGTGCCATTAGTTCGGTCAACTGTGCAGGTACCATTTTGTGGCGGTGTATTTATAAAGAAACGAACAGCACCTGTGCCACTCGCGATACCACTAGTTTTAGTAACGGTATAAATCGATTGAAATTTCCAATATAGAACCGATGGATTATTTATAAATAGTGCACTAAGCACTGTTAGATTTTGTGTTGTTCGACCTTTGAATGAAAACGGAAGATATTTCTCCAAATGATAGATTAATTTGAGTTTTACCGTAAAAGTATATGTTGTCATAGGAACTCATGTCTGGATAAGTGGCCCATTTGATATCAGAATTTGGATAACTGGTTTGGAAGCCAATAAAGACATTCCATTGTATGACGACATTAGTAGCATTGTCACATGTTAAACACTGCGATGTCATCAAAGCTTGTGACGTGGGATTGATACGTTGGTATGTAGCATCTGGTACGCACATTTTAATCACACATCTGAAATGATGATTTTTTAAATTGAAAACAACAAATCTTCGATCTTTATTATCTTACGCGGCAGACACTAAAACAGATTCCGTTGCTTGAACCTGTACTATAGTATAGCCGGTATATACGCGTGATGAGTCATAGATATTGGTTAGCACAGCTTTGAATTCATACGTCTGGAGACTTGGTAAAGAATTTGGTTGAATATAGAGAATTGATCGATTGTTATTGGGTCCGTACTTGAAGAAACTCGTGTTACCTAAGACAAGAACAAAGAATAAGCAACAAGCCAAGCTATTTCGCATGAAATTTACCTGGTGTATTAAAACACGACGGATTCAATGGATCGACGGTAGTAGATTCAATTGTTAACTGGACTCCATTTATGGTCGGATATGAACCAACTCCATACACTCGACAATAATAATTGAATGTCCAGTTCTGAAATAAAAATCTTTCTTTCTCTCATACAATCCAATCGTTCACTCACTGTTGGATCAAAATAATACGAATCAGGATCAACAGAATATGCACCAGGTTGAAACAGAATACTTTGGGTAACGCCATTAGTTATCGTTGAAGTACCGTTTGCAAGTAAATTGACTTGAATATCTGATGCAACGATGGAGACGTATGTGTAAGCTGATGCTTGAAAATCAGGCGCTGCGGCCATCGAAACTGTATGATTGAATAAGTATGTGCCGATTGGTAAAGATCTGGCTGGAATGTATATTTCAGATGTTTTCGCCGAAGTTAATTGTGAGAGCAATTGTTTCGTCACCGACGTTTGAATGCATATTTCCGTAGTGACATTACATAGATATATGCCCCACTGCTTTGTGTTATTTAATGACTTTGAACAATTGAGAGTTGAGACAGTTGCCACTGAGAATGCATTACTACGCTGTATGATTCGTGACCAACGTAGAGTTGGATTATAAAGAACAAACTGAATTTGTGGTACACTGCAGCCGACCGCTGATGTTATTGGAAATGCAAGATATGCTCGCGCAGTGACTGATGTCACTTGATTCCATGCATAAGCGTATAACCATGAATTTGTACGATTGAACGTATGCGTAAAAGAGACGGATGAATTGACATATGTAAATGATTGGATCGTTGATGGGCACGATTTATTCATAGACATTAAATCGTTTGGTATTGATGAACATGCTGTCGAATCACCGTAGCAATCAGTGGCGCTGTCTGAATATTGAATTAATAAACACGACAATGCTGAATAGTTTTGATACATGGCGATGAATGTTTTCGGAACATTTTGACCAACAAGAACATTATTATCGCTAATTACTACACCGGCGACTGCAGAGAGAACGTAGACACTCAATGAAGCTGATTGTGTGTAAGATGGATTGCGAGTTTGAACTAATATAGTGTAAAGACCATCCTAGAAAACAAATCAATGAATGAAGATGAAACCACGAAAAATCACTCCACTTACTACTAAAATACTATTCAATTCGAGATCGACAACTAAACGATATAACGGCGCACCACTTGTAACACCGACAATATTTGAGACATTTGTTGCTTGATAGATTCCGAGTGTTTGAGTAAAAACAGTACTTGAGCCTTTTTGAAATATGACATCGAATGCTTCTGGGATGCCACCTACGAACAAAAAACAAAGCAGAATTATATTTATTTATCTATATTCGAAGGAAAGCGAATCTCCTTACTTGGATTGCTCCACGTGACATAGAGAACCAATTGACTCTGTTTCGGAATAGAATATTGGCCACTATAAGTTAAGTTGCACGTATCATCCAGTGGACTGGTTAAGCTTGGTAAAAGATAGCAAACCGATACGCCATAGTTGTTGAACGGTGCATTGATTCCAATTTTGACGATTTGCGTTTTCGATGAAGCACCATTATATACGGTGAAATTGACTAAAAACACGCCTGGTGTTTGGAATGTATACGAGCCAGTGTATGGTAATGAAAAGTTTTGAACACTTTGTGTCGTTAATGGACTCGAAACATTGAAATCTATGAGAAGAGCGGCATTGGTTGCTAATGGTGAACTTGTATCTTGAACACGTATTGGAAGTGTGATTGCAGCTAATGAAGAAGACGCAATAATTCGATTTAGATGAGCCTCGAAAACCTACCTCCAGTATAGATCATTTGACTTAGAATAGCAGTTACATTTGGAAAAGTAACTGAGAATGATGTTACAGGATATTGAACAGTGATACTAAAGTTTTGTACAACCGTATTGATCGGCCCAATCGACGAGATTGTTAGTGTATATATACCGATAGATGTGTACATATGTGTCCGACTGTCTGGCATGGTGGGTAGTGAAGCTAAGAAAACAAAATATAAGACGAATTGCTTGTGTTTGATAAAAGAGCGAGAATATATTTCGAGCGAAATCAATACCTGTTCGTGGAGCTGACACAACTGTTCCATCACCAAAGTTCCATGTAAAGTTTACTGAGCCCGGATTGGAATCAGCGACATAGATGAGCGCTTGAAATGGTGTCGTACTATTCAGTGACCAATACAGAGAATTAATTGTATAATAAACTTTTGCAAGAATACGTGTCACCATTACAGCGCAACTAATGTTGACAGAATCGATACTATTGCTAACTTGTAGAACGGCTGTATAATTTCCTATAAGTAGAACAGAGCAAGTTTTTGGGATGGTAATTCATCTCTTTTTGTCATACCTGCTGAAAAATAGATCACGTCAAGACTACTGCTACTTGTCGCAGGTGATACAAAGTAATTCAATGCTAATGAAAATGGTCCGAGAGCAACTGATGGCTGATTAATTAAATCAGGTATAATCATAACTTGTGCATTGGATGCTGGTTTAATCGTTGTATTGGCTGCTTGAATGACAAATGAAGCAATACCACGAGTATCATCAAAACTAGCTGCACATTGAGTCGATGGTAACTGTAAAACTGTACTCAAAACGATAGATTTGACCGATGTTGACAGTGTAACAGAAATATATCGGTAAACTGTGCCAACAGCATTAGTAAATGCTGCCGTAATCGTTATTGTACCTGGAATTGCGAATGTATGATTTAATCCTGCACAACTGCTCCAAACATTGACTGGGTAATCTCCAGGATATTCGCATACCACTGGGACACCTGCAACTGTATCACTGAATGAGAATGACACCATCACGTTTGATCCCGAGCTCATTGTGTATTCAAATAAAATTGGACCTGGAAATTGCGTACTGTTTTGTGATGCTCGTATTTGCGCTTCACCAATTGGCGAAACAACAGAGAATGTATCCAAGAGGTGTGCTGTCGATAAGTAATTCCATGCGAAGATTTCGATAGTGTAATTACTCGACGATGTTTGGCCGTTAAGTGAATTCGTTTGAACGAGGTTATATTGATCATTATAAGTATAGTTAAGTTCTGAGCCGTTGAAAAGAACTCGAAATTGTGGTGACGTGCCTTGAGCAATGGTAAAATTCAAACAAAAGGCTGTATTTTTGACTACACCGCGTTGTTGTAGTTGAAGACCGAGAATTGGGTATTGAACATAGTGGGTCATTGTATAGGTGACATTGCTGGCCGTATTTTCGCAACGAGCAAAGATCTAAACAAATAAATATTGACATACTCTCACTTCTGTCGATAAACTAACAGTGAACTCGAAGTGAACATGACTATCAAGTGACTTTCGGTCTCACTTACAGTGTAAACTCCCGGAGTTAAATATTGATGAGTAACATAACTTCCTGGTATGTATCCCGATGTGTAGTAGTACACGTCTGATGTTGATTGTGACGTATCGAAATTGATTCGGCATGCGTAGTTACTACCCGTGACCATTTTCAACTTAAATCGTGCATATTCCAATGGTTGCGAGATGGAAACATTCGTTACATTTGCGCCTTCCAGTGTAAAATTTGTGATCAAATCTATAACTGCGATGGTCGTCGAGTTTGATTTAGTTGAAAGAAGATTTTGCACTTGACAAAGAATTGTGTACGTTCCGATGGTATAGAATGTTGTGCTCATGGTGTTTGTTGTTGAGTTAAACGTATTGTTACCATTAATGTACCATACAAAGCTTGTTGCTGTCGCATCTAGAATGACACAAACTCACGAAAATGAATACCAAGAATCAACTCTGGCTCACTAGCTGGATAAACGTTTACGACAAACGTTGTCAATACATTAACACTTCCTCCCGATGGTCCAACAACTTCAATCCAATCAATACCATAGACAACTGGTAAAATAGTCGACAATGGGTATGTTGTCAGATTGCTTTGTGTAACAGAGGCTAGAACATTGTAATCTCCGGGAGTGTAGTAAAACATTGTCGGTGCGATATGTACTGGTTGAATGACTGTTGCTTGAAGTAAATAATGATAAGCTGTATTATTCGAAGATAAATTGCTGACAGTACATGTAAATTGACTACCAGATATTGATGGACTAACACAACGATAGTCTTGCATGGAATCAGTTGAAATTTCTTTGGCAATATAAGGACCTTGAAATGCTAAAATATCACCGACCATAGCTGTTATATTCATTGTTGACGCTGTATTAGCAACAATTTGTTGATAACCAATTGCTGCTGTCGTTGGTCCAAACTGAGCGACGATTTGATACTGTGCACTGTTATACACTGACGATTGAAAACGGGCACTGGCTGTTGCATTTACGCATGTACGCGTTATGGTTGAGTAGACACCTGTAGTACATTGTAAAGCATAGGAACTTGCGCAGGTGCCACATGTATTTGTATCGTAACAATAGATATTTGATCCTCCGCATACACGGCGAAGTATCTACATGGAAAAATGTGCATGGGATAGGATCAGATTTTAAAAAAACATTGTTCAGCTTACGTAAATAGTGATCGTATTAGCTGTCGAACCATAATATTGTACCGAAGCAATTCGACCAGAAACTGTAATTAGACTTTGAGGTAAAATAGCAATATCACTTGCTCCAAGCAGATTTGCCGAGGCATCTACTATTGGATTGTTAGTTACTGACGATGAACCAAATGTATTATAAGATGCATCTGAATTCAATCAGAAGAAAGTCTTTCATTGAACATTGATTAGTGTTAACTAAATAGATTTTTACCTGGTACGTGAGCAATTGGTCGAGGTCCATCTGTTGAATTGTAATTAAAACTACCTGTTAAACTACTACCACGAACAATTGCAAGGTCACAAGAAACTGTTATTTTTGTTGCTGTTACATTTGGACATGTCAACGATACGTCAAGGGCCGATATTTGATCAGTAACTTTGACTACCATGGCAAACATTTTTGGCTAAAAAATTTGAATAAACATGAAACAGATTGAGTTCAACAGTTAGTTAAGCATTTATTCTGCTCCTCTCGCATAAACAAGCATAACAATTGCCTCCGTGTTATTAATCTCTGTATGTAACACTTAGTATAACGAGTCTAGACAGGATCATCACAAAAAGAGCATCCCATTGTTCTATCTTACCGTCATTCCAACTACTGATCGAGCAGCAACGGACACGGAAAATTGACCGGTCTTCGCGAAAACATGAGTGATGTTTGTCACCGTATTGATTGTTCCACTAAACCAACCAGTTTTTGTTCCATCACCGAAATCAACTTGATAGTTAATATAACTGACGGCACCTTGATAACCGAGACCAAATTGATAGTTTTGATTTACCGATAAGCTCATTGCCGATCCTCCACCATTTAAGGCAATGCTTGCCGTCTACAAATTCGTATAAAAACAAACTAAATGTCACCTCAAACATCAATTCTAAACTTACATCAAGAACTCCGATTGATGTGTAGACAAGTTCATGATTAATATCACCGCAATAAACAGTAGAATCTCCAGTGCAAGAATCAACCTCACATGATGTCGTAGTCGCATTCAATGCTGCTGTACTTATTGACAGTGGACCACAAAAACATAATCGACCGGCGGACACACTTGCGTATGCATAGCCCCCTGCTGAACATGCTTGCATACATGTTCCCGGTGTATTCACATTGAAATCATAATTAGCTGGACTATATGCATAGAGACGCATTGGTCGATTGATCACCCCACAGCCCAACAAGCCTGAATATAGGAATGAGCTAGCCTTCTTGTTTCGTACTTCTCTTTTAAAACTTTACTTTGCGAGGCTACTGAAACCGATGTTGTTTGTCGAACAAGCGCAAGCTAAGCACACAATAGAAGATCATTCTATTTGGGAGTAGATATCATCGATACATACCGAAATGAGAACATGGATCAACCAAGTTCGATCCATGATATTGCACAAAAGTTGTTTTTCTCTCTCTATCTTTTTCAACAGTCAGTAATTCCCAAATGGAAAAACAACTTTATTCAAATTGTTTCAAAAGTAAAATGCTCCGTAAGAACCTCTTTGTCTCTTTCTACGTTTTCTTCTCTCTGATATTTTTCTTAGGAGAGACTAGAGAGAAACGCAATTTTCTAAATATATATTCTTTTAAGTAATTAAAATCGAGCAAGAAAATTGAAAGATCTGAAAAGTTTTGCAGAGAAAATATCGAGAATTTTCTTCAAAAATAAGAAAATAAGTGTTTCTTCGTTGAAGAGAAAATGTGTTAATTACTTTGAAGTAACGAGCACTCTTTCTGACAACTAATGGCGTTTGAATTTCCACTTTCAAAAGTAATCAATGATAACGTGCAATCGCTATAAAGTATGATATTTTGCAAAGATGTGTGAAAGCAAACGACTATCCATTTCATCGAGATGACGTCAATCAACGTCAGAAATTTCAAAAGAATAGCATATTATTTTTCCTAATCAACTCTCAAATTGATCTATCTCAGAAAACAACAAAGCTAAACAAATGTCTGGGATGAAAAGAATACAACATCTCTTTCAATACAAACGATTCATTTGTTTCCGATTAATTAAACTATTTCGATGTCTAATCTTGTCAACGAGATCCTTTCGTATGAACATCAAAGATAAAAATTTACTGATGAAATATGTTTGCATTAATCAAATTGATTCAGTTCATAACTATATCTTGTCCTGAAATTAGAAAACAGGTCATTTTAAGTTGAAGAAAAGACGACTAATCACATCTATGATTACTTTACAAAATTAATTCTCAGAAATGATTGTTTTTTCTTAATGCAATATTCTAAATTGTTCCTATGCATTGAAAACAACGGGCAACAGGCGTATCGATTCTCCCGGAAAAACACCGTTTGTTCATTTCAATGATGACAACATCGCCGAATTGGTTAGAAGAGTAATAATTTTTTCTTTAAAAGGGAAAAACTAACGCAACAGTTGGATGTTAGGCGTCGCAAAAGAGAAAAAGCATCTTTGAACCATTAAGTTGAGTGATATATTTGAGTACTCAAATCATGAATAAAATATTTTCTACAGTGAACATTTCGAGAAAAATTCTTGATTTTGTTTATTCTTCATAATAGAAAAGAAACATCACACAGGCAGATTGATGAACATTATTTGTATTAACTTTGTTTTTTAAAAAAATTTTGAATTCTATCTTTGAAATAGATCGGAAGAAGCGAGAGAATTGCACAAAAGCCAAGAATAATTATTGAACGCCACGAAAACACATCCGATGCCGACGAGAGCTGGTGTAAAGTTTTTCCTGCTTGAATAAATAGGACCGATGGCAGTGCAACACCCGCGAATGTTCCGAGAAAAAAAGGTTTCAATGGGACGTCGAGAATTGGCGAACATAAGTTAATGAACCAATTTGGCAATATCGGCGTAATACGGAGGAAAATTATAAACCATAGTAAACTATCTGAACGTGCTTGAACCTGAAATATCAATTGAAATATGATGTTTTGTTGGAATCAAGAAGAAAGAACCTTTCGTTGCCATTCGATGATTCTTGTTCGAAAATATTTCAGAAGAAGATGTCGACCGAAGAGTTTAGACAATAAATAACAGAAACTAGCACCCAGCGACGAACACAGACAAACAAGAAATAAGGCCAGTGGAAACGGGTAAAGAAATCCGGCGAGAATACTGAGAAATATCGAACCGGGTATAGCGAATGTTTGTAGACTGCGAAGAGAAAAAGAGAAGAATATGGTTTCTGATATGCAAAAGACAACTTACAAAATATACGTGAGAAAGAAAGCGATCATGATTATATATCGATGGTGTTTGCTGTATTTGTAAAGAACATTGCCAAGATACTTTGCGTCATCCATTGTTTTCGGTAGTTTAAATGCATCTTTTTCTGATCTAAATGACTCGTTTGGTTATGCTTCACATAAATTTGCAAGTTTTGTTTGCTACATACGGATCAATTTCAGGAAATAGGATGTATATCACAAACAAACTTGCTATGGATACAAAAAATATGAAACCAAGAATAAGAAAGTGGCGACGTTGTACGCGTTCGTTTTGAACAGACAATGGACTATTCATCATCATCAATTTACAATCGAAAATCTATTTAAAAGAGAACGAGCGAGTTCTTTGTTTTATACATGTAGAATATAAATCTGATTCATCTGACTATGTAGTGCAACTTGGAGGGACACCTTCCGATTGATAACGTACTGTTCTAATGCATCGCATGCGAGTTTAATAGCTACGCCAATGCGCTCGAATACCTGCAGAGTGAGAATCATCAGTAGTGGCAGCTATTCTTGTATCGATTTCCGCAGCGTGATATAGGTGATTCATGTGAATGTGAGACTTACTTAAATTATTTTAATATTAACATAAAGAAGCGAGATATCTAAAAGAGAAAGAAATCATTGTCCATTTATTCCAAATAACATTTTCATTATTTTATTCCAGAAAAAAAATGTTGTCATTAGTAAAAAAAAAGAGAATGGCTTGTCTTCAGAGAATAGTGCATGTTTTGCTATGTGATTGTCTTTGTATTGATTTATTGAAATCGGGTGTCTCGCTATGTTCCATGCTTTTCATGGTCGATTCGTGTTGAATTTTAATTTTTGATAAAGAATTCGGCGTTGAATGTGCTGTGATATCGCTGATGAGTTGACTTTTGGATGATTCGACGGGCTTGGTTTTATTTGGAGGCGATGGTCGACTAACACCATTGGTTTTCGATGTAGATGAAACATGATTTGTTGTTTCAGCCGACTTCGCGTCGGCATTCTGTTTGAATTTAGCTATTTCAGCTTCTTCTCGAGTGATTTCTTGTAGAACTTTATGAAATGGACGCAGTTGAATGTTACCCGCACGATCTTTTTTATGTAAGACGAGGTAAGTCGACAGTGATGTGTTACCATTCAACATCAATTTCGAACATTCTTGAACTTCGTAGATTTTACGATCAAGCAACTGATATGTGGTATCGGTTATATGAATATGCAGTGTCTGAAAGAGGCCATCGAACATGAATGATGAATGCATGAGAATCGACACGTACTTTACTCATTTGTTCCATTCTATTCGCAGTTGTTACCGTGTCGCCAAAGAGACAATAACGTGGCATTTTTATTCCAGCGATCCCAGCAACGACTGGGCCACTATGACAGCCTAATTTAAATAAAGTTCCGATTTTTATCATTCAGATAATCATTTCAGTGGGCTCACCTATGCGGATTTTCAGTTTTTCGTTATTTGTCGGATTTGTCACGGTAATGATGGAATCAAGCATATCAAATGCCATATCAATGATTTCAGCCGCATGATTTCGCGCACCTGACACATCCAAGAATAGAACTTCATCATTTCAAACAGATAATCAATTGACTCACGCTCGGGTAAACCGCTCACTAACATATAAGCATCACCAATAGTTTCCACTTTATAGCAGTTATGAGTTTCCAAACATTTATCGAATTTAGTGTACATTTCATTGAGAATTGATACGACTTCCATGGGTGTAAGCAAGGCACAGATGGATGTAAAACCGACGACATCGCTGAATAAGATGGTACAACTTTCGAATGTCTAGAAGAAAAGCGGTTCTGACACGTTTGAGTAATTTAATAAACAACAAAATGAAAGTTTTCAAAGCAACGCGTTCGATTGGCTAATGAGCGAAACTATTCACGGACATCCTATAGATATCGCTTGTTTTTGTCCTTAATGTCTTACCTCACAAAGATTCACCGGCTTTTCTCCACTTCGTAATCGATCAGCAATCTTTTTTGGGATCATTTGATATAAAAGTAAATCCGTCTTTTTCATCTCCGTATCCAATTTCTTCATACTTTCTTCTAATGCTTTACTCTTTTGTCGTTCCTATAATAGAACAAATCAAATCAAATCTTCTTAGACTTCGCCATTGTTTTTACTTGATCAAGTGCTAATTTAAGTTCGGCACCTTGTTGAGTACCAGCTAGAACTAAATCTCGACTGGAATCATGCATAGAAAGATCATTTATGAATAAGCCAGTATTAAACATTACATCGAGATTTTCCAAACTAAATAAGATTGTTCAAATCTAATTCTAACTATTGATTCAATTAAACTTACACAGGTGTTGCTAAATAAATAATAGCTTTCCATTCGTAGACGTATAGCATCTGACCTCGGAGACGTAAATACTCTTCTTGAACGTCACGCGGCGGTGTCGTTGTGATAATCATATCTTCAAATGACAAAAAAATGCATGCTAAATGAAATCTGATTTGTATTTTTTACCAGACGGAAATTGATCACCGGTCTGATTGATAGTTAGTTCACTGTCATCCGGTTGTTTACGAAGTGGTTCAATTGTTGAAAATTCAAACACATTATTCGAGTGTAAAACAATTTGGGACCAATTTAAAGTAATGAGTGGTCTAAAGAGAAAGCTCGTTGGTGAAGGAAAGAATCAGGATTATATTATGTGAAGAAGTTTACCGAACAAGATTGAATATATCTCGAACTAATTCACCAACAATATTCGGAAATAGTTGTGTTAGCGAATCTCCTGCTGATATGATTTCTAATGATTCCGAAATAACCATATGAAATGGAAATAAGTCAAAGAAAATATGACAGTCAATAGTTAAATCGAGTTCGTTGGAATCTTTGTCCGATGTAATCTGTTTACTATAGGCTGTATTTTCAAATTCCAGTTGAAATATGACATGTACAATGTCAAATTCTTCGCTTTCACTAATCGCTTTGATTTCGACTTCTGTATTATAGAATCGGCGACCGACCTGAAATTCAAACGAAGGCATATTAGATATTTTCATACCATCCTTTTCCGAAATATAGGAAATCTTTTAGATATATACGCCTTGTTACGATTGACTTAGAAGAAAACATGTATGTTCAAAGAATGAAACTTCAAATATCTATTTTCTCGCGTAATTACTACTTTCCATCTCAACACGCTCGAATCATGCTTACTTCAGTTATTTGGCCGGCAACATAATGAATAAATCCTCGTCGATGACTGCGATAATGAAGTGTAAGGCCATTTACAGTCTCTTTTTCAACATAAAACGATGGTGGACGCATTCGAGGATACGTATATCGCATGTATTCATGTAGATTATCCAAACCATTCAAAAAGTCTCGCATATTATGCCCCCTGAAAATCAAGATAAAATAAAATAAGTTCTCCGCAGAACAAATCATATAATACAGAATTCTGAGAACACGATCGTAACCATAACTCGATATGAATGACACGAATTCTACACCGAATAAATCCATAATATCGCTAACGGGCTCATCTAAAAGTAAACCAACGACATAGTTTTCCAGAACTATGATTAAAAGATCGGCATACTTATGATTTCACTTAATATTTTCGCAATTCGTACAAATAATGTTTCTCCATACTGCTGAAAAGCTGAAAATTTATTCGAGTCCAGGTGAAGGGCAATTCGAATCTTTTCCCACGTTTCTTGTCCATATCTTGCTCGAATAATCTCCGAAGCCGATTGCAATAGAAGACCGTACATTTTAATTCGATGATTTGCTTAACTCGTCTCTTATAGACCCATTTCTTGTGAATAGAAGAAAATCAGTATATGATTATCTTGAGAATGACGAAGTAGAAAAAAAGAGAAAAAAGATAGATAGTCTGTATCTACACATGAGCAGGATGTCCGAGGAAATGTAAGAAGCGTTCACGAACATCATCAGTGAGCCGGTAAATGTTAGGTTGCTAGTTGTGTTAATGCGACATCCTGTTTCTTTCTTCCCTGTTTTTTAGAGAACGAAATATATACTTTATCTCGCTATCCGAACGGATGTACTCGTATGTTGCTTACGTTCAACAATATTTAGTAATGAAAAAAAAACCCACGCGAGATGATTAAAGGTAAAAAAAAGAAAGAGAAGAGAAAAAAAAAAGTTTATAGAAAAACTTGAAAAACACACAACACACGAGCAGCAGAGGAGTCAAGTGTATGCTGAATATATAATCAGCAACATAAATCTCATCTCAAAGATAAATATAATAAGATATATGTCTTTGCGGGAATGTATCCTTTTTCTCCTTCCTTTTTCATTATCACGGCATGCACCTGACATCGCTGTAAGCCTAAACTCTAACTAATTTCAATATATCATCATGGAAAAATACTTAGCAACTATTGAGTAGATGAATGAATAGATCCGGTGGCTAATTTTCGTTATGTATTCATGCGACGGTTGATGTCTTTTCATTACTTATTGCGTGATCGAATAATTAATGAAAGATTCTTCACACTAAGATGACTTATGCATATATATATATCTAACGAAGGTTAAACAAACTTAGTTTTCTCTCTTGAAAAAGCTAACCGGCGTCTAGGAAATACTCTCGATGACTTTAGCAGACTTACGATGAATCACACTACTCTTATTGAGATGCATCTCAGAGTGCTCTCAAAAAGATCATGTTCTTTCCTTATTTTTAACATACAAATCCAAATGAAACTCATAGGATGTCTGAGCAACTCCGTGGATCATCTTCTCTGTGTCAACAGGTTGAACGATGGCTATTCTTCTATACAGCAAGAAAAGAAAAACTCATACTTTAACAAATGGAAAACAGTGCCATACTCGATGAGATTGCTAGAGACATATATCCATTAGGCTGTTTTGCTTCCTTTAATAAATAACAAAAGACATGTTGTCAATGAATAGCTAATTGCAGTATTGCCAGAAAATTGTCACAATCTTCTTGGCACAGCAGAAGCTCTTAGAATAATGTGAACTCTTTTTAAGTCAATTTCCTGCATTACGTGATATCTTTCAAAAAGATATGTTCCTATAATTAGAATATGAAGACCTCGAATATCCTCGTGGCTTGTCGGTCGACAAAAATACTTCTTCAAAGGGGAGAACATGTTAATGTTCGAGCTTATGTTAAACCCAAAGGTATTTATCGATATTTAAATAGAAAAAATCCATACTAAAAATAAATATAAATCATGAAAGTAAGATGTCGAATACATTACGATGTTATCAGCGGGAGCAAAGAAAACAGCAGACTCTAAAAAAAGTTAGTCACTATGTAACACAACTGTCAAATTGCGACGTTTCTCTTTTTAGAAATTAGAGATTTTGATGCAAAACATGGATGCCGAACTTCGTCTTTCATCATTTTCAAAGTAAACGACGGAATACTGAAGATTGAAAAAACTTGTTGAAAAAATAATCGCATTTGTCAAACTAACAATGGGAAGATTTTCCTATCGATATAAAATAATTACCATCTAAGAAGATATACAACTTAGCAGCTAATGCGCTTTGCTGATCTTACAAATTATCTATGAACATTAATGTCAATGTGACAGACGATATGCCTCTGCAAGCCTTTCCACGTGGTTTATTATGCATTCGATATGAATGCTGAATTTTCCGACATCACGACCATGTGAGATATTTATAAGAGAATATTTCATACTAAATTACTTGGATATGTTCGTGTAGATGTATCTTGTAGGAATTTAGATAGAAAAACACATTACTATGTAATGTTAGATAAATTCATTCTCATCAGATCATCAAAGTGGAAGGAAGATGCAGTGTCCTTGGTGGTTGTCAATTCTTCTCACAAAATTGCCTCTTTTTATTTACACATAAGTGATGCTATTGTAAGAAACTGCATTGCCTCCGTTTGTCATCTTTGTCTCACTTAAATATGACATAAATGGCACTTTTTTTTGCACTCACCTTTTTCTCGGTCACAAATAGTTAATGGAGTTTCGATATACAAAGAAAAACTTCTTTTTCGTCGAACATCTCAATCAGTAAATTTGATTAGAATGAACAAGCAAGAAAAGTCTGATTCTATGTCAGGAGCGATGTCATTTGTCTCGTCGGAAATACTTTTTCGAGTTAGATCATCGATCTACTTTGCTTTCATGAATATGATCATCTCAGCAACAACTTTAGAAAACTAACAAGTCAACCATTCATAACAAAATCTCAATATAACATCGCTGACCAGAAGAGTTGTGAATTGATTTTGTGTTGTTGATTTATCACAACAATTAAGTCCACACTCACTCTCACCCTGATAATGTAAGAATCAAATGATCACATGAAAAGAGCGTAACGATTGATTTTCCTTTTATTCCCAACAAAACATGATAAAGAAATCAACCACAGAACGAACTTCTTGAACGAAGTAGACACGCGCATATAATGCATTTAACTATCACTTCGACGAAGACTTCATTTGATACGGATCTTCAATTCGTCGAAATACGGCTAAATATTTATCACCTTTGTTCCGCTCAACTTTTTTTCCTTCTTCAGTCGAGCCAACAACATGCTCTACACACGGATCACTCTTTAGCACTGGATCATCATTATCTATTCGTTCAAATAATGGAAAATCTTCGAAACATGAACACATCCACTGATGCAAATCTAATACATCCGTACATGTATAAACTAAACCACCAACACGTAATAAATAAGCATATTCCGCAAGTAATTGTTTATTGATAATTCTCCATTTGTGCTTCGCCTTTTTGAAATGTGGATCCGGATAGAGGAAAAACATCTTGCTTAATTGACCTTTATGAAAATACGTTGGAAGATATTTCATTGCATTCGTTCGTAGGCAACTGATGTTTGTATATTGGCCAGGGTGTTGTTCACGTAGAGCACGAATACGATCGAGAACATAATCAAGTACCTTGACACGTATTTCCATTCCTAGCATTAGTTTATCGGGGAATAGAGGCGAGAGAGAAACTAGGAGACCACCATAACCACAACCAACGTCGACGAATTCGACGAGAGGTTGTTCGAGTTTTTGTCGTTTTGTTGAAATTGCTGATTCATCGTCAGTCGATTGTTTGGAGGACTGAGCGATGGATGGATAATGTGATGACCAATTCATTGTATCCGGTTGAACAGGATACTCAATCGAGTGATCGGACAATGGATTGGAGTGAGCACGTTGACGATAGTATTTCTTTTGAGGTAAGGACATGTTTTTAATCTGAAGAGACGAGAGAAAAAAAATCACTGATATGTCTTTTATTTAATTCAAAATAGAAGATTCAGCACGGTTTTCATTTCTTTTAACAATAAATACTGAATTAGTGAACAAGGTAAATAATTTTCGAGTGTCGCGATAGATTTACTCAATGGACATGGAAGTGTCTTTCGTATTGCTAATCGCGCAATATCTTTCAATTGTCTTGGTTTCACCAGATATCGTTCCATTTCACTCATAAATTTCTCGTAATCGATAATTGCATCCATGAGGTTCGTTTCATGGGTCGATTGATCATGTTGATACTTTCGATTAATATAAGGAAACGCACATTGAAGTGGACGGCAGGCAGCACCAGCATAGAGCGCCATTCGAGCATGATCATATAAAGCGTAGTGAACAGCTCGTGTTAAGTAAGTATTACCAAAATTGTTCTTCCAATCCAGACGAGTCCCTTCAACGATAAGTTCATGTGCTAAAATTGAAAATCACTCTCATTTACTATCTTTTAGGAAAAATACAAAACGTACCGAGTGTTATGTTTCCACCACGGTGTAAAGTACACATCAACGGCGTTTCAAAACAATCATCTCGATAATTTACATCACAGCCAAGTCGAATGATTTGTTGCATTAATTCTAACAGGTGTTCTGTCGGATGGTCAACTGTTCGATCACAAATTAAATGGAGTAAATTTTTTCGATGCGTTGCTGTTATTACATTCGCATGAGCCCCTGAAAGGTTTCAAAAAACGCTCTTTCGTTACATCCTTCCAGTCTTCTCATTACCGTGATTTAACAATCGCTGTAAAAAATCAAATTCACCATCAATCACTGTTAAATGGACAAGACGCATATGATGGATATTGTAAACATTCGGCGACGCACCGGATTGTAATAGATATTGAAATATGTCTTTTCTAGTCTATTCGAATATTTGGGAAAAGAAAACAAATCTTTATATATGCTGTTCATCGACACATACCACAAGCGTACTTCAAATAAAGAAAGATTATCCTGCTTATCTTTACAAATCTGATAGGCTTCGAGCAATGGAATGATTGTATACGAACGGACGGAGCAGTTCACATCACAACCTAATTCAATGAGAATTTGAATAAATGCGAGATCACTACGACGAATGGCAATGATTAGAGCAGTTATAGAATCCGTATTTGGATAACCATCTATTGGAAATCCTAAAAGAACAAAAGTATTGACATTGAGAATTATTTGATCGAAGGAAATTCACCGTAATCATGGACTTGACGAAGAATTTTTTCTTGTTTAAATTTCGTAGCATAAGCACAAGCATCAAATTGCTGTTCGAGACAATAATTTATGCGTTTTGCTTGATTATTCAGAAGACCATTGATTTTTTTGATTTTTCCATGTTGAATGTACGTTCGTAAACGACTTAGATCGGCTTTCATTGTATCGTTTGCCATAGCAGTTTGCCACAAAATGAAGTGTTCTTACTCAATTTTACATTTGCATCAAAAACATAGATACACGATCGCGTATCGCACCAATAGAATTACTATTTTCGGAAGCTGTATGTTAGATGACGCACATACGCATAACGAAAAAGAAAAAAACTCTTAATCTACATTCATTTTTTAATACGAAAGAATCGGTTGATTTTCTATCAATAAGACAATATATAAACTAAGTATCACTTTTTTTAATGGTCTTTCAGCGTCAACAACCAACTTTTCTTTTTGCGGAACCCTGATTTTCAGATTACTTTACACGCATAGTCACATTTCATCAAAGCGAATTTTACGAAAGATCATCACGGACGATCTACTATTTCTACATATTTGCTATGTTGTTTTCTTAGAATTGAAGCGCCATCTAACGTGTCTCTTGGTTATGTTCAATATTCCACTAAATACCTATCTAACAAACTCCTGATTCTCGACTTCACTTGAATACTATTTCAATACTCAATTTCTCTTTCATATCCATCGTTTCGTAGAATGGATCTGGAATCAAACGGTGCCGATAGTGACGATAATTTCCTAATCGATGACGGACACTCCACGGATGATAATAGTATTAGTAACAAAAATCTTTCTGAGCAACAGAAAAAAGCCTTTACTTTGCGTTTGTATTTGTCGAAAAAATTTTCACTTTAATTCATTATCTATTTGTTTATTTAGAAGCGGATCCGTCTTACAAGTAAGCTGCACTCATTATCGTCCACTGTAATTGTCTGTCTTCATCTCGATTTAGCTTCTCTGATTATGTAGACATCTATGAACGTATCTACACATTTTTTTCTCGGGGAGACAATCGACCATGGCAAACGTTATTCATTCAAACGATTCAACAAACATCTACACCCTATAGACTGCTCTATATGTTCCTGGACTACACGTTAAACACTACAAACGGTCGAAAACACAAAATGGTTGTACCGCTTATTGAGACATTTAAACAGATCAAAGTTGATGAGAAAGACATTCAATTAGATGATGCAATTAAAGAAAACATTCTTTCGAAAGTGTGCCGCCGCTGTGCATTGAATCAATTGGAATCCATTATTGAAATATTTCATCTACGTTCAATTGAAAATCGACAATTTATCATCAATTTTATCAGTACACGACTCGAGCAACAACAAGACATAATATTTGTTTCTCAGTTAACAAAATTCTTACAATTGTTGGAACTCAATGCAATCTCATTCGAAAAAGTTTGATATTCGAAGTCTAGTTGTATCATATCACCTATCTTTCTTAGGTTATCCTACCGCTTATACTAAAAACTCAATGGGAAACAATCAAATTCGTCATAGGAGATGATAGAAATCTTCAACAAAAGTTGCTTAAAACAATCGATGATTTAATTTCAACTGACCAGTAAGACGATGACTTCTATGACTGACAAATGGTTATTATTTCGTATAGAACTATCATCCGTTCTCTATTAGCTCAAGCTTCGATTCAGATGAATATCAATTCGATCGATAATCATAGTTTAAAACGTGTGGCGAGAAAATTGCTCAAACAATATAAGTTTGATCTACGAGATCTTCCCAATTTAGCCATTCAAGAAAAAGTCACTTTCTTGAAAACATGTTTTGTGAAGAAGTACATTGAGAATAAAGGCGTTACTATCGATGATGAAGATGAAAAGGCATGGAAAGAACAAATTAAAGTAAGTGCGACATTGGTCTACTCGTTAATCTTTCGTCTTTCCGTTCAGGACTTAGTGCAAGATAATCGTGATCTGAAAGTGAAATTAATCGATCTATTTGTTGATTATATTGACGTTGATTCAGCCGTTGAATGGACTCAGTACTATAATCTTGAAGATTTTGAAATACCCGAACAAGTAAAGATTCGTCGTGAAGAAATTCGTCATGGTGATGTAAAATCTCGCTATGTTCCCGTTACACCAGCAACTTGGCCAGCGAATCAATCGGAAAACGATGTGTACAAACCATCTGTTCTTCCATCTGATATTGTCTACATTGAACTTGAGTCCAATGTTGATTCGTTTCTTAATCGATTGGAAGTGTGTATTCTTTTATGGTAGTCCGCTGACGAAACAAATGAGCGATTCTCTTTTCATTAAGTGTTCGCGTTGTGACGTTGGATCTCATCTACCATTTGTCGGTTTCGATTGTGAAACGTTCATTGACCCAACTCAACGCACACTTAGTTCGCAAATTGTCTCGATTATCCAATTTGCGAGTTTGGTTCCTTCACGTAATCAATCCTTCTATGGTGTCTTCGACATGTTAGCATTACGATTACAATTCGATATGAAATCAGTAGCTGAATTTGCTCAGCGTGTTTTCTGCTCACAAGATTTTATTCTTTTAAGTAAAAAGAAGCGTTTGTTCGATCTTCATCATTGAACGAAGTTCTTCGTGATTTAGGTTATAACTATGCAGGTGATACATCATCGTTACTTGAAAATTACCCATCGATGAACAGTGCACTGATGCAAGGTAGTGCAGTGATTGATTTATCTCGTGTACAACAATATGTAAGCTGGGATTTTTGTTGTTATCGTTAAATAATGGCTGTTAATAGATCTTGGAACACTATCCCGATGTCTTTCCGTACATTCATGTTGTAGCCAGTAGTAAATCTCGTGGTTTAAGTGAATTAGTTCGTTTATGTTTTGGTAAACCGCTCGACAAAACACAACGAACAAGCGATTGGCGAAAACGACCACTGAAACCAGTTCAACTTATCTACAGTGGTGAGTTACAGAAGAATTTTTGTTTGGAAAAAAGATAGAATGATCTATTTAGTTTTGGATGCACGAGTTCTTGTTGATATTGCTGTGTTTATTGAAGAACGCACACGAAGTTTACAGATACCATGGTCGTGGTCAGACTTCAAAGGGTACACATGGACAGATAAAGCTTTCAAGAAACGAACCGGTGCACATCAACAATCAGTAAATACATCCTAGATTTGTGTTTGTTTTGTATAGAGGTTTTCGATATTTTCTTTGCGAAAGTAGACTTAGCTCAGTTTTGGAAATCTATTATGTACTTGTCTTTTTCAGATCATTTGATTTAGTATGTTTAGTGCACCTGTTACAGCAATTAAAATACTTCCCACGCATCGTGTTTGTCTAGCGGGTATGAAAAAAGAATGAAAGAGAAAGGAAAGAGCATTTCTATGAAACAATTTATTTAGGAACGGGTCCTTATGTCGTCGCGTTTGATTTGACAACTAATCAACAACTATTACAGGAAAAGATTTTGATCGATTCCATTGTTCACGGATTCGAAATACGTGAGTTTGAGCACGTGAAATGTTTGAAGTTTCATTTGCATTTGTCAATTAAAGGAGAAATTATTCGTGAAACCAACGATATTTCTTACATCGTTGTCGTTTTTGGTCAACGAACCTTTTCCATTATCGAATGGTCGTCAAAATCGTAAGTTAGAGACTTGAATAAGACAAGTAATACCAAACAAATGAAAAGATGACTGGCGCGTTATGTCTGTTTTTCTAGTTCAACTGAATTGAAAACCATCCTTCCTCAGACACGATGTCCCTCTTGGATACTAAGTGCACTCATCGTTTCAATCGATATTTCAAGTCAAGTAATATCGTACGATTGTGTTATTAGTCATCACTAATGATATTCACATCTTTCTCAGTCGTTGACAATACTATTCGGTACTGCATTGAATCAAATCTATCGTTATAAAGAAACATTAGAATTAATTCAGTCGTTGAATTATACAACGTTGTACTCATCATGTCTTTTCCGTCATATGAATGATAGGATCATATTTGCAGCGGGAACAGTGTTTGGTGAATTATTTCTCTATGAAAAAGACTCCAATGATTGTTTTCATGAAAAAATCGCTATTTCAGATCATAATGTAAGTTTGAATCGAATGGAATAGTATCAAATTTATCCCTTTTTGTTTCTACATTAGGGTGCTATTTTTGGTATAACTTATTATTCGAATCTTCTCTGTACGGTTGGCGATGATCGCACAGTGAAGCTCTATAAATTCAATGATTCACTACAACAAATAGCTTCGTTCTTTGCACATGAAGCTCGTATATGGCAATCGTCATTGACATCGACGCATATTCTTACATGCGGCGAAGACTGCTCAATACGGTTTTGGTCACATAAATCGACAGGTGAACTGCTACGAAGTTTTTCTGTTCATCGTTGCAAAAGTGTTTGGTGCATGGATATTTTACGAGATGATCAAAATGAGAAACCGTCGATTATTATCAGTGGTTGGAGTGACGGTGCTGTTCGCCGTCATCATGTGGATGACGTTCCAATAGATTCTCATGAGACGTTGCCGTTAAATTCAACTGTGCCTAATGATTTTCCACGAAATGTGGCTTTTCTGAATTCATTAACGATGATCGTTCACATGAACAGTGGACAACTACTAACGATTGACAAGAAAGATGTTTCGTTGTTTTATGATGGCTGCGAAACATTAAAAAATAGCTATGCAAAGATGAGTATTACTAAACAGGGTAATGAATGCTTGGCAGTTGGTTCATTAACTGGCGGTGTGTTTATCTTCGATCGACATGGAACAGTGACTAATACAATTCAAGTTGATACCAATCGAAATAATAAAATTTTGCAGATATTTTGGCTAAATAACACATTAGGAAACAAACTGTTGATTTGTATTCCTGATGGGATTATGGTAAGATGAACAGAAGCAATAACACACGTCGAGAAGTTTCTTTTTCTCTATAAAAACAAAAATCTCTTGAGATACTTTTGCGCCATGTGCATGTTTTCTATCTCTCTAATTGTTGTCTATTCCCCTATTAACACTACTGCACTCCACCATTCTCTTCTCGTCAACCTCTTCAGAAAACGTGATTCTTTCTTTTTTGTTCTTTTTCCTCATGAAACGCAGCATTTTTCTTGGAACATAGAAACCGTGCGCTACTAAGAATAAGGAAGTATAGTAAACAGACCTTGGCTAAAATAAAATTTCTCTTGGTTCCTTGTGTATTCTAGCTTATCTACGATATATCAACTCAACCAGCAAAAGTTGAACGTCGTCTAGAAGATCTACCTGATTTCGAGCAACGCTGGCCAAATACATGCTTGTACCTCGAGCAATCCAATTTGTTACTATTAGGTGATCGACAAGGAAATCTTCTTTCCTATGATTTACATACCGGTGCTATTCACCAAAAATTCGAGCGTCTACACGGCATCAACGGCACATCGTTCATTGATATCGATCAAACTAGCAATCTGATTCGTTCCTGTGGCCGAGATGGTTATGTGAACTTATTCTCATTAAATCCTGAACAACGACAGTTAGTTCATCAATCAACGTTTACAATTACATCAGATATAACCTGGCTTGATCAACTTAGACATCAACCATCGGTGATAACATGTTTTACCACGAATCATTTTTGTCTTTACACATTCGACGAGCAAATGAAACGCTGTCTAATGCAGGTCGAATGTGGCGGGGGTCATCGAAATCATGATTTTTATCTTGATGCGAACTTCAATGCCCACTTTGTTTATATACGGAATAAACGAGTGTATTTAGCGAAAAAAAATCTTACGAGAATATTCAATGAAGCCACATGTTTATCAGAAATGCCACCTACACATGGAACGGAAATTCGTTGCGTCAAATTGTTTCAATCGAACCATCAACTGTATATGATGACTGGAAGTGAAGATACACAAATAAAATTATTTTCGATGCAGGTAAATATGATGGGTCGAAGTTTAGCGATGAACTCATTGCCTATTAATTAAGAGCGACAAATCTCAAGGCAAATGTGAACATATTTCTACACTACAATCGCATCTCTCAGCTGTTTGTGACATTGTTGTTATTGATAAGTTCTTCTTTTCATGTGGAGCACGTGCTCAACTCTTTGCATGGCAAATGAAGAATAATATAGTTATTCGATCTGGTTATTTTATGCTTCATCCATTACGACGACGTCATGGTGGAGGTGGAACGATACATGACGACAGTAGAAAAGATGTCAATGATGAAGATCATGGATTAGACGTTAGGTAGAAAAGAAATTCTTTGACTTTCTGCACACTCACTCATCGTATTTTAGATTTACTAGTGTTGCAGCCGTTGCTGAACATAATCATGAAAGTTATGTGATCTTCGTCACTGCATCCGATGCTGTTTTACGGTAAAGGTTTTCTCTGATATAAATCGTTTTCTTTTTGTCCTACATAATTGCGCGTTTTCTAGTGTTTTCCGATATACAGCATCAACAAACCGTTTTTCTTTAATTCAAACATGTTCACACTCGGATTATTGTCAACTGCGTGTAAAAGTCTACCCGACACAGTACATTGTATTTGTTTCGTCCACGGATGGTCTCCTCTGTGCATACGATTTCTCAACTACGGATAATCCTATTCGCTCGACAAGTATTAAACTTCATCAATCAGGAATTAACGATTTTGATTTAACTGAAATCCATTCCAACAATCTTCTTCGATTAGCAAGTGTTGGCGATGATGGCTCAGTACATGTTTCTACTTTTGATATAACAAATTGGGTATGGAAACGAGAATACTCAAAAGAGTGTACGCATCAATCACCAGCTACTGGTAACGTGAACGATTGAAATTTTGAATATGCAAAGAATTCTCGTCTTTCAGGTATTCGGTTCGTAGATTCAACGAGGTTTGTATCCATAGGTATTGATCAACGATTGAAACTATGGATTATTGATGACAAAAATAATACGTTGGAATTAGCAGTGAAGTATTTAGTGGATATACGTGATATTCTTTCGATGGATATGATTTTTTGTGAGAAGAAACGAGAATTTGTTTTTGTTGTTGTCGGAGCCGGTGTTCAAACGATTCGATTTGATTCAGTGAATTGCTTGTTTCATTCCTAAATTTCATATGTTTCTAGATGTTTTCCATAAAGTCTCTCTGAATGAAATGCTTAACTGAATTTATCCCATGGAAGAAGGTGATCGTTCGAGCAACTCACCTTCTATTAGTCTTCGGTGTTGTTGCGTCACTTGTTTTCCAACCATCTGGTATGTTTTTATTCGTCTTTTCTCGCACAGATAATCGTTCGAAATAACATTTTCCATTTAGATCTCCGTACTGCTCTATACGAAACATCGAAATATTCTTATTGTATTGCTTATGGTCTTCTTGTTTACGTTTCTCTCTTCTTCTATTTTATGACTTGTTATACCGATCCGGGCTATGTACCATATAAACGTGTATGTTTGAACGAGAGTTCCTTTTGTTTTGAAGTGATTTCAATTTGTAATCCGAATAGGTGCCCAACTGGACTGGGGGAATGAATTCAACATCGGATGACGATGATGAGGAAGAAGATATAAGTGAACAAAACACGAAAGTACCTCGAGATAGTCATCTACGTAAATGTTTATTGTGCAATATCGAGGTAGAGAATCGAATTAGAAAAGAAATTGACAATGATTTGAACTTTTCTTTCAGCAACCACTCCGCAGTCATCATTGTGATTTTTGTAACCGATGTGTGCTCAAATATGACCATCACGTAAACGTTTTCTCGTCGTTATCTTATCGATTCTATCTATATCTTTTAGTGTCCATATCTTGAAACGTGTATCGGCGAGCATAACCATCGTTACTTTTGGTATTTTCTTCTAACAACAGATATCTTAATCGTCTGGTCAATAATGTTATGCAGGTAGAATCCTTTCTTCTCAATTCGATTTTCTTCGATTGACTCATTTCTATTTTCAGTCGATCATTTGTTCCATTCAGCGATTGGTCATCGTGGTTGCATATGAATAAATTTCGTTTATTCTCTATGCACGTTCTCATAATCTCACTCTGTGCGACAACAATTCTGTTTTGTATTCATTCCTTTTTCGCTCTGACTAATTCGACAACGTGGGAACGCGTATCACGACATCGAATTACATATTTGAATCGTTTGCCAGATGAAGATCTCAATCCATTTCATCAAGGTTACTGTCATAATTTCTTCTATACATTTCTTTGCCATCGGGTGAAAGAACAACAATGGGATATTGTTTATAAGAAGCGTGTTGAAGAACATGTGACATTGAATATGTAATTCTGTGTATCTATAATTTTATTGAAATAAACGAAAATAAGGAAAAAAAAGACTAGGAACTCTCTGAGTAATGCGAATACAGAATGCTGGCGCACATCTGAAGGGAAAAGGAACATTGACTTGATGGTAAATATGTTTAATGTTATCTGTACGTTATCAGATAGAGACACAAGCATAATGACCTATGATTTTATCATTCACAGAACTTTCACTTCAGTCAATTAGATCGAAAAGATAATTTCTAGCTTATTTGAAAATTTCGTTGCGTAATAGGAGAATTTTGTTCTTAACGAACTCGAATTTTTAATGGTCTTTTTACCTTTTTCTTTCTTCATTCGCAAAATGCTTAGAAAAATTCAATTAAAAAAAGGTTGAACTACAAAGTAAATGAGATCAGGAAGGTTGCCGTTAATTACCGTTATTGTGTCAGGCATCTCAATGAAGCGACCTTAGATATATCGCATGCGAACGATAGGGGTTTTTCTTTTACGCGTGCTCAACGAACGGTGACAGACTGATACTCCTGTATACAAGCGCTGCACGACCATGTAGAAAAGGTGTACAAAACGTTGTAAAGTATGTTTATTTCTCTTCCATATCGAATATAAACGCACGTGTGTATCGGTGGAAGGTCTTTTGTCACATAAATTTGTCTAGTTTCGTATCCAGCAACGCGAAAGAAAATGGAAAAGATGGAATCTGTACCGACAATTAGTAGAATTGTCATTGAACCTGAGGTAACTATCAGCAGTGACTTGAATGATAAGGAAAAGTTTGTTCAACGGTTTAAACCATCGATTCTCAAGCAAAATACGCAATCGAATGGCCAAAAACAAACACCGGTGCAGTTCGATGTTGAACGCCCATTACATGCCAATGACATAAAAGAACATCGACTATGGGCACTCGGGTCATTAATTTTATGTTTTTTTCTTATTGGCCCAATTATAGCCTTTTATCATACTCGTCGTATAAGACAAATGAAAGCGAAGAACGAACTAGTACGTGCGAAAAGCTTGTCCGAACGTGTAAACAGCATTCTCATTATTTCCAATTTCATCGGTGTCTTCATTTGGGTGGTGTTACTTTTTGTCATTGGTGCGCTTTTCATATTCGGTCTTGTTTACTAGTTTTTGTAGTAATTCTTCGCGATTTTTTCCGACTAAACATATATATATAATGTTTTGTATTTATCGTACTATTTCGAATAAAACGTCCTCGGTTTGTCTCCTTGATATAAGACAAGTGTATATCATTTATGTACATATAATTTGTTATACATATAATCGAATGACTGCCAATGCGAATAGGTCGAAACATAGAGAGAAAAGACCGTCAACCATCTAGGAAAAAACGACCTCCTTTTTTTCTTCTCTCTTTTCTCTCGCACTTTTTTCGCACACGTTGAACCTCTGGCAAGACTCGAAAGTAGTCCACTACTGATCAATCATTTCGTCATTCCCGACATTTTCCTCCCGCTTGTTTTAATCTGTTTTCGCCCTTTGCACTTTCTTTCGATTTTTTTCTCTAACCTTGCAACTGATAAAACAAGATACATAACTCAATATCAAATCATAGACAGTTGTGCGCCGCTCGCTCCTTAAATAACACGCATCCATCCATAGTTTTCTACATTCGAATCTTTCCTCATCTAGGTGATCATCAATGGCGGCGGTCGTCGGCTCCTACCCCGTAAGTTTATACCATCCACATCTGAATCCACGGGGAACTTCATATTACAATGCCTCGTTCATTCCAAGTAACTACTATAGATCAAAATCACCTAAACCTCCACCCAAACGATCGCGAACATCATCGCCCAAGAAACTCCTTGAACATACCGATTCAAAGATTCAACACGTTCGACCACGACGACAACCGCGCATTCATCGACAAGTCATCGTTCTACCAACACCGGAGCCGATTTACCGACAAATACGCCATCGACTGCCAACACCTGAACGACAAGTTATTCGTCGTACATTTTTGCAACGAGCAAACGGTGATATTATCGTTCAACAGGAACGACATCGAAAGAAAACCAGAAGCAGAACGACAACATATCCAATTGTAACAAAATGATCATCTCCTAATTACTCGATTTATCATCACTTCAAACGTCTATACATATACATATTCTCTGCTTTTGTAGTTTCCTTTCACACTTCTTAATTGCAAACGGAAATCTTGTATTTATTGGTACAGATTTATTTCTTTTTTATACTTTTATATTATTGACACAAATAAAATAGAATAGTTAAATAGAAACAGGCACACATCTTCTTATTCTCATTACTCAAATCGAATCGTCTAAATAATCATTAACCTTATTTTTCACACTATATCAGACAGCGATTTCACGTTCAATAACTTTATATCGAAATTCTTCTGTGCATGAACTCATTTTTGTATAGGACCTCTCTTTCTCTCTTTCGATTCACAAGCTAAGTCTACCCATTCACTACATGAACTATATCGTTTCGTAAAGTGATGGATTTCTATTAATAAGCTCATTATAAACAAAACAAGGACTCAGTTCTACTTTACAGTTTGGAACCATACAAGTTGTATCAAAACAAACCATTAATGTGCATTGTTATTCCTATTAATTTGAATGTATGTGTATGTAATCGATAATTATAGAGAAAACTACGACAAGGACGAATTTTTATTGCCTAAGACGACAATCTACTGTATAGTTGTACTCATCAACATACGTTCAATGTAGCAAACGAAACGCTTTTCACACTAACGTCCCGGAGATTCATGATTTCAGAGTCAATTGTCAACATCTGGCGCATTGCTTTCTAATGTATAGCAGCGTCATTAGTGTCACAGCTGTTATTTATTTTCTTTCTTCTTCACGTCGATCGTGAGTAGGAATCCGATGTTGAAAACCCTTAGATGGCGCTTTGCTGATCTTGATTATGATACGATTGGTGAATTCTCGCACTTCTTATGAGTCATGTACGTGTCAAAGAGAAAAATAACAACATCATCATCATCAGTAAACTCTCTTCATGTATTTTCTTTTTCATAACTATGCTTAATACATTTGATGTATTCATCAAATCTGTATGATAATCGGAACCATGTATTTTCATATTCTATTCAGTCTTTTGTTGTTTATTGTACAAAGCTCCTCGCATCAATCACTTTTGGGTACTCATTTTTATGTTAATCAAGATAATATACTCGTCGATAATACATTGAAAACTGTTTCAACCTTAGCACGCCCGTATGATCTTGTCGCATTTATTCGTCAATCGGAACGCTTGGCACGTGTTGATTCTTTACAGACGTACATCGATGCTGTTGATGACATTGTCGATTTGCCATCTACATCGAATTCTGATAAGCAAGATAACGAAGATAATATTGATAAATGTAATGAATTGATACGTGATAGTGAATCGTTAATATTTAAAATTCTAAAAACGAATCTTTATGACACATATTATATTCCATTTGAATTGAAGAATCTTTCAATCAATGCTACAGTCAATGATAAATTCAAACCTAAAACAATCCAAACTTGTAATCAATTCTGTGAAACTCATACGAGTAAACACTTTTCTTTCGTTTCTTTCCAATTCTTCTCTCTGTTTATTCCAGATTTGCTGACATTTGATCATCTACCAAGTATTTCTACTCGATACGACGAACAACAAACCATTCGTATCGACGATGACGAACCAAATAATCCAACAAAAAGAAATGAACAGCAAGCGCAATGGTCCATACACGAATTATCACACAATCGTTCATCGTGGTTGGCGTACGTCTATCTGAGTCGCTACTTCGCATCGAATTTATCCTATCACCATGCTATTGATTGTCTTCGCTGTGCACTTGTCCATGGTTCGGATTACAATGACGTCGTGCTAATCGAGTTAGCTAATATTGTCTTTCGTTATGGTTACATACGCGATGCAATTGTCTTGATTGAGAAAGCACTTGATTATCATTTACGAATGAAAACTATCAACGTGAAATCTTTGTTTATTCGTTCGATATTGCATTACTATTTAGGAAATTTATGTACAATTGATAATCGGTTTCTCTTGGCGATACAATTTTATAATCGCACGAGAATTTTGCTAGAAAAGATACAAAAATTGAATGATGAACAACAAATATCTAGTCTTTCGGCGAAATCGCTTGGTTCTTTATCGATTTCATCATTGTTATCTTTGTCCCAACAGAAAATCGACGCACTCCGTTGTCATCTTACGTTAGAATTATCTTTGCAACGTAAACATCATGTTTTACAAACAAAACTTGCACAATTGAACCAGCTGCGATCGATAACTGATGAATTAATCCAATTGAATTCATTGATTAAGCGTGACATGTCTCCTGGACAGTCGTTTCTCGAAACATTACGCAAGATCAAAGTGGAACAGCAGCAAACGATTTGTGATTGGAAACAATTGAAGAAATCGAAATTACCAACTCGTTCCTATTCGAAACGAGAAGAATATTCAACGGTCATGAAACGTGAACGAAGGTGTTCAATCAATGATATTAATTTGCACTCAATTCAAACAAGTTCGAATCATCTTCTCGGCTTTTATGATTGCCGACCGCGAGATAATGTCGTACTGATTGGCGATCCTTCTGATACAATCGACCGTGATGAACAATCACTCGATTCCGAACAAAATCTCATGGCCTGTAAGTTCTCCGCATGTTCTTCCTCTCCAACTAAATCTATCTGTGAATTTTCTAGCACGTATCGCTGCAAGTAAACATACATATTCCACGCATATATTGAATGAAAACACGAGTGCCGTTACTCCAATTCACACGCATGAACAAACAACATTAACATCAACGACTACATGGCCAACATTGACATCACGTTTGCCGACCGAAGTCATCAATCAATCTTCACAAGACTTCCTTGTGAAACAGTCCAATGTCCTCTATCCACCATTGAAGCACAACACAGTGATTAAATTAAACGAACAACAACTACCAACTTATGCAGAATGTCAAATGCATTATTATGGCCTACCATCGATCGGCGATTACCCAACTGTATGGTTACCTTTGGAAAATAAAGGTATATCGAATGTGAAAGAGGCGTTCTATCAAGGTTTGAACTATCAAAATAAACATTATCCATTGCCTTGGTCGCCTCCGTTGTGTGTTTTGAAGAAGCCAGTCAATGAACGATTAGCAATTATTGAGAATCATTCGGTTTTAAATCGTGTGTCGCGCGCTAAAGCGCCGACGAATCGATATGATACAAATATGTTATTGAATTTATATATGTATATTGATTCGATCATTGATGAACAATTACCGATTGAAGAGTTTGGACAACGTTTGAGATCAGTTAGTGAGAAACATGAACATTTAATACCCGAATGGATTGTTCACTTATTGTCATCGCTCTATTGGCGAGTTAATGGACATTTACCACATGCGATCGATTGTGGATTGAAAGCACACGAAACAATTATTAAAAATAACACATATAAACAGTGGAGTGATCTAACGTTAATCAATCTGGCGAATATTCTATATCTTTGGTAAGAATATCAGAAATATTTTCTCCTAAGGATAATATGTTCTATCTGTTTTAGGGGTAAATACGAGGATGCTCTAGATATAACACAACAAGCTTATTCAATCAATTCTCACGAACCAACAACAAATTATTTTCTTGGAAATCTATTAGCACTCACCAAAAACAACCATACAGCTGCCCAAGAATACTATCGACGCACAATTGCCATCGATCCAGCACATGTTCACGCTTATCGACAATTACGTCTTAGTTATTGCTACACCATGCATTCTACATGGGAAATGATGAGTTGTTCTTCTGACAATGAAAAACATTGTGACGAGAAATCCGTTCGAAGTGAAAGTACGAAGCGTAATTTAATGTTGTCTGTTCCGAATTCGAAGATCCGTGATGCTACTATGGTACTGGATTATAGTAGAACATATTCGTCTTCGTACTATAATCGAAATACTCAATGTATGTTGTCTTGTCCTGTCTTGTCTTCTTGTATTTCGTTTTAAATTTAGCAACGATAATCCAAGGAATTACCTTTGTTATTATTTGACATTTTAGGTCAACGATCTCTTCTTGATAACCGTTCCTCGATTGATCGTTGGTTAAATCGTTCGTCATCAGTCTCATCACCAGAACGCGAAGAACTAATCAATGATGCTCGACGCGCGTACCGTCAATATGGTTTATGCTCAAATAACCATATCGCTAATGAATGTTCACAAGGTTTTGGTGTCACTAACAACGGCTATGATATCGGTCATGTTTTAATCATCTACAATGATGTCATGCAAAGCTTTTATTATTCATTCGTATTTTCCACTGATTATGAAAATATTTTTCTAAAAGAAGGCCAATCCAAATGTATTATCTATGGTACGGGCCGAAAATCGTCGAAATGCCGTAATTTGGTTACCGCGAATCCAAGTATTCTGAATAGTAAACACAACATGACATGGCTCCGTGATCCATCGACTATCTACGAGCATTTAAAAGAACTAATCGAAATTATGAGTTATCAACAACAGTTCGAGAATGAGACGCATCTCTACGAGAAAAATGCTTGGGAAAAATATCTTTCGGATCAATATCTCTTTTCTAAAGATATTCAAACGAAATATCTTTCGAACAACTCAATCAATTTCAATCGAACGAATTGTCAGAATGTATCTGCTGTTACATACAAACCTTATTTGTCAACATGGATATCGCCACAGACGAAGAATATTTTTGTAAATCACACATTTTTCAGACAATTAAGGGAAAATACTGAAATGATCGAACCGATTTGTTCATATCCGATAATTAATCAAACTGATACAAAAAAGAATCTTCAATTACTCGATTATATCATCCAAAAAGCGAATCACAATCTAACACTCTATCACGCAGAAACAATTCTACGACCTATTTTATTCAATTTAATGTTTGAAAAGAATCCTGCAATTACGAACAAAGGAGGTAAGTTTTTACATCCAAATACGGTGGGTTCTTTTCAAGAATTCTCTTCACCAGGTGATGACCGTGTTCTACTCGCTTCATTTCTTGCCTCTGGTCTTCACTCACCAACGTACAACACATCGTGGATCTATTTCCATACACTTTCTCTCTACTGGCGTCTTATGGGTAATGCATCGCAGTCATTAAATTGTTTACTTCAGTCTCATATACTATCACCACATGACGTTCATGATTTAACGTATTTATCAATGGCATTGATACTCTATAATAGTCAACTATATATCAATGAAGCGGTTTATTTACTTTATGAGTCCTTAACTGTTGATCCGCCTGGTCTCTTGTTAGCACATTTTACGTTGGGTAATGCAATGGCGAGAAAAGGTTATTGGGATTATGCTGAACAATGGTATCGATCGACATTGAATTTGAAATCGGATTTCGAACCGGCCAAGCAACGTTTGCGTACAATTCAATGCTCAATCAATTGAAAATCTTGTTTTGTTTCTCTTCTTATCTTTCTTTCTGATCCGTCCATAGATGCTTTTTCTTTTGGTGTTCTTTCGTATTATCTCGGTTGAACAGTCACCCGTGTTCTGTGTGCCAGATCGTTTCTTTTGAATCTCAAATCTCGAATGAATAATAAAAACATTGTCTTTGTTTTCAGATCGATCCTATCTAGTCATGAAACTCCAGTGGCCAATCTGTGGACCGAAATTATCTTTATGTTGCTCCATCATATCCGTTTGGGGTATTATTCAATTTCTTCTCATGGGCGTTTTCTTTTACATGGAAGCAGCACCTTTATTAGATGATTTCGAATTCGATCACAATACGACCAACACGAAAGTCTTCAAAGATAATCTTTCCAGTGCGTATAGTCAACGTGCACATAACTGCTGGATTGCCGCATTTCTCTATGTCGGATTATTGGTAATTGCTGGTTCACAATTCATAACGAATCAAAAACAACTAGTCGAAACCGGTCATCCGACGTCGATGGCTACGAGATTTTCCGGTCTTGCTGCGGATGAGAATGGTTTCAATCGACAGTATCAAATGCAGTACAATTCCGAACAGACTGAATAGTCGGTGTTTTAATGCGAGAATTCTATTTTGATGTTGTATTTCATGTTAGTAAGGTCAAATATTAATCTCTGCTCGTTGTATTGTTTGTAAAAATGTCATGCACTTGGTATATTTATTGGTCATGTATGAATAAACTCTTTATAAGACAAATCTTCTCACATTTATATTTAGCTTATTAAACCTGACATTAAGTAAACAATTTGTTTCATTGTGAAATGAAACTGACACGTGTTAGCATACGTGATTAACACTTTCCCCATTATATCTCTTGTAAAAGGTAGTTAAATGACGCGTAGGTGCTATTTTGACTTTGTAAAAAGCTGAAAAAAGAAAAAAAAGGGGAAAAATAGTCGAGTGAGGACTCGTCTCTGGAATAGTAGTCATTCAAAGGTGGAGAATCGAGATATGAACAGATGTTTGGAAAGTTCACATTTGACATGCTTCTCATTCTACATATTGGAACTGACAAGGGATTTGCACAAAATTTTCATGATAAACAGAACAGAATTCCATATCAGATATTCAATAATCGTGGAAGTGATTTATAAAAGTTTATCAAGAAGGATGTTAGTGGAATTTTGGAAAAAGCAGGTGAAAATTGTCTTCATTTGTGTTTTTAGTAAATTTTAATACGAAAGTCTGTTTCACGGGTAACCGTATATCTCAATGAATAAACTGACAAAAACAGCGTTCTATTTATGGAACTAAGAAATAGCTTGCAGTGAGGTCTTTGCTAGCGGCCCTTTAGTTCAAGATTAATGGCTAAGTATATTGGCAACATTGAGGAAGTCTGTTTTCGTTGTGGATAGTTATCATTGTTCATTAACGAGCTAGTGTTTTATGACGGTGAAATTCAAAATGTCCTCTTATTTTTCTGTCTTTTGAAGTGTCATCAAGATGCGTTTGGCATCCCATTCGATAATTGTCTTCTATATGATTTTATCAGGATATGTTCAGTCGCTTTCACGCATTAGATTGCATTAGTGAGAAGAATATTTGTTAAAAAAGATATTTTTAGGCTTGAAGGTCATGTATTCCGGCTAAGATATTCATATTTCTATAACTGTAAGAATTTCTTCAATATCTACTACGTTTATGATATCATTGACATATTCATTTCATTAACGAGAAAATTTGATGAATTTATTGCGTTGTTAACATAGATATCTGAAGTACCTATTCACTAATAACGCTATTTAGAAGAATTTTCTTTTGTCATCCCTTCCTCCCTCGCTGGATGAGTAGCGCTTCTCTTGCAGATGCAATATAAGATTCTATTAATATCCTTTTCAGATGTTTAGTGTAAGTCGTTTGTCAAATCTATATTGAAAATGTCAGCGAAAAATAAATATTCAAGTTCAGCAGGTATTATGGACTTCATCAGACAATACTTTGTATTAATGAGCTACAATAGATAAGATGATCATGTCAGAAACAATCACGTGTTTAGACGTGAAAATGCAGTCTTCATAACATACATTCTAGAGTTTTGTCCAACCGTGCGCCCATTTTGATCAATTTTACTATATTAATGAATATGCGTTCTTTGAATAAATATAGGTCATATACAACATAAGGATGTATAAATTAAGTGGAGGTTCCCGGAGTACCGGATAAAATCTTCTATTTAAATAGGTAAGATCTATAGATTATGTTGAGATAACGATAATCAGCAGAATTTTCGTGTGATTATCATGGTGTCTGACTACATAATGTTTGTATCGAATATCATATTTTCATTTTGTTACTAAGATTTCAAAGTATTGTTACAAAAAAAGAAAGAAATTTATATTATCTATTTCAGAAATATTCATGCATTATTCCTTATAATTAATATTAAACAAACGTGATGAATTATCTAAAAGAACATCAGTGTACTTTTACTTCATTATTTCCCGTTCCTTTTCCTCTTTCTATATAACAACTCGTCTGCTATTCCAGTTTCGAATGATACGTTGTCATTCGCTTTATTCTTATCAAATACAGAGCCAACATGTTCAACTCAACGCACGATAGTAAGTTACTCAGTAGATTTCTACTGTAGCAAAACTACTTTTCATTCTTATTTCAAGTGTCTGCGCCCGTGCACTGCGTGTATGTTGATTATAATTCCACGCGAGCACGTTATGCTACCGTTAACGAGTGTAGATTTTCACGTTTTGCTGGTATTTTACTTCTTAGCATATCGATTGTGTCATTTGCCATTAACATACATTCATTAGCGAAGACTCGGAAAAGTCCTAATTTTTCTCGTCGAGATATGGGATTAGTGCTTGGCATGTTTATATCATCGTTATGTGTTATTATTATCAGCGTTCCGTCGGTGATTGTTCAATGTTTTCTATGTCGTCGACTATGTATACGGTCGATCTGTTTGATCGAAGGTTTCAATTCGTTTTTGAACGGTTGCGTGGCGATGTACATGTTGGTTGCTCTATCGATAATCCGATACTCGACAACGGCTAATTCTTCGATGCCTGTCGATTTTCAACGACATCTCGAACAACGAAATGTGTATATTGTTGGTTTGTGCTTTATTCTAGGCGGAATTTGGGCTGTACCGCCAATATTTGGTCGTATGAGTGCCTATGCTCCTGAAGGACTTGGCTTTCATTGTGGCCTTGATTGGTTTGATCGATCGTTACCTGGACGCATCTATTTCTTCCTTCTATTCATTGGTGTGTTTTTCATTCCAATTGTCATTGTTATCTACGTTAATATTTACATTCAACGAATCATTTACCGCTTAACGCACATGAAGCCAGGTGTATTACTTGAACTAAATTTGAATTCGAATTCGAACGAAGAAAACGTACGTCGGCATGTGTCGGATGTCGTCTATGAGAAAGAAACTCGTCGGCTACACCGTTTACATGAAGACCATCGTTTTGTGGTTGCTACCGGTGTTAGTGTGGTCATCTACATTATTGCCTGGACGCCGTATAGTGTCGTTGCACTTGCTCAAGTATTTGGTGATCAATTCTCGATATACAATCCATGGTTAATGACTACATGTGCTCTTCTTGCTAAACTCTCCATGATTGTCAATCCAATTATTTACACAATGATACTGAAAAGTCATGATATGGTCATACCGTTCAGATGAGTTTTTCTCACGTCCATTGTATTTTTAGGAAACTATGGAGCAGTATACAAAAAGAAAGAAAATTAAAAATAAACCAAAAAAAATAATCAAGCATCGGTGTTGTACATTCTCGATGTACTCACTAAGCCATTGGTGAAAGGACAAATAGTTGAATTATTCAAGGAAGAGGTTTTCTTTTATTGTTATTGGTTGATGTTGTTGATTTTCTTGTGGCTGTTGTTGATGATGATGACGATGATGTTCGACCCTTTTCTTGTTGTTGACGTAAATTCTTGTAATTCGTCCATGTATCTGTATAAGGTCGAAATAGAGTTGATAAGTATTCCTTTCCTATGTCTTGCACACCTTTCAAATCAGCTCTCACATCCCTTTTGGTTTTCTCCCACCCACCCGCTCGTTCATATTTACCTCGATGTTCAATAAATTTATCTTTGCCTACATTGAAGAAGTAAGCTGTTAGCTGTGCTGCTCGTCGAATGGGGTAAGATTCTGATAGGCGTCGAATCAGTTCTTCATTGTTCGTCAAATAACGCATCAACGAACGCCAAGGCATCTTCAATCAACCTCGTCTATTTTATTTTCTAGAAAAACAATTCAAATGACATTTATTAGTAAACATAACTCTCTTCACTGCTTTACAGTTATACGATGCTATAATCAATGTATTTTCAAGAGTAAAAAAAGCAATCTTTCGATTCGTCATAAACGAGAATGAGAATACAAAATCACAGTAAAATTTCGGTAAAAAATAAGACTCAATTACACGTAAGATATTTTTATCTGCACACAAAGCTAGTTTCAGTGACAATTTTGACAATCTTTTGTGCACAATTTGCCTTTGTCTACTCGACACCGACAACCACCCGATGTGTCACCACGTCCGCCTGGGCCCCAGCGTGGACCACGAGTTGGCCACTAAATATAACATCATTCAAATGAAAGAAAAGCAAACGTGTCAAAATACTTACACAAATTTCCATTTTACATTGAGTGCATTGCAACCAGTCACAGCCAGACAATTTTTGAATTACGACTCGACAACCGGGACTAGAAACATTCCATGTCATAAAAAGAGAATGCATATACGTGCAAGGAAAATACTTACCAGTGCATAGCTTCGCGTCTTTTGATCATCTCCTACGAGAAAAAGCATTTTCAAGACGACTCTTCATTGATATTGTTCTTACCTCTAGATGTTCTTGATCTTTTCGAGCTGTAGCATCGTTAGCTGCTCGGATTTTAAGATCTTCTTGATACTCTAGACCTACATATACTTACATTTGATACTATTGCTAATGAACATTTTGTACTCACAATTTTGACCTTCGTGTACTGCAACGCATGTCATACAAATCCAGTGTTTGCAACCCTAATCAAGCAAATCTGAGGTATTCTTTTTGAACCATAAGACGTTTTCAACATACATCGCAGTAGACGATATTGTTTCCTTGCACTTGCTCGATAAACCACCATTGTCCACAATCAGGTGTAATGCAATGAAATGTTTTATGTCGACTTTCCGCCCAACGTACTCCAATTTCGTTTAATTTATCGACTAATCTTTGCTCACGTCTCATATCTTTGACAATCTAAATGATTCACAATGAAAAAAGAAGCAAATGAACAATTCGATCTTACGCCACGTAATTCTCTTTCAGTGATGATTGTCGTACAGTCATCATGTGGACATTTCAATAACGGCTCGGTGCTTGTTTCGATCATTTGTAAGACACAGCGTTTACACATTGGATGTAGACAATGATGAAACAAGACACCTTTCGTTTTTCCAATTAATTCACAACAGATAATACATTCGAATTCTTCGTTATTCTTGTAATAGGCTGCGTGGGCTTGTTCGCGTAGATCGTCTCGAAACGCTTTCGAATCCTCTTGGTAACGTAGAAGTTGCTTTTCTTGTTCATGGATGAAATTCAAATATTCAGTGTTCGTCATAAAAATACTTCCACATCCGGCGCATGTCTTAGCAGAATCATTATTACAATTGTGATGTGAACATATAACACAATACCAATTCGGTGGCTGAAAAACAAGAGGTCAGATTGTGTTCGTTTGAATGAGATAATTATTATCTTACAGGATCTGTGGTCGGAGATGTAAAATTACTTGATTCATTCGAATTTGCAATGATTTTCTTCGTAGATGCGTCTGACTTTGGTTCTACGCTTGTTTGTTCAGTCTGAATTGAAAGTTGAAGAAGCAAACACGTGAGAAACAACTTTGATGCTTACATTATGAAGTTTGGAATCTCTGAGACATTGATTTAGTAAATCTTGTCGAAGAATGCGACATTTTTTACATGATTTGCGTCCGGATTGATTGTAAACATGACAACTCGTACATTCCCAATAGGCAGACTAAATTTACAGTGAATTAGTCAATCAACTACAATTGCCAATCCTCTACTCACCACAGGTGTTATATTTGAAGCTAGCTCATTCTTACTCTAAATAGACAACGGCAAATCAAGTTTGCAGTCAAAAAGTCTTTACATCTACCTCATCGATTGAAGAAGTAGCCATTTTGGTCTGATTAAAATATTAGAAATATCATCTAGAATAAGATGTCATGTGCAAACATATGAATTGTAATTTTCACGGAGTAAAAGTGTTTTTTTCGAAAAAGTTTATTTCTTAGGCCACACGTGCAGCAGAACATGTACAGCAGACCAAATCATTTGGCGGATTGCTAATATTACAATTCCAACAATTCCACGGACCCTACGAGAAAACAAGCAGGTATATACGGGCACATTTGACTCAGGAAACAAAAGAACTTGCATCGTCATGAAATACTTTTGTACGCGTTAATTCGAATAGAACAAATACAGTATTCGGCCCGACTCTCAAATGACTCATGGAATCATCATCATGAGCCAAATGGCCATTGACAAACAGATACTGTCCACTGGGTAATGATTGATGCGATAGTTCAAACTGAAAGCAAATATTTATAATAATATGGATTGTGGACAACCATATTCAATATGAAATACCACTGCACGCAATTCACGAACTGTTGTTGACGGAAATACATGGACTGGTATTGTTGCACCATGCTTACCAACCGAATATTTATTGCCATCAAGGCGAACATAGACTCTAGAAATATGGCAGAAGAAATCGAAAGTGTCGAAGACAATTTTCTGAGGTATTCATTACAAAAACTCTTGTTCTTTTGCATCATTCCCCGATGGTTTCGCCCGAAGTCGAACTCCCGTTAAAGCCAATTGCGTAGCTAATTGGGCAGCAGCATACGTATCACCGCTTTCAATAAGTTCCCCAAGTCCATGGACACTGAGCAAAAGGTCTAAAGTATTTACCGCTAAGAAGGAAAAAAGCAAACAATCAATTTACACAAACAAATATCGATCATCTACAGAAACCGAGAAATTCTTACCAGGTGCATGGGGAGCTTGTGGTTGATGAGGAGCATTGGAAATATCATTGAAGGAATGATTGTGCTGATGATCGTTTGTTGTTGAAGAATTACTGGCTTGGTATTCATCGGTAAAGTTAACGTCGGTTTCAAATCCACTGAAATCATTATCAGCGAACGGATTTTGAGACAAATTTCTATAAGTTTGTCTCAGTTTTTCATGAAAGTGATCTCTTGAGTCTGAGTTTAACCATATTCTATAAAAGCCACTTTTGCTACGCAGTTCATCTGGTTCATCTCGAGACTGCCCATATTTGTATTGATTTGTTGATTTCAGAGGGAAATTGAAGATTTCCTACAATGAAATTCATGCGAACAGGTAAATGGGATATCGAACGAAATAGAACATACTGAGTTATTATTCGCTACATCGATGCCTGTCAAAGAATAACTATTTTCTGCATAATATATCAACTGCAGCTGAGATCTGTCTGAGTAATCCCGGTTGGGACGTCGTTGATCATTAGGTACGTATTGAATACGGCATTTACCATATACTTCAATATCCATGTTATCTAGAACGAAAAGTAAAATAATGTTTCCTGATGAGCAAAACGCTCCGTTAAATTAAACAATGTATTCAAAAATTAGGTAAATATCTATTGACTGATCACAAAAAGTACAAAAAGCGAATTGGATTGAATATTTAAATCTTCCATACTAGAATCTTCATGTGCTAAATGCCCATTCACAAAGAAATATTGATTGACCGGTAAGAATTTATGTGAGGATTCAAACTATTGAAATGGAAAATGCATATATATATATATATATATAATTGATTAGACAAAAAAAAAGAAGAATTTTTCTTACAACAGCGCGTAGTTCACGTATTTTTGTCGATGGATAAACACTCATTGTAAGCTCTTCGTTTGAGTCATTATAATTCCATCGACTACCATCAATCCTCACTTTGATACTATTCGATTAGTTTAATATAAAAGTACAAAAAACGAATTTTTCTCTTTTTATTTTTTCCCTTACGGTATTGCCAGTTCGTTCGTTTTATTCCATGGGCTAGCTTTTAGCTGTACATGTGCCTGAGCTAATTTTCTTGCTAATTCAACAGCTTCGTTCACATGACCTGATCGAATTTGTTCACCCAATTCGTAAACATCCGCCAAAATATCTACAATCGAACATTTGTATAGAGAATCTACTCATAAATTGACTTTATATGGTATAGAAAGTGCGAAATCTCACGAAAATACGACAGATTTCATCAATGGCTGCTAACATATTCTACGCACAGACTCAACTCGACTACGAAAACAATAATCAGTAACCGTCAAGTTTTAAAATACCACTCCACATTTACACAAACAAAGATTTCGTACCATTTCGATTGCTTTGCGGTGTAGACTCCGGAGGAATTGGGGAATTTCTTTTTAGAGAAACTGATCGTTGTTGTTGTGGTGGTGCTGGTGCTGGTGCTGGTAGTGGTGATGGTTCACCGTTTATGCTACTTAGTTGTTCGAAACATATTTCCAGTGCTTCATGAAAACCCGTTCGTGATGGCGCACCGATCCATAACTGATACGTGCCACGTTGATCATGGACTTGATCAGGGTCATTTGGTGTCTGCCCATATTGATAGGTATCTCTGTGTTTCAATGGAATATTGAAAATTTCCTAGAAGCAAATAAGTTGTATTTTGAGAAACCAATCATCGGTCAGTTGAAGTATTTTACTGTTCGGTTATTTTCTATGTCAAGTGCTTGTATGGAATAATCAGCGAAATCATGTTGCATCAATTGAACGATTGATCGCTCCGAATAATCATTTTGGGAATTTTGTTGTCCACGAGGTATAAACTGAATGCGGCAAGTAGAATAACATGCAAGACTCATTTTATCTAAATAAACACATGAAAATCATCTAATTATACATTGGGAACGGAAAAAGTCTTTTGAAACATCAAATTAAGAAAAAATTTCGCATACGATGTCAACTGCCTGTAAGCAACCTTACATATGTTTTCTAACTGATCATAGAGGTCCATATCTGCCTTCCTATTGGTGGGAAAGGAATAAACAAATAATTGACGATCGGTTCATTTTCCACCACGGATTTTTCCCTTTCCCATTTTCCGAATCATTAGATATGTCTTCGCATCTATGGCCGACGAATGAAACATCAAAAGTCAATGCACTATGGTTTCGACCATTACAACCTGGTAAAACCCGGCTTGTCTCTTCTTTATTCTATTGCATCTTATTTTTAGTTCGAGAAGACGTTAGTTTGGCTAAATTCGAAGACATACTCGAACAAGAACGACGCCGTTATGTTGAAAAAGGTTTCTACTCTTCTTAGAACTTTATGTTCCATTACAATGAATTCTATTTTAGGTTTAAATTTACCATTTCATGGACGAACTGAAATGGATAATGGCGATGTATGAACTTCTTCCGAAGAGAACAACACACACGTGGATACTTCGTTTTTTTTTCATTTTGTAGGACGATGAAGATGGTGATGAAGCTGAAGAGGAGAGCGAAGGTGGCGAACAAGATGATGAAATGGATGCTCAACAAGGTGCCGGTTCGCCAGGAAACGGAGCAAACATTGCTGGTGGAGTGTCATAAGATATAATACTCGATTGATGTCTTTCCTTCTTTGTCAGATGTATTTTGAAAAATATTCTATGAATAAATATTTCGTTCTTTCTTAGATATACATATGTATGTCTCCACTTCTAGTTTTAGATATGTCTTCAAAGGAATTGTAAGAAAATTCGAATGCAGTACTAAAAATATTTCTACTTTTTTTGGTCCGAGAAGAAAAGTTCCTGTACAAAGGGTGCGAATTCGGAAGGCTAATGAAACGACGATAGATACTCATGAAAAGAACGTGGAAGTACGCCTGCTGTATGACAAACCGAGAGAAACCTCGTATCTTTGCGTGCACGCAGATGATGAGGTACATTAATTTTATATTTAACTTTCATATAATGAACTGAATTTCTTGTTCTTAGAGGAAACTTTTGTGTAACATCCGTGACGTAAAATTGATTGATGAGTCTTCATCAAAAGACATCGTAACTATCTATACTCCGAAAAATACGGTCATTATATTTTACGATACCGAAAAAGAGGACGTGTTAAACTTTTTCTTTGAATTACGAAAAAGAGTTGGAGGTGCAGATGATCAACCTGCCAAACCAGGTATGTATATTCATGGAAAGTTATTGAAGATAATAGTAAACTTAAGAAGGAACGAAGCGTAGGTGTGTAGACAAACTCATCTCTTCTTATACTTAGAAACGCATCTATACTATTCGCCACAATTGGAACAAGGTATGACAATTATCGCTGAGTTATGCTAACCTAAGATTCGAACGTATTCGTAACAGAAAAGGAAAAATGTTCATATTAAATTGAAACCAAGCTACGACTAACATCTATGTATGTGATATGGCTAATTTTTTAATGTAAATTCAACAATTCATTAGTAACTTTCGGATTTTGCGTATTTTGTTTAATAGGACAAATGGAAGCGATGATTAATGAACTTGTGGAGTTGATTAAAGCTGGTAGTTCAGAGAAAGCAAAGCGTAGTGTTGAACAATTAGCCGCACATAAAATCAATGTTCAGTTTCGCCTTTCGAACAAACAAGTTTCGTCAAAGGCTGATGATGTTAATGAAAAGTCAAAAGATTCTGATCTTGAGTATGAATGAATGACTAATTCTGTCTCTGTATTTTATTATGATATCTAGATTGATACTTCAAGTTGAATTTCGAGCGCCTAAAGAGCCTATTCAGATACCGATTACAGTTCATTGTGGCACGACGTTGCGATCAATCAAACGTCAAGTTCGCGTGCAGAAATGAGATCTTTCCTAAAAGTAAAACTATTCATTTAGGTTGAGCACGAGGTAGGAATCGAATGCGCTGATCAACATTGGTTTACTTGCCATCGATATCCGCTGTCGGATAAATATATCTTTGGATCTTCCATGCCTGTTAGTTCAAATCAAACTTGTCTACATCCGATTCGGTCCGGTGATACATTATATATGTATGTCGCTTAGCCATCTATTGCATACTAGTATCAATGGGCCAGTCTTTTCTTCTTGTTACATCTAACTTAGAAAGTTTTTCATCTCTCCATAATAAGCTGTCGCGTGGTTTATCTTTAATTGTCATGTTGATGTTTTTTGATGATATAGAACAACGTAAAAATGATACATATAGTGTTCAGGGTGTGAAGTATAAGTTAATATCATCCCAATTCATTTGACTTTCATGAAAAACTTCATGTTTATCTTATTTTATTCTAGATATTTTCGATGTCGCTGTAAGCTTTATTCAGTTCTACGTTGAATCAAGAATGATGTCTTCTTTGCCATATTGTAGAACGGGTACAGTAAACCAGGCTATGATATTAGATGAAGCGAATGGCCGCAATAATAGCTATTCTAACGCAAGGCTACGAATAACAAAAGTCAATCCGAAACTTACCATACAAATTCCACCCGATGATACGGTAGTTTTTCCATCGAGCTTAATTGTATTTCTATAATTTCATTGGCTAGATTGTATATGAGGTTGATCTCAGAAATTGCTCTTACGTCTCAGAATCATCCTCACCCGGCAGTGTAGAATGCATTGAAGATAAAGTCAGTCGAAAGAAAATACTTATCTTAGATAATAAAACAGAAAACAGAGAATTATTCGATTTCATGCGAGATTATCTGAAAAGTAAGTGCCTCAGTAACTTTACTTTGATAAGAATCAATTAATTTTCTTAGATCCACCTATTATACCCGAGCCCCAACGAGATATAACTATCGATGGAGCCAAAGTGAATAAACTAATCACAGCACTGAGCAATAAGAACGCGACTGAAGCTGCTCAAATTGCCAATCAACTTGCCAGTGTTCGAACACCCGTTCAATTCGGTTTGGATCTGATGAATGAAACAGGAAATACACCGTCTGCCCCGCCACCGCCGCCTGTTGAGCAACCATTGAAGTAACTATAACTCACACTCGCTTATTCATCGATGCCATGCACGAGCCAATAGATCTATTCGAGTTTGAACAATAAACATTCTGTTTTACTATTAAGGATGAAATTATCCATTGAAAGTTATCTAATTGATCAATGTGTTGACACCCAATTTGATATTCGTATTCTTCGTAAAACAACAATTCGACAATTAAAAGAAATGGTAGCATTATCGAAAGCATTGGCATCCTATACATCGCACTGATTTTCCTCTTAGGTAGCAACCGAAATAGACGTTAGTCGAGATCGACAACACTGGTATATCCATCGAGAATATCTTCCAGACGACTACACATTCGGAGATTCGATACCACGCATTATGGATGGGACAGTGCTTATTCTTTATATCGCCAAACCTAACTGAGATATTTGAATTAATCACTTTATCATTTCGATATTTTTCATAGTGAAAATTTCTTTAAACACGAGCTAAACAAAGAAAAGTACACAAATAATACTGTGCTTTTTGTGATAATTTATATGATTTGCTTTCTATTTAATATATATATTTCTGAAATGAATACCGTTCTAGCCTTTTATATCTTGATAAATATGGGACTTTCATCACTTACACAAAAATTGTCGATACAAGTCACTCATTGTAGTTTACTTGAAGTGAAGAAATATCATCCAAATGTCACAGCAATTGTCAATGCAGCAAACGTTTATATGAGAGGAGGTAAGCACTCGGTTAGACACGATATTTTCTTTCTTACAAGAAATTATCAGGCGGTGGTCTTGATGGTGCTATTCACAAAGCAGCTGGTTCAGAGTTATTGCAAGAACTAAAGAAACTCGTTCCAACAAAAACTCAAACAGCTGAAGTCATCGTGAGCAAGGGATATAAAACTGGCTTTTCTCATATTTTACACGTTGCTGGACCAATTTACTCATCATCAAATCCGGACGAATCTCGAAAGTTACTTGAAGAAACATATACAAATGTTATACGAACAGCTGATTCACAAGGAATCAATGCGCTTGGCTCGGCATCGATTAGCACAGGTATATATGGTTACCCATTAGACGATGCTGCAAAAGTGGCTATTTCAACTGTTGCGCGTGAACTGTCGCAATCGCAACACTTGAAAACAGTTATCTTTGCAATGCTTGGACAACAAGAATATGATGTATTTACTAAAGCGTATCAACAATGGAAACACAAACACGAAAGCGATTTGTAGAAAGAACATGAATTTTATTCGTATTATAGAGTAAAACGATTTGATAAATAAATAATTGACGTATCATACGTAAACAATGTGACTTGATTCATTAGCGATATGAGAGCATATGAGTACAATTGTGAATCACATGTTTTTTCTCCGTCGAACAAACAAAACCGGATAGTAAACCGGATTTCTTGCTTAATACACATTGAGTGACGACCTGCATCGATTTATCACATAATAACAAATCATCAAAAACATAATTAATCTAATCTATGAGTGAGAGACAACAAGCGAAACTTTCCTTTCAAGGTATTTGAAGGACGTACGACAAACTTAAACGAAATGGTGTTTATGCTTCAATAATCATACGTTGTTCTTCATAGTTCGTTCTTGTCATAGATTACTGTGCTCTAAATGCGCAACTACTAGACTTAGTGAGACAAAAAAAAACGAACGATCATAGTCAGCAAACACTATTCAAACAAAATATTATTGTTATGAAGGTAAGTGAGTAAAATTTTCAAGGACCTCATCCGATTTTAGTGGGAAAATGTATAATTTTACCTCGACAATTATGAGAAGATTCGTTTAATTGTCAAAAACATATTAATGGTCACACATAATTATCTAAATTAGCCTTTTGCTCTTTCATCTGTACATTAGATCATCTATACATTTTTACCATTACTTTTTTGTATTTCGTTTTACTATTAGAACATGGAACTGGACGATGTGAATACAAAATCATCAAGTGCAGATGTCGATGATGATTTAAACGTTGACGATCAAGTCTATAAAAGAAGTCATAGTGATCATCAATTGCATATTGCGAATAGAGAACATCGAGAACACCGTCCACGACAAACCTCACTGTCTGGTGCCCCAATTTCTGTAATCTACGAAGTACCAACTGATGCAAAGGACGGTGAAATCACTTTTACACCGCCGCCAACGGCTGCTTCAGCTAGCTATGCTAATCATCAACATCGTCGATCGACTGGAACAGGACCCCATGAGCGACAATTATCTATACTCGATCCGATGTCCGACCGTGTTAGTACTATTCTTGTTTGGCAAAATTTAGCTGTTTCTACGCGAATAAGCAAACGACAACAATTCATTCACAACTTGAGATCTAAAGGTCCTCCACTAACAAGCAAACGCTTATTACATAACGTTAGTGGAGCTATCACTGGTGGATTGTGGGCAGTCATGGGTAATTTTCTTTCTTTTCTTTGAGCAACTTCTTCGAAAATATCGAACTCTTTCTCTTCAGGTCCATCTGGCTCTGGTAAATCCACTCTTCTCAATACATTAGCTTGTCGTCTGGATGTCAACACCGTGGTCGAAGGTGAAATGCGTCTCAATGGTGCACCGTACGATAATGCTGAATTGAAGCGTGTTTCGGGTTATGTTATGCAAGATGATTTGTTGAATGGCTATTTGACTGTCGAAGAAACATTGATGTATACAGCTGAACTGCGATTACCAAGAACATTCACCGATAAAGAAAGACGAGATCGTGTTGATGACGTTCTTAATGACTTAGGCTTAACACACGCTCGGCACGATATCATCGGTAGTCAACTAAGACAAGGTATATCTGGTAGTGAACGTAAGCGTTTGTGTGTTTGTATGCAATTGCTCAATCGACCGCAACTGTTGTTTCTCGATGAACCAACTACGGGCTTGGATTCAGTGACAGCTCTTGACCTGTTGTACACACTCAATGCACTTGCTCATGGTAAATCACAGGATAAAGCTGTCACCATCGTCTGTTCGATCCATCAGCCTCAAGCTAAAATATTCAACTTATTCGATTCCATAGTTCTACTCAAAGCAGGTCATATCATCTATCAAGGTTCAAGAAAGATGTCCACTGTAAGTTGGTTTTCTAATTTGATCGAATTGCAAAGATTGACGATATATTCTAGGAAATATTTCGTGCCGCTGGACATCCTTGTCCCTTGTTCACCAATCCCGCTGATCATTTACTGGATGTAATCACTCCACCAAAGAGTGGTGCAAACAATAGTGATGAACCTCAACTAACACTCGAACAACAAGCAGCTGTTGATGAAGCAATTGTGAAAGCACAACCACCCATCGATATTGACCTTAACTTGGGTGTAAATAAACGTGTTGGTCAAATGACCAATATACCGCCGAATCCAACGTGGCACAAACAAATTCGAGTACTCGTTCGGCGTAATTTACGTGAACAGTCACGTAAAATCAACATCATAATCACCTCGATTTTACAAACAGTTATCATGGCCGTTTTGATTGGTACAGTTTTCTTGAAAATTGGAACTAATCAAGCAAGTGTGGTCCGACGTGAACCAGTGATTTTCTTTTGTGTAATCAATCAAGGTGTCTTTGGTGCATTAACTGTTATCAACTCGTTTCCAGTTGAACGAACGTTAACACTACGTGAACGAGCATCAGGCACATACTTCGCTAGCGCGTATTTCGTGGCCAAGATCATCTCCGATACACTTGTTCAACTACCCATTCCAATTATTTTTGTAAGCATGTCTCTCCTATCGAAATAACTCCTGATGTACGAATGTGTTCTAGACATGTATTGTATATTTTCTGATCGGCTTACAACCTGTTGCTGGGAAGTTCTTTATCTTTATGTTATTCATTGTACTGTGTTCAGTAACATCGACTTCACTAGCACTGATGATCTCTGCTATATGTCGAACGACAGCGCTGAGTGTCACTGTTTTACCTATGGTGCTTGAAGTGACACGTCTTTTCGGTGGATTTTTCATTGCTCCATCACGTGTACCAGGCTATTTATCATGGCTTGATGCATTATCTTATATAAAATATTCATTTGTTGGTGCTGCATTAAATGAATTGAGCGGCTTAAAATTAAGCTGTGATGGATTAAAAACGACACGTTACAACGACACGTATTCAATCAATGCAACATGTATACAAGTTGGTGATCAAACTATACACGATCGTGGATACGATTATATTAGTATTGGTGGATGTATTGGTGTTCTAGTTGCTTTCATAATATTCTGCCGTGGTTGCGCTTTCCTTGGTGTCCGGTTTCTCAAACATTAACTCTAAGCATCAAATGAAATCTTGTTTGACACGTTTTCTTTTTACTATATAATGTTTATACGTATAAATAAATGCTTAGTTTGATTCATAAAAAAAAGTTAGAGAAAAACGAAACACAACCGAAATCGTCTCGCATACAATCTTATTGATGACATTCAAAAATTGCAAATCTTATGTTTGTCTCGTTTTCGTATGCAGCCAATCGTATCTGTTATGTATGTGTGTGTGTTTATCGTGACTTTTGACTTAAATATATATGTATGAAATATATATAAATATACAACAAAAAATGATAAGGCAAAAAAAAAGAAGAATTAAATAGATGTCATAGAGAAAGTTTGTACGAAACTAAACTAATCAATTATCATTATGTCGTCATCTTCAATTTCAATTACTGTTGGCTCGAGTGGTAAAGTGTCTACTGTTGATACAGATGTAATTACAATCGAACTCTCGGTCAATTCATTTTCTCCGTCCTTAGCTGTTCGCTGTTGTTGTTGTTGTCGCTTCACCTCTTCCATTGTTTCCTTGATTCGGTCACGAATACGTGCTTGACGGCGTTGTAAGTATTCAGTTAGCTGTTTTTGCGGCTTAAATTCTTTCTTTCGCAGCCATTTATCAATCGCCTAAAGAAAAAGAGATATTCATTACAAGACAAATACAACGACATTTTTGACACTCACTTGTTTTGCATCTTGTTTAAGTTTCTCAGCCAATGTTAAGTACTCGTCTGGTTTGATATGTCGACGAATGTTTTCTTTGACTGCTTCGTTGTAATAATCGCGAATCTGCTCGAAATTCAAGTGTTCGGCTTGTTTATTAACAAATTCGTTTTTGAGATGTTGTAATTTGGTTTGTAGAAAACCTAATTGATTTTCATACGATCTCGATAACTCGGGTTTGATATATTTATGGAAGAGACTAAATTCTCGTGAGCAAGTTAGACGTGTTAACTTTTCTAAATCTGTTGCTTGAAGAGTCCGCGTTGCAGACATGGAAGACGCTGATGATTTAGATGTTTTCGAAGAACATGCTTGGGAAGACGATGATGCAGCTTGTCGCTCGAAGCCACGACCACCAGCCATACGTGGAGGTTTGTTTGGCTTACTGAGTGTGGCTGGTGGTAACTGCTTTTTCGGTGCTTTCGGTTTGGGCGGCGGCCGAACACGCGCTGGTTTTGGCGGTTCTAAACCTGAATAAACGAAGAGAAAAAAACAATCATCTTATGAACTTCGATGAAAATCAGAATTTTTCGAACATACGTTTTTGAATTTCTCGCGTTTCACATTTCGTAACTCGTTTCACTGTTCTTTCTTTACGCGACGGAAATCGAACGCCAAATTTCGATGCCGTTGTAGATACCATCTAGAATGTACGTGCATTAGATTAGAAAGCACTCAGAGCGATGCTTATTGGCCGACAAATGTAAAACAGAACAAGACAAAAGAACACGACTACTGTATTCTGTTACTCTTAAGAGACGGCAAGAAACATAAATGAACACGGACGTACGTATATATTATTTATAGATAATGACCGTGACTTATATGAAAAAAAGTATTTGTATCGACGACACAAGAAAGAAAAATTTTTATTCATAAAACAGACGATTTCTTTTGCCATAAAGTTGTCACGTTGGCTAAGTGTATTTGATTGTTTGATTTCATGCGTAAGGAATCTTCTAACATGATGTTTTATTCGTATGTGGAATGAAGCGTCATTTAAGAGAGGGGAAAACAAGTGAACTCACTTCAAAGTACGGGCTCTTATTATGCCTTTAATTGTACTACTGAGTTTTTGAACAACGTTTCGTCGGTCGACCGATCAAATACAGTATAAGTGCAAATGTGCAGACGCACAAATATACATAAAAAGAAGAAATGACCGATCGTAAGCGCAACGATAGAACAACTAGTACAAACATCGATCGCATCAAGAGGAAGAGAAAAAAGAATAGACAGTTGACCGATTGTGAAGAGAACGAGAGGAAAAAAAAAGAAAAATCGAACGACGAATGCTAGTCCAATAGCTCATCTACAAAAAGGATATCCGCACGTGATATGCCCTCTCCTGATCCGATGGGTCGTGATCACGTCATCACTAGTCACATGATGGGACCATTCATGTCACATGAATATTCCACTGACATAGTTACGTAACAAATTCAGGCAACATTATCAAACAATCATTGCTTTTCCATTCATTGCGAACGAATATTAGAAGTTTTTTTGTTACGTCTTGATAACACAGAATTTGAATACACGCGCACAATAGTCTTTCTTTCAAATTGAAGTTCACCTTTCAAAACAGTGCATCTTAAAATGTAATGCTACATGGCTGATTCATCAAAACTAACCACGTAATATTGCACATGCATGTCAGAATTGCCTTGATAATAGCTCTAATCCACATCGGTTTTTCGATCGGCTGACATCGAGTATGACTGAATGAATCAGATACGAAACGTATTCTGAATTATTTAATGGTGATAATGATGAAAACGATATGGTCCACTAGTTTTCTTTTACCTGTTCATTGAATAGAAGAAAAGAAAGAAAAAGTGTCCATTTAAGTCGTATGAAATATTTCTTTATAAGCATTAAGCAAGAATAACAAATAATAATATTTTGCAAAGGAGCACGACACAATAAATGGTGTGTACTTCGTCGAACATTTATCGAATGCAAGTAAACTTCAACAAATAATGCTTTATGCTTCGCTGAACAGACGTTTAGACCATCAAGATATCTCTGGAGGTGTATCTTACACGTTGATTGAAATGTGTTCAACACAATAAGTGTATATTGAATCTTTTTTGATCGAGAACTATATTTACTTCAAAACCCATTCATATCTAGCTATGGTTTTGCCTGAACTATATTCTTAACGGAAATATGAAATACGAAAGTCAACAAATTTTCTTTATGTTTTGTTTTCGTTAACATTGATCACTGTTTTTATCGAATTTATTGGTTTGTTTTTTAGATTATCGAGGTAACAATATCTACTCGCACAGTTTATCCAAATGAGCTCACCAAACGCCGAGCCACCATATGTAGTACACAGTTCTAGTGATATACATTTACCAACATTGAATGAAGAAGAGACGATGGATGTTCAACATCCACTGAAAACACCGGCTGCATCATCAACAGCATCGTTTCCTGCTATCTATGAAATGCCAGCACACACTACATACGTGTCTTCATCAGGTGCTGCACACGTTCCGCACCGTTCGGGATCTTCATCGAGCGTTTCTTTTCATCAGCCACGTCGATCAAGCACACAAGGGCCACATGAACGACAGTTATCTATACTCGATCCAATGTCCGATCGTGTTAGTACCATTCTTGTTTGGCAGAATCTCACTGTTCAAGCACGAGAAAATAAACGAAAGGAATTTTTCAAACGTATGAAATCGTATAAAAATTTCGTACCAAAACGGAAATGTTTGCTTAATAATATCAATGGAGCTATTGCTGGCGGATTATGGGCAGTTATAGGTGTATATCTCTCATTTTTCTGAGTAACTTTTTCGAAAATGTCGAACTCTTTCTCTTCAGGTCCATCTGGCTCTGGTAAATCCACTCTTCTCAATACATTAGCTTGTCGTCTGGATGTCAACACTGTGGTCGAAGGTGAAATGCGTCTCAATGGTGCACCGTACGATAATGCTGAATTGAAGCGTATTGCTGGTTATGTTATGCAAGATGATTTGTTGAATGGCTATTTGACAGTCGAAGAAACACTGACGTACACAGCTAGACTACGCTTGGCACGGACATTCACCGACAAGGAACGACGAGATCGTGTTGCGGACGTTATGGCTGATTTAGGTTTATCTCATGTACATAACGTTATAGTTGGTACACCATTGAAAAAAGGTATATCAGGCGGAGAGCGTAAACGAGTATGCGTCGGTATGCAATTGCTCAATCGTCCACAGTTGTTGTTTCTTGATGAGCCTACGTCCGGTTTGGACTCGGTCACTGCTTTGGATTTGCTTCGAACATTTCATGCACTTGCTCACGGTAAATCACAGGAGAAAGCTGTCACCATCGTCTGTTCGATCCATCAGCCGCAAGCGAAAATCTTCAATCTATTCGACTCATTGATCTTACTTAAAGCAGGAAATATCATGTATCAAGGGCCGAGAAAGCATGTCATGGTAAGTATTTTTTTAATGTGAATTCGATGCCTTTGGATATTGTTATTATCGTATTCTAGGAAGTTTATCGAGCCGCAGGATTTCCATGTCCAGTGAACACAAATCCAGCCGATCATCTATTAGATGTGATTACACCACCGCGTGGTAATCCAATTCTAGGCACTACTATAATATCTCTTGAACAACAACAGGCTATTGATGAAGCTATTCTTCGGCATCAACCTCCATTGGATATCGATCTTAATATGGGTGTTAATAAACGTCTCGTTCAAATGAACAATTTACCTCTTAATCCCACATGGTTAACGCAAGTTCAAATTCTCCTTCGTCGTACATTTCAAGAACAATTTCGACAATCAAGAATCATCTTGACATCACTTATTCAAACAATTGTGATGGCTGTTTTAATTGGTACAGTATATTTGAAAATTGGAAATACTCAAAAAAGCACCTTACGCCGCGAACCAGCATTATTCTTTTGCGCTGTTAATCAAGGTGTTTTCGGTGCCTTAATGGTCATCAATTCATTTCCAGTTGAACGAACATTAACATTACGTGAACGAGCATCGGGTACATACTTTGCTAGTGCTTATTTTACAGCAAAAATTATTGCTGAAACGTTAATACAAATACCAGTACCAATCATATTTGTAAGTATAACATGTCTCAACTTTTCTCTTTTCAGTTACCGGTATCTCTCTTCTAGTCTGCTATTGTATACTTTTTGATTGGATTTCAAGTAACTGCTGGCAAATTTTTTATCTTCATGCTCTTTATGCTATTATGTTCACTTGCGGCCACGTCCTTAGCACTGCTTGTCTCAGCCGTTTGTAAAACAACTGATATGAGTGTGACCGTGTTACCTTTAGTGCTGGAAATATCGCGTTTATTCGGAGGATTCTTTTTGGCACCATCGCGATTACCGAAGTATTTCGCTTGGCTTGATGCGTTGTCCTATATAAAATATACATTCGTTGGCCTATCTTTGAATGAATTGGAAGGTCTTGTGTTAATATGTACGGACGATGATCGAGCGAAAGGCTCGTGTACCCTAACTGGTGAACAAACTATAAAAGAACTTGGCTTTGATTATATAACTATTGGTGGCTGTATTGGTACGCTAATAGCTTATATAGTTTTTTGTCGTATAATGGCTTTTCTCGGCGTACGATTTCTCAAAAACTGATCGTATTTTTCCAAGGACAATTAAATACTTATTTTCTTTCGTAGGTTCTCATAGTGTTCTCTGTTGAATATTATTCCAGTCTTGACTTGTATAATTGTACTGTTCTATTATCGCAGGAAAAAATAAAAAAATTATATCGCTCAACTGTGCTATTCTTGCTTTCGCTTTAGTCACAATGATAGAATTGGTTGATGCTACAGCGTCACTCTATAGTCTAGTCAAAAATTGTGTTCGAGATACATTTGTCAGCCGTATGTTCGGAATTGACGCAGTAGAAACAAGAAATATTTGAGAAATACAAGTAATCGTTGCAGTGATAAGCTATCCGTAGGAAGCGTCACGTGCGGGAAGCTAAACCACAAAAAATAACAATACTTTTTGACTCTGTCACGCTGAACAAAAGACATTAGTCCACTATGAATAAGGGTGTTAATACATTTATACACGGAAATTAATACTCTGCATTACCAATGTTTCATTCGAACGCATGCATATAGTATACAGGACAGGTATTCGACTGCTTTTTTTCTATGAAATCAAACATGCAGTTTTTATTCCAGATGATTGCTATGAATGTTTTATGAATTATGTCATTCACATGTCTTACCGGTCTCTTTTGAAAAGTTTGATTTCTAGTCGAATATTCTTGAAAGTATCGTCTATCTAACATGAAAGGGATGCAATGTTGCTTTTTACACATAAGTAAAGCATCCAGTCGATCAGTCATGATTCTCCTGTCTGCTTAATCAATATCAGACAAGCGCGTTGGCGAAATAAAAAAAACATGAGATACTAATTGATTTTTCGTGATTTACGATCAGTAGAAGACAATCATTTCCTTTCTCTCGTGTGTGGGCTACTGTCATACTACACGTTCGGAAGAGTCGCCGTCTATGGCTTTTATTTCGTCAATTGTAAAAACCTGCTTCCGAATGAACTCGGAAGCTGTCCTAGAACGCAGTCAGTGTCAACATGTGAGATCAGTGTTTTTGACACAAAATTGACCTGCACAGGAAAAAAAAGTACAAACAAGTTTGTTCCTTTTACCGTCAATAGATTTTTCATCTTTATTGTCACACAGTATGATTAACACGCAAAAGTGCCATAATAAAAATTATGGAAGGGTTGACTCATTTTCTCGAAACATTCGGGCCAAAATGAGTTGATAGACCAAGGGAGTATGCTAGCTTTTTGAAGGCTACTTTGAATTTTCTAACCATTTACACGCCCATATTGATCAGATAGATATGAATCGTTCTTCTATTACTCAACACACTTCGCCATTTCCGCATGAGCCATAAACGGAAGTGGAAAATTCAAATATACTTTTAACAAATTACATCCAACTGTTTCTCTGCGCAGCAACTCACTCGGAACTACATACCATTCCTCGGAAAATTTTGTTTCTATTCCGAAATCATGTTTTCGTTTTTATGTGTGATATTGGCAGAAAGGACATTGATAATTTGCGTAGAACGCACAACAAAAATAACTTATATATAAGGTATATATTCACACTTCGTTTTTATCTTTTTTTCAGAATCATTCGTGCTTTTGAACTTTCCAATACAATTGGTTCGAAAATGGTGTATGACACTGAAGACAACAAGCATGATATCTCACCGAAGATAGAAGATGTTTCAACAGCGATGGAAACATCGACCGATCAACCATTGGATGATATGTTGATTAAGAAATTCGAGCCTCCGGATGATGAAACAATAGAATATCGATCATTTTGTTTCCCATCTGATATTAAAACTGAACCCGAATCAATTGATGAGTCAAATGAAGTATACTTTGATCCGAAAGAATGGCTAATCAATGATAATAATTCTGGCAAAGTTCGAGCACCGCGACAAAATGAATTCCTTTATTTCCTATTGGAAGATTCTCGTTATTCATCTTATCTATCATGGTTAGATCGTAATGAAGGCTTATTTAAAATTCATCAACCTGAACGCGTCATTGAACTTTGGACGAAAGTGAAAAATCGACAGACAAATGGAACTATGGACTACGATACATTCGCGCGTGGCTTGAGATACTATTATCAATTAGGAACCATGATAAAGACACACCGAAAATACACATTTCGTTTTAAAATGTTAGCAAACGAGGCATTGTAATTATATTAAGCGAGAGTTTCTTTTTATTTGTTTCTATTCGTTAAGTTTCTTTTTTCTTTTATAAATAAATTTAATTCAGCTCGAAGAAACCCGATTCAAATCTTTATCTGCTATCGTACACATTTCATTAGTCAAAGCAGTCTTGAAAGTGTATGACGTTAGGTATCCGTGATTTTGTACTTCATTCTTGCAATTTGACCATAGTCATATCTACTTCATAGGAAAAACAAGCTTTTCTTTCTTCATCGTAACGACTTTTATCACGTTTTGCTTTCTTGCTTTTCGTTAAGTACACCTTTACTTAGAATATTCGATCGCGCTGATACAGCTAAAATCATAAATAACGATTTTATCAATATATGACATCGTCTACTATGAACTACGTCTGGCAAATATATAAACTGGCCGAAAGAAGGAGCTTCACATTAGTAGATATCGAAGCATGAATAAACAAATGACTACACAGGAATCTGCAAATGTTCAAATAGATTTATTGCACGAAGTGATCAATGATTGTTGGATGCCATCTGACTCAACATCTACGAATTTGATTATTGATGATGACGAAATTCAACGAATTTATGCCGACTTGTTAACTGTGGAAAATCTCACGGATCTTTGGCCGAACTCATTTTCAGATTTCCCAGAAAAAGACCAGTATAATTTTGATAAGCAATATGATTCTGGATCACCGTCATCAGGTAGCATGACTCCATCGCCCTCTTCGGATGATTTAGATGATGAATCTTTCAATTATCAAGAATGGTTGAGATACGACCGATCACTATGCAAACATCGTGCACCAAAGTTATTGGAGTTTCTTTATTTATTGTTGGAAAACACGCGTTACAACTCATATGCTTCATGGTTAGATAGAAGTCAAGGTCTATTTCGAATATATAAACCAGATGAAGTTGCTCGTCTTTGGAGAAAAGTCAAAGTTCGCCGATCAAATGGTTCGATGAATTATGATACATTTTCCCGTGGAATTCGATATTATTACAAATCAGGTCTAATGATCAAAACTCACACAAAACACACTTATTGTTTTGCTAAAGTGTGGGATATGTCAAACTAAATAGACTTTGTGTAATATTGTTTTTTTTGTTACATTCTTTGTGATCAATCGCTGGACCGATTCTTTTTTTTTTGCAATCATAAATATTTCGTCTTAAAAGTACAATATTGATGATTACTTACCAAAATAACCTTACACTGATCAATCAAACACGAGTAGCTATCCATATATTGCGTAGATAACATCAGACAGACAAAATCACGCATCGTAGACTATGTGAGTGAAGTAAAAGACTATTTCCTTAATTAGTCATCTTTGTTCAACAGAATCGAGGCTAGGGAATGATGAATATTCACTTTTCTTGTATTTTATTGTGTGATATAAATACGAAGAGAAAAACAAAGAAGTTTAATCAACAGAATAAACTACGAATGGCTTTTTATTAAAGAAGAAGAAGAAGAAAACAAAACAAACCGCAACAATAATAAAAGAGTCCAAGCAAAACAATGAAAAGTTTATAAATAAGTTTGTCTAATCAAAGAGGTTTTTGAACCACGAACGAATGTTTTTTCTTGTCCATTTACGATTGACCACGGTTATCCTCCTTTTTCACCTTGTAAATTCGCACAAGCCAGTGTTCAGTTGTATAAGCTTCTTCTAATTTTTCTAATTCGAAATTTTTGTTACCAATTTCAACAGAACGTGTACGATCATAACCAGGTGGTTTATCTAAATATATCGATGATGATAAGAACGTGTATGCACACAAAGTCCTAATCAAATCTCTGACATACCTTGTTCAGTATATGTTTCACCAAAACGGTAGTAAGATAATTTATACATTAAACAATTGAGCAATGTTGGTGAACCACTTTTATCCACACGAAATTCACCTTGTGGTGTAAAGTAATCACTTTCTTTAATGTGTGCACCCTTTTCAGTAGAACCACCGATACGGACCATCCATAAGAATTTATTGATATCATCGGATGAATAGCCAATTAAACCACCAAAGATAACTAAGACATAGTCAACATCGAGTTCACGCATGATCTCATAAGCTTTATCTTCCGTTGACGACATAGCCTAGACAAATATGTTCGAATTCAGATTTACTTGTCTTTTTCTTATGTTCTCTTTAGGATTTACCTGGCCAACTCTACTGATATGAGTATTGTTCCATGTGTTATTGTCCACAAGGATAGTTCGATTTGCCATTGCTGTTATTTGATAACCATAATCCCACCATGACATGACTTTCGCATCCTAACAATTCGAATACGTGACTCGTATCTGTTCATCAATAAAGTTAACTTACTTCGTCAGTGTTGTATCGTAACCACCAGTAAGCTTCGCGGAAATCATCAAATATATATCTTGATCCATCACCACTACGAGCTGATAAAACAATGGATGGAGATGAATAAGCTTCACTTGTAACCCATGTACAATGGAAAACATAAGTCATTAAGAAGAACGTCATCATACAAACGACACCGAAGGCAATTTCATTCTTTCGTGGATATGATGACGAATCATCATTACGACGCGCACGAGTCGAGCTTTGAGCTGTACTCGTAACACTCTTTTTCAATTGATTCACATCCAGATTACGCATATAAGTTGTTAACACGCTCGAAATACCAATACCGGAAAGAACACACATAACTGGTGCAAGTACTAACATTAAACGAACCATAACACCCTTTAAAAAAAAAGCAAACCGAGAAACTGAAGAGAATATTACAGTGCTGAATATCCTACGGCGAAATAGATTGAAGTCATTCCATACATAATAATAAAGATGTTGGCATCAGTTAATTCTTTGAAACAATAATAGATACCAACTAGAAAGCAAAACAAAGTTTTCACTTGAAAATATTTCTAAGGCTTCATCATACCGGGGAACATGAAAACAAGTAATTCGAAATCGAAAAAGAAACTTGACCATGCTGTCGGTTGATGTTCACTGACACTAGCAATGATTGGAATATGATTTTTAGCATAGGATGGATCCAATAAAGCATAGAAACGACCAGTCCATGGTGCAATTTCTAAGGAAAGAAGGTTTCTTATGAAAATACCGATTTGATTCATAGCATAGATTCTTACTTCCACTAGCCCAAAGAACAACGCCGGCACCAGCAGCGGCAAAACCAACTGTAACAAGTGCGAAGGAGAACAATGTATCGAATTGTGTTTTAGTCAATTTTGATTTCACATATTCAATGAAGGAGAACAATTGACATAGACCAAATGTACCGAATGCCTAAACAAAAGTCAACTGGCTACAGATCAAACATTCATCGTTCTCAATTCTTACAAGCATGTGTTCGCTTGATTGAACAGGTTGAAAGCCAACGAAAGGTATTTGCATCGATAAGATTGTACCCAAAATATAAACCTAAAGAAGAATTTCACAAACACTGTCCATGCTTGATAAGAAAAATATTTACTGTTGAATATGCAACGTAAACTCTATGCGAAAAATGTCCCGTAAACATCAATGCCAAAACGTGTAATGGAATCAAATTAATTAAAAAGACGTAACCACCCCATGACGAGACCATATAAAAGTATGCCAATGCACACGATGCTGACCACATAATCGAGCCGGATTTGACGGCTTTAATCCAAAAATAGTATGTTAACAACATACAAAAGATGGCAATGCCTTCGTTATCGTAGGAGCCAGCGACTGAACGAGAGATATACCCAGGCACGATTGAGATGAGACATGCAGCGACAAGACCAGCACTAGCATTCTAGAGATAATAAAATAAATCAAGATAATGAACGATTGATGTCGATTTACCTTCAATTCTTTTGTTAATAAATATGTAACAATAACTGTGAAACTCGAAAATAATGGTGCCAAGAAGACGCATACATTACGGATGTCAATTGTGATATGAAACCATCGCAAAACATGATAGAATGCTGCTGATGTAACCATTAAGCCAGGATAGATTGTTCCACCGATGATACGACCTAGCGGATACCAAGCGCGATCGTCAAACCAGTTATGAAACGAATAAAACCCTTCATCAGCTAGAAATTTTGTTGTTCGATAATTAAAATACGGATCAAACTCGTGAATGACTGATTCATAACGTAAAACAGAGAATAGACGTGTGGCGAATGCCAATATACCCGCACACGTTAAGATAAACAATTTCAAGAATGTTTCCTGTTTATCATAGGAAATTTTACTTGGCAAAAATTGTTTGAACGGGAGAATAGATGTGAGTGCATCCATTTCTAGAAGAAAAACAAATGAATAAAGTATGCAGACCGCACTTTCAGGAAACGTTTAACAAAGAGTATGAAGAAGCAGTGGTTGCAACTGTTGTGTTTCTTTCTCTAAATTTTCATTCGTTCTTTTCGATGATAACGTGTACAACAGCAGAAAGGCAAGCATCAGATGGAGATTAAATTCAATGACGTGTACACTATATCGACTGTGCCTCCCTCTATTCATTTGCATCAAATGTAATTTAAATCTATACTAATGAAAGATTTTTCCAAAAAGAAGATTTTTTAAATTTATACGATCGAAACTATCTTTGAATAGGGTCTACTGCTGAACATGGATACACTCGGTCGATCATAATGGCGGAAATCGACGATTTTGAAAGTGTTAATAATCGATCGATCGTCATTGAATTGCGGATATGGGTGCTATTCTGAGTTCGATTAGATTGGATGGCGTGGATGCGCTAGGTGACATCACACCGAGTCGTGCTGACTGGTTGACTAGTCATGCGGATGCTACTGACTTATCGGCAGTGGAAGTTGAACGTTTATGGAGACGATTTCAACAGGTCACTGGCTCGAGAGATAAGGCGAATTTATATCCTGAAAATAATGCGTTGCCCGAGGAATTGTCAAATGATATTTTTGTTAAAAATGTGAGTGAATATGCCAATCAATCGCTTTCTATTAATATCTAACCTATTGCACTATGAAAATAAGTTTAAGTATACAGCCCAAGTAATTCCAATAGATTCCATATCGGAAACATATCTCGGAAAGGCACGTAAGTGATGTACGTGCCATGCATAATCTGCACTGCTTCCTAATACTAACTAGTCAAGTGAAACTATGGAATAAGTTTATGATATAGATGGTCTGAAAGACGCTTGCATTCGAGAACGCAAAAAATGCACGCCTGTGATTATTTGAACAAAGAAAAATATTTGAAAGTTTATTTCTGCTTGTCAAGAAATGATTTTTATGTTTAGCTGTTAAAACACTTTCCTCGGTTGAGAACTGATGATGATGCTATCTCATTCGGCTATTTCATATCTGTCATGCGATGGTTTGACGAAGCGAATCTTCACAGAAAGTTGGAAGCTATCTTTCAATATCTCAACAATGGCGATCCTATAGACGCGACATTTCTCGTGAAATTGTTCAAACATATTCATCCTGATATGACCAATGTATGTCGGTTGTTCGACTCATCATGAGGAAACACTGTTTTGTCCGATTTCACCTAGGATGAAATAAAATCCACAGCAGCAGGAGCTATGCGATTATTAGGATCAACTGAGACAGGTAGCATTACAATGACAAGAGAATAAAAGTGTATATTCCTTTCGTAGATAAATTAAATCAACAGCAGTTCGTTGAAGGCGTTTTAAAATTCATACCGCACGATGAACTTGCCGAGCTTTTAGACTTTCATATTATTCCAACAGCTGTTTCTCATGAAGTAGCAACATTACCGGATCTTCCTCTGCCGCCAATGATGTCGGTGAATGCGGACCATGTCATCGGGGATGATCTTGTAACTGATGATCAAATTAAGCAACTTGCTTTGCAAACTTCACAAAAGCATTGGACAAAGCTGATACTTGCTCTCGGCTTTCTCGAATATGATATCGAAGCATACAAAGCACGAAATAATTACAATGCTGCAGCGACAGTACGTCCAATAATTCTTTCCTTTTCACGTGCAATACTATTGAATATAGGTATACGATCTACTGGATTTGTGGCGCGAACAAGAAGGTTCATTGGCGACAAAAACTCGTCTTCGGGAATATCTGAAAATAAGTGATTTTGGAAAACTTGTTAAAATACTGGACTAATTTATTGCTGTAAAAAATAAAATTTTCGAAATTAATCTGGACAAGATTGATTTAGCGAAATATTAGAAAAAGAATCCTCAAAGATTTTTCTTCTAAAGAACAAAGCTCTCTAAAATATGAAGAGATACCTAGAATGAAAAGAATGTCACATTGTAGTCTTTATTCAACATTGTTTTTTCTTTCTTCTTGTTGCTGTTGCTGTTGTGATGATTGTTGAGCAACATCGTCGAATGTAAGCAACTGATCTCCATAACGAGACACTTGGTCAAGTAGTTCTGTCGATTCTTCAACAGACTCAACAATGAAATCATATGGACGTCCAACGGCAGATGCCGGTCGAAAAACTGCTCGTTCAACGATTCGTGTCTGAACAGATGTTGTTGATTGAGCCGTTCTCTCGCTCGGTGTAACAGATCTTAGACCATTATGTGGATCTTTCGATGTTTCTTGTGTGTTTGTTGATTCTTGCTGTTGCGAACGTGGTGCCAGAATAACACGTTCGACTATGCTTGGTTTCGGTGGAGATAATGAAAGAAGAGAGTCAGGTGTTGGACCCACCACACCGTCCATCTCGATGAGAAATTGAGTATAGACGCCCATAGGTAGTGCAATATTTTTGAAACGCGTGCGTAATTCATCATTTAGTTGATCGTAAAGGCGACTAGGTTTTGCTTGACACATTCGAAAGAGACGAGTTAAAGCTTTTCCCGACATAGCTTCGCATAACGGCATCATCTGATAGAGATTTAAATCGGACAAAAAGTCCAGTACGTCTGTAGGCCTCCATGCATTTATCGAAAGATTACGGTAAGATGAGTTATCGGTGCTACGATTAGTATATTCTTCTGGTAACGTTGATTGTTGATTATTGGAGCCACCTGATATTGTGGGTAGTACTGTTCTGAGAGAAGACTGCATAGGTGATGTAGGGCGTGAATTGCATTTAGTTGTAATCGATTGATCTTGGTTTTTACCGCCGTCAATTTTATTAGAAGACACAGAAAATTGTTCTTGCGATCTACACGTACTATTGCCTACAGTAGATATGATCTTGCTATCGGTTGGTGTTTGCGACATAGGTCGCCCGATTGTTTGTTGTCTTTCATCTGCAGATGGTGTTACAGAACGTACAGGAATAGGATTCGATGGTCGAAATGGTGAGATCGCATTAGCTTGCTGCTGTTGTCTGTTCGCGTTGTTGGAAGAACCATTGGGTGTGATATTAGGTAAAGGTGGCCGTGCAGTATGACGCATCGATGGGATTCGTGGTGGCATATCAGCAACAATGTTAGATGTTGTGAACGTCGTCTTATGGTTTGGTGGTAAGTGAGAAATCGGATTTCGTTGCATTTGTTGCTGTTGATAGCGCTGGTATTGCTGTTGCTGTGTTCCGTTGCTAACAGCGGTAGGGATGGAGTCAAATGTTGCTGACCGTGGAATGGAAACTATCCGCGTTTGCTGTTGAGGTAATCTATCATCAGTCAAGAATCGAGTAGGAGGTTTTAGACCATTATTCAATGCTTGCGCAGAATGATATGTTCCATTGGAGAGTAGGCGTTTGTCAAAATTTGTTGCTGAGGTTGATGCAATCATATGGCTCGGATATGCTTGTAACTGAGGCTGTCTTGACATTGCTTGCGGTTGTACCTGTAATTTATCGAACGGAATAGATATGCCATTTGATTTCGCATTAGATATTAACGAAGGGGGTGGGGGTTTCATTGAAGCTTGCTGTATTTTGCTGTAGATGTTAGTAGGTGCAGATAAATTCATATAGGCAGATGCTTTGATTGGTACTTGAGGAAGAGTGCGTACCTGTGTTTGAGGTCGTTGTTTATCGCTAATACTTGATGCAGCATAAGACGTTTGATTGCTAGTTGTTGATTGCAATGAAGAGAGAAGGGAAGTTCGCTGGCTTTGTTGATTCTGCTGCAGCAGCAGTTGTTGCTGTTTTTGAAGTTGTTGTTGTCGGTGATGTTGCTGCAACAGTAGCTGCTGTTGATGTTGCTGCAGTAGCTGCTGCTGCTGTTGTTGTTGTTGTTGTTGCTGCTGCTGAGACTGCTGCGGCTTCTTTTGCTGTTTGGACGTGGTGTTAGATAATTTATTGGTCACAGACGGCTGTATCACTGCATATTTGGCTGTTTGTGACTCATCGAGTGTGACAGATATATCGGAGGAAATTGAATCCGACGATGAGGACCGTGACAGTGTTTGAATTTGTGCTGATTGTCGTTGAGTATTCGTACGAATAGATGTAGCGGAACAGACAGTTTCGTTTCTTGTTGTCATCTGCAGCAAATGGTTCGGAGACTGATATTGTCGGGAGTTATTGGTAGCTATAGTGGCTGATACGTCGTTGTACATCTTTGAATGATCTTGTCGTTGTTTTTCAATATCGATTGAATCGTGCATAGACATAGTAGCACCGACGGGTGATTTTGTTGAACGTTCATATTGTTGTGGGTTGTGATCAACCGGTCTACTTAATGAGCCCATTGATGACATTGATGGTTGATGTGAAGAGTAGAGTGAAATGTGTGCCTGCTGCTTTTCATAGACAAGCGCATCAGCTGATGGAACAGAAACAGATGTTAGGGTTGTTTGCGGTGGTTGTTCCGTATTGATCGTTGCCATAGATGCAGTTATACCATTAGTCAATTTCGCTTGCTGTAGTTGTTGTTCAGATGCAGCTGGATGAGAAGAAAAAAAGCTCAGAACGGGTGATGCAGAGAGAGATCGCGTTGATGTTTGTTGTTGCTGACAAAAAGCGCCATTAATTAGGTGGGGTGTTTCATTACTATTCACACCCAATGCCGGTGATCGTGAAGCGGAGTGATTCGACATCTGTTGTTGTTCTTTATCGAATGTACCCAAGGCAACGGACGCAGCAGAACCTGGTGTTGATGATCTAGAAATGGAATGTGCTAAAGCTTCTGAATGTCGCAATTTCTGCTGCTCCTGCTGGTGGTGTTGTTGTTGTTGTTGTTGTTGCTGTTGTCGATATTGTTGTTGCTGATACTGCTGTTGTTGGTATTGCTGTTGCTGCTTCTGAATCACTGCATTTGCGGTGGCTGACGACGAAATATGTAACGGAGTTCTTGAGCGAGGAGGAGCTGGCGTTCGTCGGTCTTTATCGAAGATGGCAGATGCCGAAGAACCTATCGAACCAGATGTGGATGATCTTGAGATATTTAGCGCTGATAGAGCTGAACGTTCATGTCTACTAGCATCACCAGAGGGATTAGCAAACATGGAACCAGGTGTTGGAGATCTTGACACAGAGCGGACAGATATTGGGTGATGATCTCGATCGAATTGACCCGAGGCTAAGGAACCAAGAGAGCCAAATGTTGACGATCGAGTCACATATTGCATGGGTAGTTCGGAACGTTGCGGCTTATTACCGCCAATTGGTGGATCGCGAGATAAATAGTCGAAGGGTGATGTATGCGAATTCGATTGTCTTATTATTTGTTGTGGCGGCTGCTGCAACTGCTGTCTATTGATAAGAGGCGCTTGATAGATTGTCGAGTCAAAGCTATTTACTATATTTGTTCGTGAAAAATCATTAGGTAAATGAGGCTTATCAACGACAGGCAAGAGGATTGGAGGGTTCTGAAGTGTGCTAATTGAGGCGAATGGTTTCGATTTAACATCTGATAATTGTTTCTTATGCTCCTGTGGCTGCTGCTGCTGCTGTTGTTGTTTGACTTCTTTTAGCAACACTTTAGTTGCTGCCTTGAAATCGAGTACTGCAAAATCAATATATATACTAGTATTTACAATGGGAGCTAACCATCCATCAGGTCTAAATCCAGATCGTAGATTCAAGGCAATGATAGGTCGTTTTATGCTAGATGCGAATTCTGCTTCCAATCGGCAGTTATTATCTCGTTTGAACGAATCCGATACACAAAGAATAACCAACTCCGAATTTTCTATAGCTTCGGCGACAATTTCCATTCCTAGAATTGAAATCAACTCTTCTCAACATAATCTATATGTTTTTTATTGAAATTACCTTTCCGATGATGAGTACGATCATACCAGATATTATACCCATGATCTGCAAGCTGTTGTTGAATTCGATAAACCGCATCTTTGTCAGTATAGGCAAATGATATCATCATATCATATTTATTCTTGAGATTATCAGAAGTCGTATACGTTTCATTTTGTTGTTGTCTTTTCTCAGCTATTTCCTTTCGAAAATACGATTCTATTTACCAGAAACAAAAGTAGAACAGTTGACATTCATCAATATCTCCTACCTCTGAGAAGTTTCCAGATGATTCCGTCTGCCATTTTTCGCATTCCATTGCTTGTTGCTTCGTTCGAGACTGTAAAACCACTATTACGAAGACTACTATAGCTATGCGAACGGCGTATTGTATTCTGCTGCAGATTAGGATCGACAATTCTTGGTATACTTTGTAGAGAATGAAGAAGTTGTGCATGATCGCGTAATTGTTGGGCAATTTGCTCATTAAATGATAATGTCCATATACATTCAAGTAAAACTTCTTTGGATAAACCGTATAATTTCTCGTAGTAATCATACAGAACGGGGATTAGTCCTTTACTTACAACTTCGGCTTTAATTTGATCATGAAACGCCAAACCTTAAAACAAAATTCAATAACGCAAGATATTCTTTCTCAAGTTGTAATTTACTTTTCAATGTTTCCACCAGTTGCAAAATACTTCGATCTGCATTCTCCGGATTGATATTCTGATTATGACTTGCTTCGTGACGTACTCGAATATTTTTATCTAATAAACTGATGGTATTCGAAAGCAATTTAGGCAAGTCATCTTGTGATGTTTGAATGTCATTATCCGACATTGTACAAGCTAATAACATATAGGAATTCAGAACGATTGTTTCCGATGGAACGGCTGATAATTTCCGAAACGTATCAGCTGCATTTCGTTGTTTCATGTAATCTAATGCATCCGGTTCGTAAACTAATATACTGAACACAATCAGTGTGGCATCAATCAACAAGGATTCCATGTTTTTCGTATCAGGTCTGATTTTATTAATCAACACTGGCTCACCGAGCAATTGCAGAAGATGATCGATCAAGGCTCGAAATGACTCGTTTTTCGCATGCAAAGAAAAATAATCTTCAGCATAGATTATCGTTATGATAAGATTATGTACAGCACGCATCATTGGACGATGCCATTCATTGACTGCTTTCATATGTTTGTTCAATATTGAAACATAACGTGGTAACATCTTTTCTAAAATTTGTTCGATCAATCTTTCGATATACGGACCTGTCAAACAAAGGCATGCATTAAAACGAAACTTTTCTACGCATGTTTACCGTTATAACTGGTCAGAAAGTGTGGACAACGTATCAAGTATAATTTTTGTTCTTCTGTAAATCTCGGTGCATCGTGTTTTAAATTTTGAAACAATTTCACATACTGTGGCGATATTAAACTGTTAATCGTTGGTTGAAGCAGTCGTTCGAATAACGTCTGGTGCAATGGCAATGGTAGACGTTCTTGAATATCACAGAACAAACTTAATAGACGCGTCAATTGTTTGATTATATTTCGATTTGGGCTGTTTTTCAAGCCTTTGCTCATGTAATTCAAAGTGTTTCCTAACGACTCGAGAAATGTTGCATCGGATACCCAATGTAAAATTTTCGAAACGTCGTCAACGCGCTCAACAAGATCGTGGAGGAGTATCGCGCAATTTCTCAGAACATAAATCTCTTGATCGCTCAAACGGTTCGTTGCACATAGCTGTTCGAGAAGATGTCGAATGCGATTTCGAACAAGCGTAAAAAAATAATGCGATGGGATTTTTAACAAGGCAGGTGGAAATGTTGCATTTAAGGTCTTCACCGATTCATTTAATGAATTCAAATACGTTGTAATACGTAATGGACTGGAATTCAATTCGCGGACGAGGTCATCCAAGATCGCTGATAGCTCTTTCGTGTCTAGACGATCCGGTTTTCGTCGAATAGTTGAACAATGCGCAGCAATCAATAACGATGGCGGAGATGGATCACGGTCTCTGTTGGTTCGGCTTGGTTTCTCCATATTCCTGAGCTTTGTTTTCTTTCGTTTAACTAATATATATATATATATATCTATAAAATTTCAATAGACATCATAATAATGTGGCAGACATGAAATAATGATTGTGATAACTGTTTTCATATTTAATTTTGTTGCTTATTCTACTAAATGACTATATTGCCTTGACATAACCTTGTTTTATCGAATAAAAGTGTAAACCGCAGAGGAAGATGGTAATTTGTTCAAGCGTAACATAGCACAGCTGCTTTAAGTTGTACCTCCTGTTTCTGTCAGCAAAAACTACGTTTTACACACTTTATCTGTTCCTCATTCAGAAATCAAGTGATTTGATTTTATCGGAAGGGAAAAAGTTTAATTAGGATCATCAAGAACGAAAAAAAAACATAAGGTGGGTGAGCAGTAGATATCTATTAGGCTCGCACATGTCAAAGAACTGTTTGACAGTTGGATCTAATCGAGAGAAACTGAAGACAAAGGGCCAATTTTGATATGACAAGCCCATTTTCTTTTCTCACCTTGATGTCTCTTGCTTTCTTCGCGCTATTCACTGATCATTGATATTTTAACTAAATGAGCAAATGTAAGTAGAAGAGAAAAAAAACGAGGTACTCGTAGACCGTAAAATCATACGCTTTCTCTCTCTCTCTCTCTCTCTCTCTCTCTTCACGTTCTTGTTTGATACACGTAACTTCCATATGTGATCATATTTCTATCAAGTTCATACACAGCAAAAAAGACGAATGAAATATTCTGAAGAGTATGTACTGAAATGGTGAACAATCTTTTGTTATTCGTTACAATCGTCAACAAGTGATTGAATGTTTCAAGTACTTTTCTTAGTGAACATGACAAAGACTGATGAATGTATCGTAGTTGAATCGTGCTTTCGAGCGATTCATTACGGATGAATGATTCGGAATCAGCTTATTGTGTAGAGTAAACATTCAATAAACAATAACTCGATACATTGTTTTGAGTTAGTAAGAATAACAAACAGTAGACGATAATAAATTAAGTTGTCATATCGAAAAGAATGAGTATGGATGAAATTCGTCTGACTATAGTGCTTCATTATTTGCATTGATCTGATCTAACAAGAAAAATTGAAATAGAATTCTGTAGATTAAAAGAGAAATCAATCCATAGAAATGTTTTTCTGCTTTCGAGTTTTTCTTTGTTATTTGGACAAAAGTTAGTAATGAATAAACGACATCTTGAAACTTTCAAAAATCCTCTTCAAACTGTTCGCCCGTTGACTGTCGATCCGAATCGAGTATGTTGTTTAAATCTTTTCATTTTCGATGAATGAAATTCGTTGATCTGTTTACCAAAGCGAGTAGACAGACGAACAATTTCTAACGTGAATAATAATGAACAACGACCAAAAACGACTGGCTTAGACATACGCAAAAAAGTCACGTCGGAATTTCATTCGAGCTCAACATCAACGAACTTTTCATTTACGAGTGATGAAGATTATGATACCGATCTAGAGGATGATACAAGTCAATACCGAGATCACTCTTGTATTGGTATCTATGAACATGTTTGTAAACGCGAAAAATCGATACCTGTTGGCCATTACTTGAGACATTATACTGATAGCGAATTATCCTTGTGTTTCTATGGCTTAGGACCGAAAGGAGTGCGAACATTTATACCAAGTTTAACAGTAAGGCGAGAATTCTGGCGGAAAAGTGAAATGGACAACTCGTTTAGATGAATCAACATATAACAAAACTTAATTTGGCAAGTAATGGACTTGGTGATGAAGGCGCAATTTACATCGCACATATACTCCGTGATAATACTGCGATCGTTTCTGTTGATCTTTCACAAAACTTCATCGGTATCGATGGCGCAAGAGAAATATGTGACATGTTTCGAGATAATATCACAATCAATCATTTGAAACTTGAAGGTATGAAAAGATCGTTCGTTCTTCTTTGAATTAAGCATTTTCACTGATGTAGGAAATCTACTGGACGATGAATGTGCTCGACTCTTTGGTGAATTGATTTCTGTAAGTAAACAGTTGACCAATGATCTTGAAATTCGACTCAGAATTCATATCGAATAGGGAAATGGTCGACTGTATACATTGAATTTATCAAGGAACAAGTTTGAGTCAATTAGTGGTACCTACTTCGGTAATACAGTAGAATAAATAGAAAACATGTTCGTACAGATTCGACCGAGGTGTTTAGGTCCAGCTTTGGCGGAAAACACAACGATGCAATGTCTGGATCTCAGTTGGAATTCAATCAGTGGCAAAGGTGCTGTTGCATTGATAAAAGGCATTCAAGTAATCATTTCTCGGAAAATATCTTGTCCAATATTTAGTTTCAATTGAATAGAAAAACGTGTTTCTGCGAACTTTAAATTTGGAACATAATGGTTTAGCCGGTGGTGAATGTGGTCGTGCTCTCTTCAATGCTTTAAAAGAGAACACCACATTGCTTGAGCTTGATTTGAGGTAACTCTCAATTCAATAAATATACACTCTCAAGATTTATTTTATTCATTAGTTTCAATCGCTTGACGACTGAGCCAGCGACATTTATCGGCCGTGGTCTGGCTAAGAACGAAAGTCTACAAAAGATCTATGTAATGTTAAAACATAATTTGTCATCTGCACTAAAATTTATCTCTTTTACATCAATTAGCTAACCGGAAACCCACTCGAATCAACCGGATGTTATGCTATTATCAAACCATTGATTGCGAAGAATGCTATACCCAACAAACTCGAACTGATCGATTTAACAGTATATCAATTGTCTTTTTCTTGCGGTAGTGATGCACGACGAATTTGTATGTATAGGAAATCATGGTCAATCGTGACTTTCATGAGCTCTACGAGCAGGTGAAGGATCGACGTCCTGATGTGAATGTTTTGGTTGGATTGAGACCATCGATGTTTCTCATGAAAAATAAACCTCAGCGAATTGTACCGACACCGATGAAACGGTTACAAATACTTTTGGAACGGCGACCACAATTTGATCTAAAAAGTTTTTTTATTCTGGCTGCTGGTGGAGATTCAACATTGGCTGCTCGAATTCTCGACCGTAACACATTAAAACAAGCAATCGAAGAAGTAATTTTGTTGCTCAAACATCCTTTTCGCTTCATTCTATTTTTCTGCTGTTGACAGAAACTGAATGCTCGTTTTTCTGACGAAGATACTGACAGTATCCTAGAAGAAATATCCGATTGTGATTCCAAGTGCGTACCGTCAATCTTCTGTACATATGTCAACACTTATTTACTTTTGCTCTTTTAGGAAATTTGTTCAATTATTCACTCTTAAACCATCAACAACAACTAACCTATCGGCTTGGCGCTACAAATCTTAGTCATTACATGCCGTGTGCTTAACATAATTCATAATAACAGGCTCCTTCCTTCCTGTTGTTAAATTTTGTTGCAACTTTTTTCATATTTACGTGGTATGATCTGATAGGTCGGCGAATACTGTTAACGACACGTCATCTACCGATTTTCTTTCTTTTGTTTGTTCCACCTGATGAATATTAAAATAGAGAAAAATAACTCCGTTTTTCCCACTGAAACAGTCTCACACTAAAGAAAGTTTCATCATGTCAGGTGAGAAGGTTTTATGTTGCTTTAAAAATTTAAGGGCTACGACCAATGGACGAAACATTCTCGCACAAAATCTTAATTTGCTACTGAAAACAACGACGTTCGATATCATAGCGAAACAAGGAGCAAACAGCGACATGTGTCAATTGGAGTGCACTCGTCAGGAAGCAGATTATATTCGAGATCATTTATCTAATTTACTCACGCGTGCTCATCGATCGATATGGTTTACGTACAAAAATACACCGACGGATGAGTTATCGAAGTCTCATCGAAGACATATCGACAAACCATTGACAGCATTGTATAATTTCGGTACAATGCGTTCGTATGATACATTTGTTGATTATATCAAGAATAATCGGCATGTAGTTTCAGTTAAAGTGGAACGGGATGCATGTAGGAAGCCGAGGCGTCTGGTTTTACAGCAAAACTATACTACCTGCCGAATGGTATTCAATTTGAACATATTCCATACTGATATACTGGTGAAATATGATCAAGAAAATTCAAATGAATCAATTCAAATCGTATTTATGCTAAAAGGTTTACCAGAATTCCAAGAAAAACTTGACAATGGAGATTACATGAGGTAAACTACACATTTTCCGCCGGACAAATGCAATATTCAATTTGCAAACTCGGATATCTACCAGACAACTCTCATACGTTTAGGAAATGCCAGACAACGATAAACACAAACTTAGATATGAGTATTATATCGCAATGTTCAGACCTGTGGTTACAATTTGATCGTCGCAGCGACGCGATTGAATTGCTCCAACAATTGCCTATCAACAATGGTTTGGGATGCTTTGTTGTTAACTATGCTGCTTTTCAACACGTGCTGTGCTCTGAAGATCCGAATAAGTTTTTATTCGGTTCGGATTGCTACGCTATACAAATGCTTTGCTCTTTGGGTTACTTGTTTACCGACAAATATCATCGAAGCCAACGATTCCGAGATCAGTTTCAGTCATACCAGCAACAGCAATCGCCAGAAAAGTTCTACGAATTATGCTGCAGTTTATGGAACACTCTTAAAGAAAATCATTGTTATCCTATAGAAAATATTTTTAGTGATCAAGAAACACGAAATTGCCGCTCAGCCAGAAATCATTGTCATATTCCACATGTTATCGTCACTCCCTTGCGTGTATTGATTCAACCAATGCATGACACAAATGGGCATCGGGCAATGCGACAATATACAGAAAAGAAAGGATATCAATGGATGCTCGTTTATATTCGCGACGAAGATGGTTTAAGTAGGGTGAATAGTATGACTGACAACCATGAAATTAGAGCGAGATATGAAACAATTCTGAAAAGAGGCATATGTCTTTCACCATCCTCGTCTAATGAATTAACCTATTGTTACTTTGGCTCGTCGGGAAGTCAAATGAAAAAACAAGAGTTCTGGTTTATGTCCATCCTGAATGTTACAGTGTCGGATGCTCCGCGTAGAGTGAACGATGCCCGCATGGCATTGGGTGATTTGAAGAAGATTTCAAATGTAGCCACGTACATTGCTCGAGTTGGCCTCTACCTAACAACATCCAAATCAACCAATGTAAGCATAACGTACAGCTGTATATGCTTCCAATTAATATTTTTTCACAGATAGAATTCATGTACAAAAGCCAACTCAGCTGGTGGAAATCTTTGCTAGCGAAACTTGTAGTGAGACGGGGGATTTTGTCGGCCGGTAATACGAAATATCCTGTTGAATTAATCGAGGATGTTACACGTAATGGATATTGCTTCACCGATGGTGTAGGTCTTATATCACTTGGTCTGGCTAAACAGGTTGCCTTATCAATCGGAATTAAAATAACTAATGATGTGCGTATGAATTTCTAATCAAAAGCGATCTTGTTGAACATTTGCATGTAGAATGACATCCCATCTGCGTACCAAATTCGCCTTGCTGGATGTAAAGGAATGCTCTCCATTGATCCTCGCTCTACACCTAATGATAATTATGTTAAAATACGACCGAGCATGATGAAATTCGACACCGATGATTGGAAACTGGACGTCGTCGATCATTCTCGTTTAAGTAAGTTCAGAGAACATATTTCTATGGTTTCAATCGTTCTCTTCTTGTACTTACATAGTGTGTCTAAGTTTGAATAATCAAATCATTCGTCTTCTGTATGACCTTAACAAGGAAAATAAAGCTGTGTTTGAATCCTTACAGAACCGATGTATTTTACAGGGTCAATGGCATCCCCCAGAAGAAACATATTACAATGTTTTCGATTCACAAAATATCGAACGAATGAAGGATGAACAAAGGCGACAAAACTATTTAAATGCGTAAGAAAACGAGTCGCCTGCGTTACATAAATGAATATACTTATAATATGTAGGAAAGATTTCTTATGTCGCAATAGAATTCCGTTACCTGTTGATGAAGCGCGATGTTTATTTGGCATTGCCGATGAAACCAATTCATTGAAAGATGGCCAATGTTTTATTCAGTATAAAAAAATGGGTCTGAAAACTTACGATACTGTGAAAGGTAAACACTGAATAGGAAAACATCTCTGTAAAGCGGATCATTGATGCAAACGAAGTCGGACGCTTGCGGTACGCATGATATTTCTCTTTTTTTTACGTAGGTAAAGTTCTAGTAACGAAGAATCCGTGTTTGCATCCAGGTGACGTACGCTATTTGGAGGCAGTGGATATTCCCGCACTTCGGCCATTTATTCGAGACTGTATTGTATTTCCTGTTCAAGGATCACGACCACATTGCAATGAGATTGCCGGATCAGATCTCGATGGCGATCAGTATTGGGTGTACTGGGGCAAAGAAATGACGATCGATGGATCAGTGACGCCACTCGCTTACAAATCGACTAAAACAAAACAACAGTTCAACGTAACTTTTGAATCAATCGTTCATCATATTTTGGAGACCATAGGTGATCCAAAATCGGGAATTATCTGTAATACACATTCGACTGTGGCTGATAAACATTCAGATGGTACAAATTCTTCTGAATGTAAGCTTTTAGCAGAGCACTTTTCACGAGCGATAGATGCTGCGAAAACTGGCGAACGAATTGAGATGGAAGAAGTTGAAAAACTGCGACAAAAATGGTGCATTAATTATCCAACATGGATGATGAAAGAAAATAAACCGAGTTACAAGAGCACATCGATTAATGAATACTTGTTTGCAACAGCTCAAAGCTTGAGATTCGATCAACGCGCATTTAAGAATACGTACAAAAGGTATGATGGAATGAATGCGCATACCATACTTAACTTGGAGCCAGATATTGTTGATAATAATGATCGAAGTCAACGACGGCTTTTCTCAAGCAGTATTCTCCTACGAAATACTTGGATTAAAACAATACGAACTTGTATTTCCAGTCGACGTAATTTTTTACTCTTCCTAGCAGTTTTGTTTATATGCATATCTAATTTCTCAATGAAATGAACATTCAATTATTCAGAATCACTTTTTATCAGCAAATCGAAGTCGCTCATTTCTATTTTGTCCACTATCATCGGCACTGCACTCGACCTACATTATTTGTTAAAAATCAGTCATCCATTTTACTTTACAACCCCACTCCTCTTACGACACCATTAATCAATGACAATAGGTAACTCGTCTCGATAGATTCTTTATTTCGACAAGCTACTTATACATGAATAGATATGTATACATATTTCGATAAGTATTGCAAAGCACGATTAATTTTCACAAGCTTTGTTTTCATAGTATACGTGTAGCGAATACAGATTGACGAAAAAGATACCACTACCAGCCGATAGAAATGTGCGAATAAGTAAACTCAAATTTTGATCATTGTATGTCATTTGTAAGAAGATGAAAGTGAATACTAGAAGAAAAATTGCACAAGCGATAATGAAATGACGATAAACATGGGAATGATTGGAAATTCTTGTCAAACATTTATATGTGAGAAGAAAACCCAGTATGAAATAAGCGATGTAATGATATGGTATTTGATAATTTCGACCCATATACGGATCTTTACTTAATACATTTCCCATGGACAAGAGAAATGCGATCGTGAGAAATGCCACATCAAAGATGACATATTTGAATAAATTCACAAATGGTAATATCAAACTGTTGCTTAATTTACGGTTGTTCATTGAATCATAATGTGGAGCATCAACCGAACCAGGAGAAATCATGTTTCAAAACGTTTTACTAAAAAAAGAAAGAAAGGAAGGTTATTCTTCAGCGAAAATTTCGATTAATCGATACCGTCTGAACTTAGAAGATGGAAATCAATTGAATAAAATTTTTCTAAAACACAACAATAATTACGATCATCATATAAGGACGTATAAATAACTTAAACCACCTGTATTTCTGCTTGCAAGGACTTCCTAATGGCTCCGGTATCTGTCTAGACGAATTAATTACACGGTTTAACTTATGGTTTAAGTAATGTTGAATAAAAACATACTTTGACTGAGAATGATTTGCAATCGACAGAGTGATTAAGCAAGACTACGTTACACGTGATGAAAATAGACTGATGAGAAGAAACTCAAAATCAACGCGCAACTACGCAATAAGTTATTCAAATCATAGTTACGCATGACTGAATATCATGGTTGACTGTTTGGATCTAACCGTTCGCGAATCAATATGTTTCATCGGTCGCAATGTGCTGTAAGCAGATGTTTGTAAAATGCATCGGCAAGAAATTCGATTTTCTCAAACTAGTTTCTTAAATGTTGGAAACATCGACAAGCACTTTGTTTATAGTTGATATTTATAAGGATATTTTGGTATCCGTTATTTGACATCGTAAGAATGAGATTAATCGAGATAATCAATTCGGACGAATATGCATAATAATTAATCATTATCAACTAGTTTCCATTCAGACAAGCCTCCAGGGAACATAAACAAGAGAATTAAACAGAAAGTAGTTTTCTCTTCCGGTTGTATATGTCATGAAATAATATATTCTTTATAAATAGACAATTTATTCTTTAAAATATCATATAAATAGAAAAATCATTTCCACTACTGTCAAAATGTTTTCAAAACATGACTTGCACAAGTCTAACCAATGTAAGTCAAACCAGGAGATCTCAAGACTTCCGTTTTTTTTTATGTAGTTCCTTCAACATGATTTTCATATGATGTGAAACGTAGAGGATATTTTTTATTCAAGAAGATAAGAATGTTATACAAAAGCCCAACAACAAGCGTTAAAAAAAAACTTTTTTTGTGTGTTTTATGTTTTTCATTTTCACAGAATAAGTTCATTCGATAACTAACAATATAGAAACCATTGTACTGTAAATTTGGAAATAACAATGATCAAACGAAAGAGAGAGAGAGAGAGAGGGAGGGAGAAAGAAAACAAACGCGAGAATAGGAAATGTTAATAGAGCAGGTTTCAAGAAAGAAGAAACGTATTGAAAAATACTGATTCGCACATTTCTTTTATGGATATGTTTGAATTTGAACGGATATCAGGAGAAAATATTAATACACAAGAAAATAAGGCAAGTCTGCTTGTTCCGAATGTTCAATGGACGATGATATCAAATAATGTCTTTGAGAATATCGACTGTATGGAAACTGGTCGCTTGATGTTCAATGCCATGAAGTTTGTATGCATGGCGTAGGCATTCGTCTTCTTGTAGCTCCCTACAAACATCGGAAAATATATTCTAATCTATGTTAATGATTGAAAAAATTCACAGCAGGGAAAAGCCATAACTAATTTGTCCACATGACAAAAAAATTAGCATATGAGCAAGAAAACAAGAGAACACATACGGAGGTGGGAGGACGATTAGCATGCAGACTACATACAAAACAAGAATACATTGATAGAGATAACTCCAACATAAATCCGAAATTAGATGTACAACAACTTGGTCTCACCTTTACACGTTGATACTCTCACTCCTGAGAAAACATTGTGATTAGAAATTTATAGATGCAAAAATATTTGTTATTAAGCAAGAATAAATTATTATGAAGATGAAGAAGTATGTATATCGTTTGTTCTGAAGGCGCGTTTGTTTTTCTTACCGTATTCGCATTTGATCGAGGTCAGTTGTTAAACGATTTCTAGCTTCGACTAGTTTCGCGATTGTTTTTATCAGTTGGTCTTCGCGTTCCTTATCTTTCATTGTTTTTCTTTCATCTAAATTTAGAACAAATTGATTTTCATTCAAGTCGTATCCATGAGATAAGAACATTTTACGGAAGAGATAATTAAAAGATTGTTCATGAGTTATTAATCCTATTTAGCTTAGCTGACCTGTGAAATATTCATCGTTTCAAATAAATTCTATTACGCAGAAAAATGAAGTCCCTTCACAAACGATAAAATCTTTTGTTTCGCAATAGACATCGTAGATTAGGCGAGCATAAATTATCCGAGGGTATACTCATTAGATGCTCATTCACTTTTGATAGCCATCGAGTTGAAAAAAACTAGATGTCTGTCTCAACTGGAGGAAGATTCTTGAAACATGCTTTACCAGGTAGGTTAATCAGTTGCCGATATTCATGTTCTGCTCGAGCACGTTCATTTTCGAGTGTTAATCCACGCTTGGCCATGGTTAATTCTTCCTCTCGACGTTGTAATGTCGTTCTTTCATGAACTAGGCATAGACATTCTCTTTCCCAGTAAGATTTTTTCATTTCGTTATGTGTACAAGCATCTAGACGAAAGAGAAAATGTGCTAGTTGAAGCTTTCTTCCGGAAAAAATTACTTAGATTTTGTCGAGCTATGGAATGACGTTTTTCTAATTCCAGACGTTTTTGCTCTAATTCATCAAGTTCACGTTGAATTTCTTGTGAACGTCGAAAGCGAACCAACTCCTTTTGCCGCTCTTCTCGTTGTTGGCGACGTTCATCGACATGTCGTTGTTTCTCGTCATCAATTAGCGATTGTGACGATGAAGTCGTTGTTGACAAGGATGATGTCGACGAAAGATTTAAATTTGATTGTGGTCTGAGCAGTTTCTTCTTCTTTTGGTTCGATTCTTCCAATTTCGCATCCGTTGCTAATGTCATTTGATAGTCCGCTGGCGGCAAAGGTGACGACGGTCGATTTCGACCTCGCCGTCTGAATCGTTGTTTGCTGGATTCGTTCGGGATCTGTTTTGAATCGACACTCAAGTTTTCGTCATTATCAGCTAGATGAATTGTTAATTTATCATCAAATGTTCGACTACGAATCATCGTCGACGAACTTTTCCGGTCAGAGTCATTTGCAACTGCTTGATTAATATGCTCAAATCCAATACTTTGCCGTTTCTTTTCATTGTTAGGAATATTAACAACATTAAGAGGGTGTGGTTTATGACTAAGAGCATCTTTTAACGATGGATATAAACGAAGATTGTGATTCCATTGCATATTTGCATTGACAGATGACGATTGAGCTACATTTGGATAAATATTTGTTGAACGAGGTTCTGTTAAACAAAGAAAGATGAGTATTAGGTTGATTTCACACGATGAAAAATTCATTTCATTCTTTTGCGTAGTAGAAATTGTTCCTCATAAATAACTTCTTCGATATGAACTCAAAAGAAAGTTATTACAAAAAGCATCTACGCGGAAAACATATATTACTAGAGAATATAAATAATATGTCAAACGAAATAAAGCATTAGCTAGTCAGAATAACTAAGAGATTCTTTTCTGACAAAAAAGAAAAGAAAATAATAAAAAATCATTTTGATTTAATTTTGGTCCTAAGCAAAACAAAAGCGCACATGCATTTTTCCTTTTAGTATCGATTTCTTGAACAAATAAGAGGTATGAGAAGAGAAAACTCATATTTCTAAATGACTTCCGTTTCATTCAAAAGTGATCGATTCCAGGCGACAATACGAGAAAATTAGTAATTATATAGCAGTTCTGAGTACTTCTGTGTCATTTGGATACGATCATTGATCGCAAAGAAGACGTTAAGACTGTTGACGTTGACACTAAATCCAGAGCTGAAAATAGAACAAGGAGAGGAGTTCCGGTGGGAGAAGATAGTGCGAGTCCATGTTCATCTACTAATATCTGAGAAGACTATATTACGTTTCAATTAGAAATCTTCCATTGATTTTACTCTGACCTAGTTCATTTAAATTAATCTTTGAGTAGTTCATTCATTACTTATATTTTGTTCGGTATTGACGGCTTTTTCGCATTTTTAATTGTTAATAGTAACTCGAATATAAAAACAGCGTTACATACCTTGTTGAGCAACAGTTGCTAACGTTGTCGTAACTTGTTTGAGACGACTTTTACAAAAATGTAATGTACAATAAAACTGGTATGTTCCATTCGATGCAATGTCGTAATAATTATATTCGCTTTCTTTTAGTTGCTTCTCGCAAGAATAGCAAATTAAACATGTTTTATGGAAGTATTGTTTATTGATCTCAACAGTTGATGATTCATCGTAGGTAGAACCTGCACATATTCGACATGGCGGACGAAAATAGGTCTAAAAAAAGAAAATGTCAATTAAAATATTTTCTTTTTCTCAGATTCGACTCGCTTATCAAATTACTCTGTACATGACGTGAAATCAAGAGAAAAGGATATGTGTCTCACGAGTGTTCATAAATACCTTTCAATTATGTGAAAGGCACGCGTTTTTTTTCTTCATATGTATTAACTTACGAATGAGATCCGGTCGGATTTTGTCGTCGTCGTTGTTCCCAACACCTGCTGATTTAACGGTGATGTCGACGACGGTGAAAGATCAACAGGTGAAGGTGACTCTGATTGTATATGACCAGAATCTATCCAAATAGGATAAGTACGACTGATTAGAAAAAGCTTGAAGAGGTATTACCAATGCTTAAGAAATGTTTCCGTTCGGCGAAAGCCTTTTTGTCATTCGTTGTTTTGGATATTTCATTGGTTGAATCACTTTTGGATGTATCCAATTTCAAACTAGAATAAGAAGAAGATGATGATGGTGAGTATGTAGACTACTCTGACAGTATCGACGTGTATTCGAATGGGCGAGAGACAGACAGAGACTGAAGAGGTGCGTACGATGTTTTCAATCGTTCTTTCGTCGATCCAGAAGAGATTGAATCGGAACCTTTTTTATTTGTTTTCGCAGACGACTAACAAACGAATATAAAAGAGTTTATTAACCATTAGAGAACAGCAAGAAAAAGAAAATGATTTTCTTGTTATTCTTGTTTGTCCAAACACAACACATTTAGCAAATGAATATAGAATGATTCTTTATTTCTGTTCGATGAGAGAAAAAACAAGAAAATATAACCAGGGAACTTACATCGAATCATCATCTTCTTCTTCTTCCTCGTCTTCATCTTCATCATCATCTGATTGATCATCTTCGTCATCGTCGGTAGTTCCTTCGAGCGAAGAATTCGTTAGGTTATCATTGACTCTTGCCGATGTTTGTTCACCCTCGTCATTTCTTTAAGTGATGAAATCATGCATTCGAACTCATCGACAAATGAGTACTTACGTTATGTTCGATGCTGAGCTATAAACCACTTCATCCTTTTCAGTATCAACAACGTCTTTCTCGAGAGTAAACGAGACGCGCTCAAAAGTAGCTGGATTATCGAGATGACGTGCGGGTGATAATCGTACATTCGATGGTCTGTGCTTGTCTTTGTCAAGGTCTAGGAATATATCGAATAAACATCAATAAAAAAATACAAAAAAAAAGATTTGTTTTCTCTGTGTCTTCGTCTTTATTTATTTTCATCCAATTTTAGATGTCCTTGTTCGAGACTAATTGTTGCTTATCTGTTATCAAACATTAAATATTTAGCAATGCCGATCGTTCAATAAGAGAAGGTTTTCCAATCATATGATTTACTCAATAGATTCACTCGTTAATTAACTGAAGGTAAGACAAAGCTTTTGAAGCAACAGAGAGAGAGAGAGATAGAAGAGAAAGAAAAAGAAAAGCAAACACAAAGTAGAAAGTACTCATTCGTCGTTTTCCATAGTTCCTTTCTCCTTCTTTTTGCGTCTCTGTGTCTATTTCTATCTTCTCTTCATTTTCTTTTTTACTTCACCAAGAATGCAGCAATAAGATAGTTCTCGAAAAAAGCAATACTATCATGAATAATAATACCCAAAACGTAACGAGAGGTCTAGCACATTTCATCTTGGATTTAACAAGTCTTGAACGACGTTCAGCAAGTGTCAATTCCACATGTCAATTTAATTATTGTACGTTTTTGTTCAACGATCATGGTGAACACAATAGTACATGCTGGGTGATCATCTCGGATGAAACCAAAAGTGAACAATTATATTTTCCGACCATAGCTAGATATATTCATTTGTACATATACCCATTGTTCATTGTGATGGGTATCCTTGGTAACAGTTTATCATGCTTTATAATGTTCCTCAATGTTCGACGTAGTGGATTTCCAACGAGCCTTTACTTGACGTTGTTAGCATTCGTTGATTGTTTATTCATACTGGGCAGTGCATTACCAGACTGGCTTTCTCAGTTGCATCATACACTCGATATAAAACTTTTATCTGACTTTTCTTGTCGATTCGTCTACTGGTTTGGTCATTTCACTACCCATTTATCAGCAGGATTAGTTGTTGGTGTTACCATTGAACGCTTCATCGCTGTCCAATATCCATTAATTGCACATAAAGTCAATACCGTGAAACACACTCGAATCGTACTGGTTATCTTAATCATCTTTTTCTTTCTACTCGATAGTCCTGTATTTGTGCTTGTGAAAAAATTAGACGAGGACGTTCATATGGTTCAAACATGTAACAACGATTCCAATGCTAGCTATGAACGACTTGTTATGGTTCGATGTGCATTAACCAATCAGCAGCACAAACAAGCTTGGGTATATGTTGATTTTGCTGTTTATATGTTGATACCATTTTTAATTATCGGAACATTAAATTCATTAATTATTCATCGGTTAATAGATGCGCAACGCTTTCGGGAGCGGATGCTACGAATTCATAATCACATGAACCGAAACGACCCACAAGATGTTACACACCGACAGTATTTTGACAGTCATGAAGGAATTGAATTGATGGATAATCATCAGCGTCATATGAAACGTTGTCAACAGCTCGTGGAAACTCAACCATTAGCTATTATGTTACGGCCCCAAATAAGTAAATGAATTCTTGAAGACAATGTGAACTTATACTAATCTTTGTCTCCATTGTAAATAGGTCAAACCGAAGAACGACGAATGCGATTCAATACGAAACTATCGAGTATATCAACGGAATTATCAACTATATCATTCGAATTGAAAAGTCGTTCGAATCATCGATATGAAGTTGCCCCGATTCGACACAAACTCATGCATCAAACAAGTTCCAACAATACACGTTTAACAATCCTGCTCTTGTTTGTGTCATGTTCATTTCTAGCTTTGACATTACCAGCTGTAATGTTGAATCTGTTCATGCCCACAAGACTCGAATCCTCTTCATCAACATTGTACAACTATCATTTGAAATCTGATACAACAAATGACAATCGATCGGATACGATATTTTACTATACTCTCGCTCGATTATTGATGATTATAAATCATTCGATCAATTTCATTCTCTATTTCGTTCTCGGCAAACGTTTTCGTCGTGATTTAAAGAAGTTATTTCTTGGCTATTGGCGAAAATTACATCGCCGGCAACATTCATCATCGAAATAAGAAGCGAAAACAAAATAACTGAATACATCTTACCTTCGACTGCTCGTTGAAGATTTTCTTCATCCTATTGTACAAAACAAACATGCATATATGTAAAATAAATCTTTCTTCGTTGTTTACTTTATCTGTTTGAGTTAGTTTGTGGTATCGACAATGAAACGTCGTCTTGCCCGTGCTCGGATCAACAAATACTTGATAATTGGTTTTACGTAATTGCAAATGGCACGTTTCACATTTGAAACATTTCACATGTAGAACGTTTTTCTCCACAACAAACCAATCTTGAATGGATACTTTTTCTTTACAGTAAAAGCAAAATGTCGGCGGACGTTCCGTTTGCATATGAGCAAAATTCGGATTCTAAATCAAACAATAGACATTCGTTTTTGAAGTTAGGGACAGAAAACGACCGCATACGTGTGTTGAGGAGATTTCGCCGCTGGAATAATGAGCAACAAGTGCGCTGACTTTCTTTGGCGGATTATTGTTGTTGTTCTCATTGCTTTGCTCGATTGGCTTCTGAGCAGGCTGCAGTATTGGCGGGCTGTGTTCGATCAGTATCGTATTCGATCGACGATGTCGAGATTTTTGATGATCTTGTTGAAAATGCTTGTATAATAACTGAAGAATAACAAGAGCAGACTGATGTATGCGTTCTCCGATTGAACTTTTCATGGATAGAATGAGACTGTTTTGTAATTTTCGATCAATTGGTAAGGATAATTGATCATGCATGATATCGAACAACTAGAAAATGAAAGAGAAATATTTTGTGAAAACGAAATCAAGTGCAAGATCAATTACAATTTGAAAGTTACTAATTGGTCGATCGGGTTGAAGCGATTTGAAATCACTAGAAAGAGAGGAAAGTTAGACTCAGTGTTCTTGCTCTCTCTCTCTCTCTCTCACGATAACCTACATTAAATCAGGTCGGTAATAATGTACAATCGCACAAAATGCTAAACTGTTTTGAAACGCTTTGGAATCATTTTTGATTTCCATAGCGTACGAATCGACAATCTCTTCACACCAGTCGATCAGTGTTGATTCTTTATCAGTTGATTCTGAAAATAACCAGTGGAAAGCTTTAGTTTGCTTTTTTTTCAAGAAAAATCTTTACACATACCGTTGGTCGGTAAAGTGACCGGTATCTGCTTCGAACTTTGTGACCGACGCACAGGTGTACGATGAGTTTTGGCTGATGTTACATGATTATTATTCATGTCGATCGTTGGTATACTATCTGAGTCGTACAGATGACGAATCTCATCAATTGTGCAACTTCTCGAATTTAAGTTTTGATAGCGTGTTGCTGGATTAATGCTATACAGTTGATGATTACTTTTGGTGTTCTCTGGTGTACTTTGAGATAATAGCATGTAAATACTTTCGCGTTCAACGAGAACTTTAAGTGGATGTTCACGTTTAGCAAATCTATAAATCGCCCAGGCTGTATCAAATAGACCAAAAAAGCCTAATCCAACCCCAGAACCAGTTGGCCAGAAACTCTAAAGCAGTAGAAGAACAGTATAGTGGACTATGAAGAGAACTTTTCAAGGAAATGTTTACTTCAAGTAAACTGTCACCCACAAGGCCCATAAATAATTGTTTACCATTCCGTTCAACGATGCGCGAAGCATTAACAGCATGAAATAATGACGTAAAATCAAACATTTGAACATCGGCTGTGCCATAATGATTTTCCTATGAAAGATACAACATAATGTCAACTGTGAGCGGAAATGAAAGCAGGATGTTTGAAATTCTATTAGGTCAATAAGGCGATAAGCTTTGCTACGTTCTTTGAATTCTCTCGACATTACAGGAAATATGTACGATAGGAATGTAGAGCAAAGACAAAAATTCAATCGGATCATCTTACAGCAAATTCAAAGGTAAACTGTGGTGATGACTTTGTAGCAAATTGTGCTGCTTCGCAAGCGAAATTACATAATTGTGGAAAGTTAACATTATCTCTCGCTAACAACCTCGCCGCATCAGGATAATCTTGTAAAATGACATTTTTATCAAGTAAAGATTGTTTTTTTGCTGTCATAACAAAATAATGTGTTTCATTTTTATAGTATACAATGTTTTCTAAATCGATCGACGCTTGTTGTTGCAAATCATTGAAAAATTGAGGATTATATATTTTGGCTACACCACTAATTTCTACAATGAGACATAAAAAGTGTACGTTTTTTGTAAGAATGTAGATCAGGCGTGATATGAATCAAACCTTCGAAATTTTGTTCTTCGCGTGTGTGATGATTGACGAAATTACATGTGATACCAATTGCTAATTTACCGCGAAATTCCTTATGTTGAAAACCGTGTAATGAATTACGACGACCATCAGCGCCAATCAAGACATTAAATTCGTAAGTTGAAACAACCGGATGTATTGCAGGTTCAAATTGCGCTCGCCAACCTATTTCGATCAATTATGGTCAAGATTGAAATGAAAACTTCTTGTACCTTGAGTCGAAGTGAGCGGTTCAATAACATCGATGAATGTTACATTTTGATAGATTTCAACGCCAACTAGAAGAGCAATCTTCAGCAGAATACATTGCAATTGACGAATGCCTAATTGAACAAATGAAATATGTCTCTCTAATTGAGCAGACTGTTCGAATGTATTTACTGATGTGTTCGATTTGTCCGGTAGCAAATTTTCCATAAAAAACTTTGGCACCAAGGTTCTTTAAATCAGTGATAACATATGGCCATAAATGCAAAACATTATGACGAGAAAATCTAGACAAATGATTCGTGTTAGATCAAATCCGAAAAATTAATACAAGTGAAACCTGTCGCGTTTTTCGACGACTACACATCGTGCACCAAGTAATGCACATTCAATAGCAAGACGAAGACCAACGGGTCCAGCACCCACGATGCAAACCTTAAAAATAACTTGAATATTTATATCTTTGATGATAGGAAAGAAGCCTCTGTTATTCTCATATATCATTGATCGTTTCTCATTACAGTATCTTAGGTCAAACTGTATCGTACAGATGCCAAATCAAGTTAATGGTATATTAAGCACATTCTATGCGATTAAATACTTCTGTTTTCTTTCGTTTACACAGTTCACTGTTTGTTCATATACATTGAGTGATTTCTTTCCTTTTACTATTTGTATCTCAGTGCCTTTCCTTCTTTCCAATTATCCTTTCTCCCTCTCTCCCTTCACTCATTGCCTTCACTAAGGGTATATACACATTCATACACACGCAATGTAATCTCACACTACACACAAGTGTCGATGTGTATGTACGCTATATACAGCGATGGTCGGCGAGGGAGATTAGAGAACTGGTAGTGATTGATGGTTGGGACAAAATGATGAACGGTGACTGCAATACAGGAGAGAAAGAGCGAAGAAAAAAAGCATAGGGGAAAAAAAAAGAAATTCACCATGCTGAGAGAAGAAAAAAAGCTGCATACATGCATTCAGGGCCGAAAAAAAAACTTTAAGCAAGGATTTATTAATTTATCGGTTGTTGTTATGATTGTTCTTGCTTAGACGAGCCAAAAACGAAACTCATGCAAAAGATTTCTTTCGAAAAATGTTTGCTTTCGAAAAAGAAAACTGATATGAATATAAATGAAAGCGTTCACGCACGCTTACATATGATTTTTACAAATAGAAGATCTAGATATGCAAATATAAGTTAGATGAATCTGTTTTTGATAATTGGTTCGACATGAAAATAAAAATGGAAATTGAATCAAAAACGATCACTTACTTTTGTATCAGCACAAACATGTCCATTCTCATATTCTTTTTGTAAACCTCGTTTCTCGAGCTTTGTCCAAAGACTTTTGCATTTCCACGAAGTTAATTTACTCGATAAAGCTTTGTATAAAGATCTTTTGCTATAGCCAACGATTGAACGATCGATACGAAGTGATCGACATAGATCATCGAATGAATGAAGAATTGTTTTGAATGTTTGAGCATTGACAAAGCGTTCGAAGAGTTCGTCAGGCGTTTTCAGAACATCTGTTGGCATGATAATGAATCATAGAAGATTGACAAGTTTCGATGAGTAAAAAAAACAGAACATCAATTGAAAGAAAGTCGATCGATTTTTGTTTCTTTTTCTTGTTAACTAAGAGACTGTCGACGAACGACGATCAAGTTATCAAGTAATAGATTGGTTTATGTTTCTTCTCGACCAATGGCAAATAATCACAAAACGGACATCTATCTTTCAACGAACAGATTGGTTCATAGAGTTCACTTGTATATTTATATTTATTATTTGTTCTGTTCTGGAAATTCTCTAGAGTTTGTTTTCGAGTGGTTCAACAGATCATGATGCCAAGCCGACAAAATCTAGCGGAACAAACAAGATCTCTAATCGATTCTCTCAATGCTCGGCAAACAGTAATCTCAAATCAGATAAAAACAATGACAAATGACACTCCAGGTATACTGAAGAAAAGCAAAAGTGTTACATTTATTGATAATGAACAATCTGATTCGAAAGTAAAAAATCATCTTGAAACATGTGTCGTACAAGATGTTGTGAATTCCTCTCTAGGCACTATCTGATCGAATGCCACCATATTCGATTTTAAAACAACCAGATGATTCCGACGATGACACATGTCCTCTTGAACCATTTGTGGTGAACGTTCCGGATAATATATCTCGCGTGGATATTGATCAGTACTTGGAAGATGTTCAGGTTCAACGACGAAAAGGACTCAACTATTCTTACAACACAGAAGAGGAAGAGACTGATGAACAAGAGACGATGAACAATGAATCTCCGAAGCATTTGCCAAAGAAAAATGAACCATGGAACGAAGTTAGTTGACTGTTTAGAACCTCTTTGAAGAGTTCTACTATTGTCTTTAGCTGAAGCATTGGCATTCTTTATTCGATGAGGGTAATGATCGGGATGTTTATTATAATACCCTGCGAACAGCGAGCAACCACTCAGAAGTTTGGACTACGGACAGTGTTGAGCAAATCAAAGTTTGTTTGACTTGCAAAATACTCGAAAAACTTTTATGCCTTTTGTTTCAAAGAAACGTATCAAAGACCGACAGAATATGCCTTTGAAGCAACAACGAAAATCAACGAGCGTATCACCAAAAAAACAAGCACATCAACCATTGGTGCACCCTCGTCAAAAAGTCCTACTCGGTTACGATTTTGTGGCCGGTCTACTTGATAATGAGCGATCATCCGTATTGACGAATGAAAATTCTTTATCTGATTCTTACATAGATGAATTAGTCTCGTTTCGAAAGAAGAATTTAGATCAATCAACATCATATTCCTTATCAAAGTAAGCGATAACTTCAGCTTTTGCGTCAATTCTTTCATAATGATCTATTTCAGTGAAGCAGACCTTGCGGATTTTTCAAAAGAACTTGAACTCGTTCCACCGGATGGTTATCAACATTCTCATACTTGTAAATATTTACCACCGAGTGATCTTATTGATTGTTTTTGTCTTGCTATAAATACAGGTATACACAGTTTTACTGTCAATGATCGTCTTTTTACTGTTCCAACTAATCCGGATGTGAATGGACAAAGTTGTTGTCCAATTTGTTCATCAGTACGCAAAGATCCCAACGCTTGTGAACCACAATATGCACGGTAATGTTACAAGTCTTGAAGTCAGTTGAAACACTCGTCTATTGTAGTGTCAGCATTCCAAAATATCGTGTCAATACCAATACTTACAAGTTCCGTCCACCCAAACGTGCTCATCTATCCGATCTCTCAACAGACAGCGTTGCTCTCGCTAATGTAATCAACGAAAATTTCTTTTTCCTTTACCATAACGTCCGTTTTAGCACTGTTTGGCTGGTTTCAATACTGCTCGAATTGCTCCTTTGGATAAATCGGCTAAAAGTCTTGATCTACGTACTGATTCAGACACACAATTAGAATTAAGAAAAATGTCGTTAGAAGATGTTCAACGACTTGGTTCGAATCATGATATGTGCGAAAATGATCTCCGACGTCGAAGTACAGCACTTCGGTATCATATGAACACGTTATTTCAAGAACGCTTACGACGCTTACGTAAAACAACTGGCGCAGATAATAATGCGAGTGTCATTTCTCAAATTGATGTTCGTTAAGAATGAACAGTTCGAATGGCTGACTTCCTTTTCTTCTCATTTACTTGTGTTTGATCAAATTAAACATTCCATATCCGTCCATGTGTGTGTGTGTAGTTTAACTTTTATAAAACTATCCAAAAATTAGTATTCATAGAGAATAATAGAACATTGTACTTTTACGCATGTCTTGTAGATGATTGAATCGAACGCAAGAAGCTAAATTACGAATTTCTTTTACGGTAAGGTTCTTTTTTCCAATATATACAAAAGCAAGATTAACTGTTCGACGGTTTTTCCCTTATCTGTATAGATACCATCGATTATTAAGCAACTGATATTCATACTGTAAGTTTCTAACAGAATACGAAAACAATCGACGATAGCTAAACTAGGAACTTTATATGAGACTAATGCGTACGACATGCTAACTATTGCTTTTACCTACGCATGTATTTGAGCACGGAGTACGATGTAATTTAACAGGCAGTGAAATAGAGGTCCATTGTTCTTGCATTTATTTAGGGTAAAGAGAGTGAAATTAAAGATTAGTAGAACAATAGTTGCTTCAGAAGAGGATCAATCTTATTAACGCAACTGTTGACTTTTCAATTCGGGAGTAAATAGGCTGGTTTCGTCCAGCACCCAACGGAATAACGATTCGTTCGACAAAGTGTTGCCTGGTCGGACTTTTTAGAAGGATTTTCCGGAATGATTACCGAAGGTTTCTGCAGATGTGTTTGTTCATAGTCTGCATAATCATCATCACCTTCGTCAATGTTATCTTTTGATACTGTTTGAGAGGAAGAGTCTGAACAGGTCGTATTTCGTTGGTAAAGATCGCTTGTTGATGTACTTGAAGAGCTAAATTTTGATGGCATGTTCTTTCTGAATATTGATTGGCGCGGAAAGATTTATCTAACGAAACGCACAGAGCAAGAATAAATAGTTAAATAAACTGCCAGATCGTTATTATACTTAATATGAGAGACTAGCGATTGTCAACGTACATATTTGATACTGTTTTATTTATTTTTAGATGTCAAATATATATTAGTTACGATGATACCATTTCGTGGTGATCAATGTAAGTGATACTCCTAGTATCTATCTCCTCCATTTGTGAAAGTCTTCCTAATGATTACGAAACAAAGTGTACTCAATTTCTTTTATTTAGTTGATCATTTCAATAATGGACAGCCTGTTAATCGACATATTGTCCGATTTCCTCAACAGCAGCATCTAGTACAACCTGCTCAATTGATGTATCAACCACCAACAGTTCATAGTTTTCCCCAGTCCTATTCTAACAACATGTCGATACAGCAGCAGCAACAACAGCAACAGCAACCATTACTTATGTTTGTTCCTACACGGCCGTGTCCTCCACAGCCCTGGGTGCATTCATCTCCACCTGTTCCGCCTTCACTTCCTGCACCCATTACATCTATGCCAACATCACAGCTCGCTTTCCAGCACACTCAACCGCCACAGCCTTCATTCAGTGGAGGAACGGGCTCTTCTCATACATCTTTCAGTAGCATGCCAAATCCTCCTCAACATTCATTCGGTGCCGGTACTGGTATACCTCAACCTTCATTTAGCGGTGGTACAGCTTTGCTAAAACGGAAAAGTCATTACCTTGAAGAATCTGATGTAGAACTACCAGTAAGTTTCCATTAAATATGTCTTTCATTTTATAATCTAGCGCAAAGATAGATTTCATCGTTCTGAGTCGCTTTTTTATTCATTTTTCTAGCCACATTTCAACAACGCAAGTTCAAATGAGCTTCCATCTCTTATGGGTATTTCTACACCATCATACAATAATAATAACAACAATCAACAACATCGTTTTCGACCGGCTAATCCAAGAATGCGCTTTCCACCATCCGGAGAATCGTTCAATACTCAACTATCAAATTCTAATTGGAACAGCAACGATCTTAATACATATTTTATACCGCCCCAAATGCCGCCAATGCCACCATCACAGTCAATTCGTAATGAACAACAACTATTAACTAGTCAACTTTTTCAAAAACATCAGCTCATTCCTGTACTTTTTTTATTCAATTATTTCTCTTTCCTCATCAGTGACTGTTGATCTTTTGTTTAGATTGATAGTATTTTGAAAGAGCCTGGCCGTTCACAACGACCACCACAAATCATTATATTTATGCGTGGTCTACCAGGTTTGTATATTTCAATCTCGTTTCTCTTCTTGTTCACTAGTATATCTTTTAGGATCCGGAAAATCCTACGTCGCTGATTTAATCAAAGTATTTCGCTTAGCTACTCGTCTCCACATGTATCTATCGATACTCTGTTTTCTAGAATGAAGAAGAATTACAATCCAAGGGCAGTAATAAACCGAAGATTCTTTCTATCGATAATTATTTCATAACTGAAAATCAACAAGAAACTAAAGATCCTAAAACAGGCAAAATTGTTAAAACTTCGGTAGGAAAAGTCAGCTTACATTATCCTTTCGCTTTTCTGAATCGCAAACTACTTCTAGACAATGGAATATGAATATGATTCTAAAATAGAAGAAACGTATCGTAAAAGTCTTCTCAAACAAGTACGCAAATCGATTGATGATCGTTTTTATCCGTTTTTAATTGTCGATCAAAACAATGAACAACTTGTACATTTTCGTGAACTGGTAGACTATGCCGAAGCAAACCAATTTCAAGTTTATTTTGTTGAACTAAACAACGATGTAGATTCATGTGCACAACGGAACATCCATAAGCGATCTTCTGATGATATTCGACAAGTAAACTTCATTTAAAACAAAAAACAAGAACAGTCTGTATTCGTAGATTCAAAAATCCTGGGAACAACTGCCATTACGATATGAAATTCTCGATATTCGTTCGTTACTACAATCGGACGCTATTGATGAAGTATGTATCGATATATTCTCTATCGAATGTATGCTTATTCTTTGCAAAGGTTGAAATGGACGATGCTCCTCCGCCAACCGAAACTGAACTGAATGAAGTCGAAGATGAGGAGGAGGATGAAAGTCAGGTAATTTGAAAACAAAACACAGTACACATCATATACGACTAACAGAAGTTCGAGAGTTTTGTTTTACTTAATAATAAGTATAAGAGTATAGAAAATAGAAACGTAAGTACTTTGGTTTGTCACTGTATAAAACATATATATATGAGTTCAATCTGATCATCGACGCTGCTGCAGAACCACACCCACACGCAAAATGATTATTCTAGATTACCAAAAAAAGTAAATGGGAAACAATGATGGAAACTAATCCTGGTATGCTATGTGTTTTTTTTCCAACTACTTCTTTGAAAAGACACTTATTTTCAAACGTATCACTCATCCTATCTATCGATTTTAGATCGTCTGGATGGTGTGTATCAACGTCGTAATTCGTCAACGGCGCCTTCGTCACCACCGATTGAAAAACGATTGAATAACACAACGATCAGTATTGATGAGCAGGCAAACGAATTATCCCCGAATCTTCAATCGAAGAAGAAAAAAGTTCGATGGGCTGATGCCGAAGAAAGTGCTCTCCATCTACATAAGAAAGCGGGTAAAATTCGGCGTTTTAGAAACGCAAATCACCGATCTGATCTTTCGTTTTTCAATTTAGTTGGCTTCGTAGTTGGTCAAACGGAACAAGATTGGCAACGTATGAGTGATGATTATGATCCAAGTCAAAAATTGAATCAATATAAATATATTTAGTTCCTTTTGTTCATAGCGCATTTCATTTGTAAAATAAAGAGCAAACTTGAAACTTACGGGTTCAGTTTATTTATAGATAATCATACTAATAAAAGGCGCGTTACTTTTTCGAATGAAAGCAACCGTTTACTAATGGCCTGTCCACCACCTCTGTCAGCCAAGGATGAAAAGTACGTTCAAGTTGACCGTCTGCTACTTTTCATTTTCGTTCAATTTTACAGATCATTCGCTTACGAAACTATCAAAGATCGTCTACCACTGATTGTCACAAGAATTGTTGACTTTCTTGCTCGACATCGTAGCGGCATCGCAAAGCAATACGGCGAAGTGCGTTGAATGTCTTTCTTGTTTTGAAAGTGTACATTAGTGTTTTCCTACAGGTAGGCGAAAATGAATGTAAATCATGCATTGGTGCCATGGACAAATTACGATATGAAATAGCTCGTGTAAGACAATGAATGCAATCATTTCCGTATGTGGATGTCTGTTTTGTTTTCCAGGATAAATCAATTTTGTTATTGAATGATTATCATACAGATGATCTTCAAATTTGGAATGAATGTTTACAGAAAGAAATGGATCAAGGTAAAGTTATCAGTTGGTTTCAAAGCAGCTGGTTACTTGTTGAATGTTATATGTATCGAAAGATTGCCGAAGCATTTTATTCAACGTAAGGACTCGTTGACATTAGATTTAATCTTGCAATCGATATTGAAATTTTTAGGAAACATCTGCAACATATAGATCCATTCTTTGAATTGAAACAGCATACTTTCTATGCGTCTATGGGAGCTATTAACGTTTTACTTGCTCAATTGAATGTAGATATTGAACAAAATATCGATGTCGTGAATAATAAGTCAACTATTGAACAACAGTTTTACAATTACATGGAAGTGAGATACTTTTGCCGCGAAAAATTCTTCAGATCTATTGCGGTTTTTGATATATATTTAGATTTCTCTTTGGGGAAATCAATGCGACTTATCCTTATCAGGTGGAGCCCATAGTTCTCAAGAGCACGATCCATTTCATCAAATAACCGAACTCAAATCTCATATATTAATTAATCATGCAACATCTGTTTTTAATTATCTCTTGGATCAACAAGCGTATCTATTAAACTTCGATGTTTCCGTCGATTTCGTTCTCGATAATGCTGGTTTTGAACTATTAACCGATCTATGTTTAGCTGACTTTCTTATTAGCAAACGTTTATGTTCACGAATCACTCTCTATCTAAAATGCTTGCCATGGTTTGTGTCCGATGCAACAAAAAGTGATTTCACTTGGCTTTTAGAGCAATTGAGTAACACATCAGCGGATCCTGCTTGGCAAGCCGCAGCGAAACGATGGCAACAGTACATACAAAATGGCCAGTGGATAGTACAAACCCATCGATTTTTTACACTACCCTATGATTATTCCAAAATGCAACAAATCTCTCCCGAACTCTATTCAGTTATGTCAGAATCGAAGCTGATTATTTTCAAAGGTGATCTAAATTATCGAAAGTTAGTCGGTGATTTACGTTGGCCAGTGAATGAACGTTTTGAAACAGCACTGCGTGGTTTTCAACCAACATCGTTCGTGGTTTTACGAACATGTAAAGCTGATGTACAACTTGAATTAGATCTTAAACTAGTGCAACAAGTCGCCAAGCTCGATCCGAGATGGATGGTGAATGGCAAATGGGCAGTGATACAAGCACACTTCAAAAAAGATACAGACAAAGAAATCTAATCGAATTTTAGTCATATATATATAATCCAGTGCTTTCCTTTTTCAGTAAACTTTTTCTTTTCGAATAAAACATACGAGCTATTTAGTTTGATCGCATGCAAAATTCTTCTGTTCGAGACGCATATATATATATATAAATTCTTTATTCTTCTGTATCGATATACACCAAGTAAAAGATAATTTGAACAAAAAAGAACATCCAAAGATGGAGAACTCGAAAACAACATGCGTGCATAGACACATAGAAAACGCTTTTACTAAAAAATTATATGGCAAAACATAATAAGCAAGTACAAAAGAAATTGCACAAAAAACAAAACAGAAAAAAAGAAAATCAAACAACGTATGGAATGCAAATAGAATTAAAAATCAAACACATTCTGAGATTCGTTTAGTATAGCTTTTAGAAATTTGACTGTAAGCGTTTGGACACACCGCCGACGCCTTCGCTTACTGATGGAGTTGCAACGTTGGTGATATCGTAAGACATTTGAACATTTCGGTTGATTGATGAACGAACTGGCTTTTTCGATGTGGGTATGGTCTGTTTTGTAGTAGAAATTGGTGATGAGGATGATGGATCATTGGGTGATTTGGTTTGAAAAGGACTGACTTTTGCAGTCGGACGTTTATAATGATGTGGCTGCTGCTGATGTTGATTGGCATCTGATGTGGAGTGTTGAGATATATTGGAGAGAGTAGGACGATAGTTCGAACTACTACTTGTTTGATTGTGAGAATAAGTTGAAGGTGGTGGAGGAGGTGGTATTGGTGGGGGTGGCCCAGTATTGGAGGAAGTCACTGCTCCATCATAAAATCGAGCTGAACCAACTGTATATGTGGAAAGTGGCTAAAATTATTGCGTAACGACACAAGTTTAGTGATAATCTCAATAGGAAAATGTTACTTACTCGGTGTGCATGTTCAGTAACTTTTGGCGATGTGCATCGCGCTTCGATAGTCGTTCCACTCAGATAAATCGCTGCTGCTGCTGCTGATGGTGAAACAGGTGCTGTTGTACCTGTGATATCATTGTTTGCTGCTTTGATTATTCCACGAATCGGTCCTGTGCCCGTTAGAGCACCACAGATCGATCGTGCATCTCCTTTTTCGATACGCTTCGCTGTTGTTGATGGCTTCATTTGTGTCTCGTTTTGCCGAGGTGTACTTGTCAGCTTTTCCTTTGAGTTATCGCTCAGTAGTTCGTCAAGAAACGTAACTGATTTCGAGCGTTTTTTCTGTAGAGTTAAATTAGACGATGCCAAAGATTGGTTCGGCATTTGTATATCTTGTCTTGCAGCAATCTCTGCCTGAAGTTCCGATCGAATTTCATCGAGCGTTATCGTTGGCGCCTTCATGTGCGTTTCGTTCGATAATTTACCCATTCGAGATGAATGGTTACGGTCGGTAGTAGCAGTTTCAGCCGTAGCAGGAGTTTCATCATGGACAATATGATCGTAGATATGCGCATCTTCGTTTGATTTCAGATTTAAATGATGACTCTCATCATCATCGTCGTCACTCATCATCAGCAGACGTTTGTTCTTCAATTCTTGTGCGGCATCATTGAGGATCTTCTTATTCCATTTCTTTCGTCGTTCTTCAGTTTGATGTTTTTCCGCTTCGGTATCACTGGCAAAATCCTTTTCAAGTTTTCGACGGAATAGACGGAAACGATGATGTGATGATTTATTGCTTGTTTTATTTAAGCTCGTAGCTGTTTGAGTGGAACAATTCGAATCAATTGATGTGGTATCGTCATCGCCTGTGTAGCTTAAGAACATATTGCCGGTTTTCTTTGCTTCGTGGCGTGCTTTAATACTACGGAGTGTTTTCTTCGTCTTTGTGTCGTTTATATTCGATGGATTCGTTTCTTGGACAAAGTCATTCGTAGTCGACTCTGTGTTTAAACGCTCGAGCGATTTATTCGATCGCGTTAAACGATTCAATGTCGAACGAAAGAAATTAGCTGGTGGAGCTTTTGATGGAATGACTGGTGGCGGAAGTTGATTTTCATCATCATCAAATGAATCTTCATCCGTATTATCATTCGAATTCAAAGGCTTTTCAATTTTGGCATTGTCGTCAACAACTAAATCATCATCGAATGAATCGTAATCGCCCGATGGATCTGGTTGAGACGAAACCGCAACATTCGATACAGCGTAGTGTGGCTCAGAACGTGGTGGCACAGTTTGTTTATCTTTTGTCGAGCATATACTTGAATTTTTACTTGTGTACGAATTCGAATTACTACTACCAGTAAATACAAGGCCGTTTTCATTGGTATAAATATGTTGGTCATCTCTGTGAGGAAGATTAATGTAATTAGGTTCTGAAGGTGGAGTCGTAGTTGATGGCGTCGGTGGAATTACAGGTGATGGTTCAATAATGGCTGTTGGCTTTCGAAATGGTTTGGGTATACCATTGCAAACAGGTGCAGTCGGTTGTTTAAGTGTAAAGTCAAGAGTTTGAGATAGAGTTGGCTTTGATTCAACATGTACAGAGTGTTGTTGTTGTGGTGATTCAAGATTTTGATAAACAAGTGTCGATACTTGTTCGCTTTCAGTTGTTGCAGGTACTGTTTTTTCAGGTCCCTGAATATTCTTAGATGTAAGTGGAAGAAAAACACCAACTGGTCGCCGGAGGGATGGTGGTGTAGATGGTGCGGGTCTGCAAGAAAGAGATACAGAGGATTATTTTCGATTGGTTGCAATATGACATCTTACTTAGGTATTGGTGGCTGTTCAGGTTGAGTTCTCGGTGCTTGTTGAGATTTGGAACGTTGATTTGCAATAGATAACGGTTTTCGTGAAGATGATGAAGATAAGCGAGTACTACTGTTCGATTTATATAATTTATCTAACAGGGATCCTGTTGACTGTGGTGCTGATGATGTCGTTAATTGTTCACGAATAAGGTCAACAGTTGTTAAACCTGTCGATTGAGCATCATATGGCCGATTGGTTTCATCAAATACAATGCCAACGCGATCAATACATTCAGAGAGATTTTTTATTGCAACACCAACGTCCGGCTGTTTATTACTTCGTTGAGAATAGAGACTGATTCGATCGGGTGCCATCGTCGATTGAGTAAGTTTGGATTTATTGATTTGATAGGAAAAGTTAGAAGCTGTTGCCGGTACAGTAGTTGTTGTTGTTGATCGAGATGGCCGTTGACAATTATATGACGAGTTTTTAGACAGAAGACTCGGCGATTTTGATGGGATGATGAATGAACGAGATGGACTAATTGGCGATTTAACAAGATCGATGTGATGTAATGGTAAAGATCGTTCATGACTCTTAATGACTTCTGTGTAGATTACTTCATTATTGGTGGATGGTAACTTTGTTGGTAGAGGTGGCCGCGGTGGCGGTGCTGAGGATGATGATGCTGATGTTGTTGTGGTTGTTGATAAAGAATTCGAAACGTTCTCCGATAATACAGATGACTTCTCTGTATGCGTCTCAGCTGGTAGTACGCAAGTAGTTGGAAGATGGTGAGTGGCAACAGCTGTGTTAGCGTTGGTGAGGTTGGTGGCATTCCTAGTGGTTAACCGTTCGTCCGAACGATTTTCGGTCGATAATGACGATGATAGACGAAGCGAATTATTCGTCGTTGTACCCATTACAGGTCGTGAATCTTGGTGTATTTCAATAGGAATTATTGAAGGTGAAGATATACTGTTCGCAGACGTTTTTGTTATTCGTTCATCAGCGTGACGTTCGACAGTTGTTTTCGGAATTTGTGCGGTACTGTTAGCTACGGTAGTTATTACAGATCGTTGCTCACGATGATGCACTTCGATCGATGTAGGTGAGCAAAAAGTTTCGTCCGTTCGCTTGTCAATAAAAGTTTCTGTTGAAGGAAGTGATGAAACTGGTGGTGGCGATGTTATATAGATTTTCTGAAACAAGAAGAGTGCTATTGGTTATCGGATGTCTCATGACGTTGATGAATAGTTACTTTCGGCTCAATGATGTCGTCAAGACATGTGACTTTCGAAGAATTTCCTGTTTGATATGAATGAGGAATCGAAACAGGCGGACGCTGTTGCTTAACAGGCTTCGGCTCTTGTGATGATACGGCAGTTGATTGTTCAAAAAATGGTTTGATACGCTGCACCAAACTGCCATTGACTACTGGTGCAGCAAATTCGCTCTCTTTAACAGGTGTTTTAATCAAAGATAAACGTGGTTTTGGTTGTGGTTTTAAATCATGTCTAATGAAAACAAAGTGATCTCGTAATCAAACGCTTCTCATTTGTCATTGAATTATTTCAATCAATTGATACATACCTTGTCGGTTCAATAGTGGTCATCATCGCAGTAGTTCTGGGACGTGTTTCTTTATGTTTCGTATTAGTAATAGCAGTCGATGACGATGGTGTTGCCGTTGGAGAATGATGCCGTCGTTGTACTACAGTTGGTTGACGAATATTATTATTATTCGGTCGTATCAATGGTTGAACAGAAGTAGTAGCATTCGTCGTGTTCGTTGTTGAAACTAAGAGAGAGAAAAAGAAAAAAGAATGAACATTATTATAATGCACGTTCGTGTATTTGTCCCTTCAATCTTTTCTCTCTTTCTATGCATCAAATTTTACCTATGTGAACGTTTGTGTCTACTAGTGGTGTCCCGTTGTTGTTTGCTTGCGTATTATGTGACGACGACGAAGAGGACGACAACGACGAAAGAGATTCAATATGTATTTTACCATTGACCTGTTTCGGACTGGGATTGAGTGCTTGTTGATGTTGTACTTGTGTATGACTATGTTGAATACCAATTGAAGATTGATGAGGATGTTGACGAGACAATGAAGACAAAGAGTAATTTTCATCATTTCTTTCAACACTTCCATTAATAGTCGTGGTGTTCAATAGGATTTGATAACTATTTGTCGAGTAGACAGAATTGGGCCTGCTGGGACGCTGTCGAATGATTAGCGAACTAGAAGAAAACAAAAAAGGGCGCACATAGAATAGTTTGTGTTCATTGTTATCTTTTTCTTTATTTGAACTATACCTAAATTGATTTGCACCTGCTTGATGAATATTAACACCTTTCATCGATAAACATGTTTTTGCTTCATTAAATTCTTCTTCATCTTCGAACGTTAACAACGTTGGTCTTTGTCGAGTCAGCATTGATTTGAATAGGTCTTTATTTAATGACTATAGATACACACATATAGATATGCGAAAATAAAAATAACGATGTTCATTATCATGACTCGAATGAAGAATAAAATATCTCGACTAGTAAATTGTACTGACAATACTTACCGAAAAAAGATACGATGCATTGAAATAAACAAGAAGATCAGCTTCTGATTGTTGTAGACGTCTCTTTTCAGATGTGTCAAACGAACGACCTTTACCAGTAGTTGTGATAATCAATCTATCAGGTCTGTATTAATAGACAAATGTCGAAGTAAAAAAAAGGAAATCAAGCAATGAATAGCAATTTACATACTTTAGTTTTGCGTGCGGTATAGATGACTGGTCAGTGTCGTCTTGATCATCATCACCAATCACAATAAGCAGTTCAACACCCTATATGTATACAGACATATATATATAGGCATTCCCCCTTTGCGTATATGCATATTTTATTGATCAAGATGATCGATAATCTTATATTTTGCCTGACTGCCTACTCCTCTATGTGTGTATAATCGTATGTGCATGAACGACACGATGGACTAAAACAACAGACGGACTAGTAAGCAATGATTTTTATCGTATTGCACGCACATAATGTCGGTTGTAAGCATTTGGCAGTCATCTATCGAGTTATGTGTGATAGAGAGAAAGAGAGGAGAAGAAAAACGCTAGATAATGTTTTTGTCAATACTCCTTCGAACAACGATTAGAGATGATTTTTAAAAGATATCCAAGAGAGAGTCGCCCATATGTTTGTTTATTTGGGCGATGTTTCAGATGTACAAGCATTGTTTTTTCTTAGTCAATAGCATTTCAATCAAAAAGATATTAGATCTAAACAAACGAATTTGCTTTTGTCTCGATGGTCATCTGTTTTGTATTACTACAGTCCGTACAAAAGATCATTCCATCCTTAATGAACACATCCATACGACATTCTTCTTTCGCAATTAAAACGATCTTTCTAAACTGTCTCTCTCACCTAAATACATACGCCTATCATCGATCATTGACATAGACGTACTATAGTCTACGCAGATAGTCATTTTTACCTCGCCATTTCTTTTTTTTCGAGAGATTATATAATCATCGTGCGACTAAGTCAATAAAACGACAAGTGTTCTTATTTTCTCTATCTTGACTTTACTTACTTTATTATCAGGAAACATATTGAGTAGTTCATGAAAGCGTGCGGGTAGATTCGACGACGATTGGTCATTACCCACAAGATCAATTTTATTAAAACCATTTAAAATATGAATGACAATTGAACGAGAATGCGGTCGAAGGTCAAAGGAAATAACGGCCTTGCCAATCGTCAGAGCATGAGTTAATAGATCAGTTACTGCTGCCAAAAGACCATCGACTGCATCTATATAAATAAAATAGACAAATACAGTAGTTCAAGATTCCGATATATGTACAGAACGATGATGATGATGATGATGAACTTTCCGTCTACAACTATGTGTCAAGATAATATGCTAATCTGCAGAGCAGACGTACGACAGTGTCAATAGGAATATCAAAACGATTAACACCTATTGTTGATTGACGAAAAGGAATAGGAAATGATTTACTTTGATGTGTTGGGCGTCGTTTATCAGTTAAATGTTTAAGATTTTTGAAGATATTCGCAGTATTGTTGGCCAAAGTAACAATATTTGTGTGTATAGAAAACCAATGCTTCCAATTATGTATTTCCTTTAATGGAGCAGTCCATTTATCACCCAAATTGGGTAATGGTGGATGTGCTGGTAAAGCTTGAATCAATTCTCCTAATGCAACCCATTCTAATTGTGCACATTTGTCTGCATGTTCCTCTGACCAATCTTCAGCTTGATGTTCTTC